ATCCATTAATTATGTATTTAGATATTTTAAATCAGATGTTTCTTATTTTGTTACTTTGATTTGATTTTCAAATTTAACTTTCTAGGTAGCCAATTTGTATTCATATTCATCTATAGCATCCTATTTTACTTATTTCAATTTCCCACTAAATTATTCTAATTATTTCAAATAAACTCTCCTTTCTTAATCATATTTATCTGCCTCTTCTTACTTTGCTATTTTAAGATAGTTCAATTAATGTGTCAATGTTTTGACCTCCTCTTCCAATTAGAATCGGTATTTTATTCTCAATTTATTCTCTACTTCAGATTATCTTACTAATGCAGATTGAAGATCCTCATTTTTCATTAACTTCATAAGTGATGCAAATTTACAAGTATATCGATTTAAGCTTTAAGGTTCTCAATAATTTGTTTATGAGTTTATTGAGATATTGTGTTTTAGTCAATAAGGAGTTATTTTTCATTTAGGAACCGTTCAGTTTCCTTTTGTAAATCTGATCTAACTTCCTTGAGACATTATTCATTAGACTGCTAAACTTCTATTTAAGTAACAATTTGTGATCGAAGCCTTTTAATCTCATCTAAATATTTGTATTATTTGTACCTCCAATTAAATCGCAAATCTATTATAAGTCCCCCACTGCCTTAACAAGAATGAGATCCTCTCCATTAGGTCCAACGTCTGATAAATATTTACAAAGGTGCATTTTCCTTTCCTCTATATAAACATTAAGTTCAATGAGGTTTTGTTTTAATTGAGTATTCTCAGCAAATAATGGCTTTATATATAATTAATCGAGTTACTTTTAATTAGGCATAGAATTAATGAGCATTTATTTCAAGAATTTTGAGGCGATGATTTTAATCTTCATTGTCGTCACGAATTCTTGAGGTTGTTGAATTTATCATATAATAATAATAATAATAATAATAATATTAATATTATAATAATAATAATAATAATAATAATAATAAAGACAATATATCTCCAAATAGAATAGTTTCAATATTAATTCATCAAAGACAAAAAAATTTTTAGCCCTTAGATAAGACATTAATCTTTTTGAAAATAATTTAGCTAATAATTTTCTGACTATTAATATTGATTCTGGATTGGTGGTAAACTTGAAATTTCGTAATTAAAACTTTCTATCTCTCAACACTCCGAAAATTTATTTCTAGCAAAGGTAATTCATTTTAAGAATTAAAATCTATATTATAGAATTTATTTTGAACTATCTTTAATCAAAAATATTTTTACACGCAGATGATATCATCATTCGACATTTTAATTATATGTGCTCTATTATGAAAACTTTCTAAAAATGAATATATATAAACTGGGTTTTTTTGAATGTAATACCTATCCAACTTGATTTCTTATAAATTTACTTAATTCTCTTGCTGTTGACTAAATTAATAGAGTTATTATCTAAGAAATATTATTGTTTCTCTTTATTTCATTTTATTTTAAGGATTACTTCCTTTAAAATACAAATAAATGATATTAAAAGAAATCATAATTAGAGTAGTGCAAATACAGATGGTCTCTTTATTGATGACGAATTTTCTTGGAAAGTAGCTTTATTAAATTATCTGCAAGGATCTTGAATTTTTTATATAATATTAAGTGAATCTTATAATTAATGCCTTGTATATTTGAAAGCATATGAGATAATATCTAAAATTCAACTGGTAAGAAATTAGCAAATATTATGGCATTACGTCCTAAAGAAAATATACTTCTGAAACCACATGTTAAAGAAATTTAAAAGGCTCAAAAATAATTCTCTTAATTTAACATTACTTATCGATTCTATAAAATAAGCAAGTTTTATTTATCGTTGTTTATGAAATATATCATTTTATAGAATAAGAATAGTGAGTAAGTGTTAGTGCATTCAGTTAAAGGTCTATCAAGGTGTATTAGCTCCATTTTTTATGAGAAAATATAAATGGATATTTACAAGACTCCAGATATCTTAAATATTAGAAGACTTGATTTAGAGGATACAGGCTGGTTTTTATCATCAATTAACAGAATTGGAATCTAAATTGAGTCAAGAAGAATAAGGAAGGAGAGATTATCCGGTTCTTGATAAACTCAAGAAGAACTTGATCTCCCTTTTGAAGATGATGAAAAGTTACTTCGGAATACTTTTTAGAATTCTTAAGTAAGAATTGCTGAACCTTGTTGGTTAGATAGTAGGATATTTAATTAATATTTAAATGAAAATAGGTCCAGAACCCTAATATGGGCAAACGAAACGCTAGTGAAAAATCTCAAAAGAAGATGAAATAGTATACTTTTAAACCAACAATTAAATTAAATAACTATAACATTGTAAATGGAAATGTTTACAAAGTAATAATTATGTAACTTTAAAAGAAGAACCTAATTTTCAGATATTGCCATTCCAAAAGCAAATTATACAATTGCAACAAGAATAAATAAGGAAGGGAGATAGTGAATAAAAAAGGATTAAAGCATTATTTAATAAATAATAAATAGTAAACCAGTTAGGAAATGAATATCATTAATTATCACAATTTACTACATCTATCAATACCCTTTCCACATATTATTTCCTTCTACATCCTAAATACTCAAAATTAAATTCGATTTCAACATGGTAGCACATCATAATCTTTCGAGAGAAGATTGCAGTAGGACAATTGCTGGGAATTATAAGATTTATTTAGAAACTTTTTTAGATTCCAAATGGCACTTTTATTCTTTCTTCTGGACATGATAAAATCCTTCTCTATAATATTTTCCAATAATCTTGGCGCTCTAAGATCTCTAAAACCAATTAAGCCTTTATGCTTTCAATATTAATTGTAGTGCGCCTATTGTCGACTCCCAACCAAAATGATAGCGTTTCATTTGATCTAAAATTTTTATTTTCAAAGTCATACCAAAACTCAATTTACTATTAATTATTTTATATATTTATAGTACTTATGCATCGCCTAAAAACCATTATCTTGTAACATATGAAAGCTGTTTTATTATATTTTCTATTTTGTTTTGATAAGTTCTCTTAATGAATATTCGTTCCTCACATTATTTCCTTTACTTATCCTTTACATTATGATCCTAAAAATTTAGATAACTTCTTATAAAATATTTGATGTATATCTATTCATCTTGATTCCATGTATTCAATTCCATACTCTATAATTATGGACTCAAAATAGAAAAGTATTTCTAGAAATCCCCAATTTCATTTGGATAACTCAACATTATAGTGTTTTCAAACACCTCTTCCTAATACAGCATCTTCTTCTTGACATATCTCTCAGCCACGCATATGAGTTTAACATAAACTTTAATTTCAGAATCCTATACAGAATAGGAGACACTTCCTTTTATTTGCTCGCCACAAAAATAGTTCTTTTTTTCTAACATCATTACAATATTGCCTTTAACCTCTTTCTTTGATCCTTATGATCCCATTTTTATAATATTCTTGATATATATTTAAATAATTTTTTAAGCAAATACCAAATGATCTCTTATTTTAAAATAACATAAATTAAACTAGAAAATTAAATGCTTAAGATGAGAGCTTAATAAATAAGATCTAGAAAAGAATTCTTCATATATTTTATTATTCCAAGTAATCAGTATATGAAATATTTCTAAATGTTATAAAATAAATGTTATTTTTAATTAATACATAAATGAAATATGATTTGCCTCCATTTGGTATTTTCAACATCTCTTTTAAAATCTACAAGAATAACACTAATCTAATTTCGGAAACAAAACATATCCTAACAATTAATAGTGAAGATATATAAGCTGTTTTATCCTGAAAAATGATCATTTCAATCTTAAAGTATACACTCCATAATTTTAATTTTTTATAGTATTTGATATCCCCTTAACAACAAATGAGATTTTTATTGATTCTGCAAAATACAGAGTTTTAAAATAAGGTTTATTTTGTTTCTCATCATTAATATGAATACAATCCTGACAGTATTACTAAATAAGCAAGATAAAAATTGATGAATTGCAAATGAAAAGAATTAAAATTTATATAAAATACATATATATGTTTTTTATTTCATAATATGTAAATGGTATATAAAATTATTGATTGTAAATACAAGTTAAATTCATTAATTACAAGTCAAATCCATTAAATTAACAGTAACTTTATTGTTTCAAATAATAATATGCTTTTAGAAATAAGTAAAATATAAAATATGTAAGATCTTTAAAAATTTATAAATAAGATTTAAATTAATTTCTAGTATTCATTTTTAAGAAATCTTATTCTTGGATATGATTTTTTAAGCAAATAATTATTAAACTGAGAGCTATGTTTTTTTTAAAGAAGTTTTACTTTTTGAAGTGCCACTGTTGTTTACTCTTAAGGTTTCAACATTGGATTAAGTCTTTTTCTTGGTATTAACTTTTGGACTTTCGAGCATAGCTTTATATTGTTAAAATGAAGATTTGATATTGAGATTATTCATGTTTAACTAATTAATGTTAATATTGATGTTTGCTGATAAAGGAATTGATGATTACGAAGTATAAGCTTTAAACAATTTATCTGTTGATTTCGTATGGCTCAAAGGTGGTTTAAAGTCTATTCCTATATTATTTTGTATGTTATTTGAAGCCTATTTAGTCTATTTATTTGGAGAATTGATTTCTGTATAATGAGTTTATGTTTAACTTTTTTTGTGTTTAGATTACTAGTTTATATTATTAGAAAGGTTAGGTTTTAGGATTTATTAGGATTAAATTAATTTTAACTATTCAGACGAGATGCTTCTTGTGCTCATGATCTGATGAATACTATTTTATTGTGATTGATAATTAGGTATAAATATAGGTTTGGCTTGTTACTTCACATTATGATGATGACAAGGATTGGAATGATTGATTGCAAGCATTTGCTATTTCAAGAACTTCTTAAATTCACCATCTCCATTGCTATTATTTATTTGTTTGTTAGAGGATAGTAATGACTTTTAGGAAGTGTCTTTTGAGAGTGTTTTGAAATGTAATTTTTAAGAAGGGGAATTCTAAACAGTTCTTTTACTAAATCCAGGATCATTTGTATGTAATTTATCCTTGTAAAATTAAGTATTTTTGGATATCAATTATTTGAGTAATTTTAGATTAGATGGCTATTATGAAGTTTTAAGTTGTTGATTATTTACCATAGTCATCCAAGTGGCATCAATGTTCTAATAATTGGATGATCAAATACCACAATCTCTTCATTTCCCTTTGATTTCAACATATCTCTTAATAAGGAAAGACTGGATACTTGGGTTTGTAAAGTAATACTGTTGAGCACCTTAATATCTTCCTATAATTTCTCATATTCTATGGATCTTATGAATGAATACCAGTGCAATTGCTATCCTCTTCAATTGGAATACCTAACATTAATTTAATTTTCCTATACTCCAGTTGTCTAAAATTAGATATAGAAGTACTTCTTTTTTTCATAAAAGTATATTGCTAAATCTGAGAGTTTTGGCGAAAACATTCTAGGAATATCCTTATGATATTTGTAATATTCTAAGAGTTGATCAAATTTACCTGATTGATCTCTATGTGGATAAAATCTATAAGAATGAAAGTTTCATTAAAAAATACCTCTTCAAAAATTCATCTTGATCGCCATATGCCAATTTGTCTTTATATTAAATAATCCATTAAATTGGCTTAGTTGAAAAGAAATCCTCAAATTTTTTACCTCGCCATTGGGATGATGAATATTTTGTATAAAGTGCCTGTAAATGATTTTACTATTTTATATACTCTATTCAAAAGCGGGGCGAAATTAATCCTTATGATTGGTAATCTTCCATATTTCTAACAAAATAAACAATCTTCTTCTGATGCAGATTTCTAAATTAATATAAGACCATCATTTGCTTTCATAACTGAATATAAATTATATATTTTATATTTTATCAATTTCTCACATATTCGTATAAGTAGGAATTGCTGCTTTGATTACTTTTAATGTGTCTGGTCCCTTTATATAATGATACAATATAATTACTCCGTTATCTTGTATTTGTCTTAGAACATCTTATATTATTTCCTTCTGATTCTTTTTATCCATTCTTTTGCTCAATGGCACTAGGAGATTCTTAAGGTGACTATTGAGATGAGAACCTATTGTATTGGAGAGTAATCTGAATTCAGTCATAATAAATGTTACTTTAAAATTTCCAAAGAGGACATAAAGACTTTGTCGTTTTAACTAGATAAGGCAGTTCTTAAAGGCCAAACCAATTTTGCTAGAATAGGTATGACCTTCTCTTGCGCATTCTAAAAGATTATAAAATTTAAATTTAAAACTTATTCATTGAGCATATCTTTTATTGCATTAGTTGCAATGAAGCAATAAGGATGGGCTTCTTCAACCAAACCTTCGAAGCATGTAACCATTAATGGGTCATAAGGCAAGTGCCCAATTTCAACTCCTTAATTCCATTATAATTTCATTGTATTGCAGCCATGATTCACTCTACAAGGAATTCCGCCGGCATTGTAGACATAAGCAAATGAATTTCTTTATTATTTATTTATAACTACGTTTTCTATTTTGATTTATCAGAAAAAGGATCAACTGTCTTAATATTAGTCAGCTTTTAACTTGGCAATTAAGTAAATCCCTGTTTAGGTTACTGTTGAATTTGCTGCTGTTATTATTATTGTTATGGCTTCTATTATTATTGCTTTCCAAGAGATCTTGTTCTGTTTAAAACTGCTGGAGGCTGAGTTTTCTTTTATTATTACATTATTATTAGTAATTAAATTAAAATATAACATCACTTTTCCAATATCGAGATTATAGAGCTAATGTTGAATTCTGGATGGAAATAAACATATTCTTGAATTGTATCTATATCATCAGCTATTACAATATCTTAGAATTTGAAAGTTGAAGGAGACAGTTATTAGCTCCTATAATCTGTTCTAAGGCCATCCCAAAATTATTAACTACCAGGTTGTATTGATGGTTGAAGAGATGCTTACTTGTGACATGATTTCATTTATTCTAGTAATATCTTGTCTGAAATAAAATCACCATAGCACTCTTTTGAGATTGTAGGTATAGTTATAGTCCCTTTGCTTTGTCCATTAATCATATTTCTATCGAAAAATTTCGAACTTTCAGTAGGTTCATCTTGAAGGACCGGTAATTGCTCATAGATACTACTGCTCTCATTACTTTCAATTTCTGAACGAACTGTTACACTTATCTGTTTCTTTATTTTTATCTTCGAATTATCAATATTATTTTACTTGGTATATTTTAAAGGCTTAAGGGTCCTTCTTTGCTCTTCTTTATACTTTAATTCTTTTATTCTATTGAAAATAATCTTTTAAAATCAATTTGTAAATATCTTGTTAAACTTGGCATTTCCTCATTAAATGAAATCCTCTGCATATCAGACATCTATAATTTACATAGGATGTATCTCCTTCAAACAATATTCTATTTTTAATCATGTGGAATGTTTCCTTTTATATTTATAAGTAACTTACTAGATCTTAATTTAAATTCAAACATTGTTTAAAATCTTCTTCCTTTATAAACAAAACTAAAAAATTATTGTTTAATTCTAAATTCAAATAATTTAATGTACTTATTTTTATATCTGAAATGTTCTTTTAAAAACAATCAATCAATCCAAACACTTTGTCAATCATAATCTATTAATATTGTCTCAATCCTTCCTTTTTGAAACTAATTAAAACTTGTCCCCTTAGAATCAAATACAAACCTCGATTTTTATTAAAATCTATTTCCTTAGTTTTTCTAAAAACTTTAATCTTTTCTGATAAGTTGATTACAAATTGTTTTGTAAAAATATGAGAAATTTCCAAATAATCTTCCATAATTTGTTGAAAAATGATTCTCATAGCGTTTTAACCTATCTTCAATATTAGTTACAATTACTTATTTTGTGAGTTAACTGTTATTGTTAAGCTATGTAACCATCTTAAGTTTCTCAAGTAAATTTCCTTTATGATGCCAAATATAATAATGCAGAATATGCACATCAATTTTAGGCCTATTCAACAATTCAATTTTCTTTAGTCTTATCTAAATTATGACATCGATTGAATTGAATAACATAATCAATCCTACAATTTAACTAAATATCATAGTTAAATCAGAAGATGATTCACTTACATGATAATTTGCTTAAAAAGTGAAAAAATTAATATTTATAAATAGTGAATCTCTATAACTAAGTTGAAAATCATTTTAGTATAGAACACAAGCAAATAGATGAATTAAATATAGATAATAAATTATGATCTTTGAGATAGCCAGATAATTAAAGCATTTTTCTATATTAAGTTATTAATCTATATTACTTTTTGTAATTATGAGCAGCTTAAAAAACTTTTCGATCTGATTATAGCCGTCATTAAAAAAATAAAGGGACAAAATTATTACTATTATTTATGTATTCAAAGTTATCTAAATCAAAAGTAATCCAACTAGCAAGATGTTTGTTATTATAAAGTCATCAATTAGCTTAAATTTGTAAATGGCTGACAAGTTCTCTTTGTGCTTCATTTATATAAACTAACATAAGATATAAGTTAGTGTAACGATAAGAATATAAAATAATAAAAAGTAAGATAAATGATTAATACTCTCATCTTCCTCAAAGAGTATAAGATGAGGGAATAAGACTGATAATAAGGCTTTAAATATGTTGTTCCATAATATTAAAAGACAATTTATGAGTAATGCAATATGTGAAGCAGATTAAATTTCCTAATTTTTTTTCTTTTTATTTTAGCTAATTGCTTGCTACTCCTTTCTTGGCCCATAAACTTCATCCCATCGATTGAAATTCTCAAACAAATACTGATTGATTTGATCGTAAGCATTGGGTGTATACTATTTGCTAGATGAGCCAGAGTTATTTAGATAAAAACTTTCAAAAAAAGATGGTGGTTCTAAACATTCATCTTGATAGGATTTGGGAGAATTCTTGTCAATTTTTGTAAATTTCTTTTTATGTAAAACTATTAATAAAGAAGTTTTGCTACCATCATCAAGTTAAGAATTCATTTTTTCAATATAGATAATATTGAAAAAAACTTTAATATCATTTCTCTTATTAATATTATTTAATATTTAATAGATATTGATTTACCGAAAATTAAGAATATCGAATTATTCTTAAATAATTATCCTTTTCATCCTTTTTTTTTATTAATTGTTCAATTACAATAATTAAAGTTCTTTTGAAATTAATTTAAGAATTTTAATTTTAAATAAAAAATATTACATTCCTAAGGTTTTCCTAAATTGGGATTTCATAGTATCAATTATGATTTTTTATATTACTGGAAGATGTAACATTCTTATTTTAATTTTATACTTTATAAGTTTAATATTGGTTGTATTATTGAATGTATGATCATATTTTAATTGCACTTATAAATTTTATGAAGTTAATTAAATTGAAAATAGAGTATTTTCACTGCTATAAATTGATAATAATGAAATTACTTAACATCTTATAGATTAATTTAAATGAACCTTTATTGCTCATTAATCAGTAATGAATGTATTTATCACGATCTCCTATTAAGTAAATCTAATTTATATACTTTATTTTCTCATATTATTATGATCATATTTTAAATATATAATTTATAAAAAATAATTCATCTTAACCCTTGTTTTAAAACAAATTTTAATCTCCTATCTTAAATTGCAAGACATCTATTTCTTCATTTTAAAGAGACTTTTTAAACTTCAATAATGAAATCGATAGTACTTCCTTGTAAGGTCATTCTTATGATTTTAAAAAGTGTCTACACATTCTACTTTCTCAATTAGATCCCCTCCAATATCTCGAATAATTGAATGCCATTTTCCTCCCATATTTTATGATCAACATAAAAAGATACATCTTCGTAACTAATTGGATATTTGCTCAAGGGTTAAAATTTATTGATTGGCCAGCTTTAAATTATTCAAGAAATTTTGGATACTGAGATCAAAATAAATGAATATCTGGGTTTTATAATAAGAGGAGAGCTAATCTTTTTAATCCCAAACCTGTTGAACATCCAACTTCAGTGAGTCTCATGATTGATGTAAGTACATGCTTAACAGTTTATCAAATCATAATGAATAAAACCACATCCAAATATTTTCTAACATTTATCCTAAAAGTACATTACTAGTTCCATAGATGGATTTGTAAATGGAAATGTAATTTCAACTCATCTTATTTATACATCCCAAAAAAAGATGCTTATCTCCAATAAATACTAAAACATCAATATTTTCTCTATTAATTCAAATTGATGAACAGAGGTGTGACATCTCAATAAAGCATTTTCATTAATGTAATATGTGTCACTTTTTTTTGCAAATTCTATGTAATTAAAAACACAAATACCTACTTTACAGCTAAGATTTGAGAGAAATTATTGATCATTTTAATTTCAAAGGTTATTTACTTTAATTAGCTGTTATTGCTTCATTTTGAAAAAATGTTTCAATTCTGCCCTTAATTATCCCTCGAGGAGGCGATGCAATATTATGTAAGTCTCTGCCCATGTATTATATAATTTTATCTGTGATATTGCTATAAGAATTCTATTATTTTTTGATTTGATCTTGTAGAGAACAGAATTAGAATCGAAACAATTTTCTTAATATAAATTATATTTGTGATTTAAGTGATGTTACAAAAATTACTTAGAGTAATATTATTTAAAATAGATGATTCCTTAAACTTTCCTCTTATCAGATCTAAATAAATCCATCTTAATATAAATTAAATATAGCGATAAATATTTATAAAGTTAGATTTTTAATCATTTTAGTTATGTATTCAACTATCTGTCCGTCAAAAATTTTAATTTTTTTTATCTAAGTGCTCCATACCCAGCCTATATAAATGGATTTGTAATCTAGTTTAGATTCAAGTTCTTGCTTTTAGGAGGATAATTCTCTTAAGGTATGGTTTTTTTGACCAGTGAGGATATCTCGTCATTTTAAAATGGATGATTATTCATCCTGGTATTTAAAACTGGTGCAATAGGTTGAGTAAGCATGTATTTAGGATCGTCATATACTCTTTTAGGTATTGCTACAATTTCATACTAATCCAAATTAATTTTTTATAGATCTTGCAAAAACCTGTGAGATGGGTATCCTGATAATGTTGATGGAGTCATGTCGAAATCAGTTTGTTATTATAGGATAGTCTCAGCATTTTTTTAAAACTTCTGAAAGAAGTATGATTGTGCAATGGTGTTTGTGTTGGTCTGTGTATTTGTAGAATCAAATTGTTTTTTGATAGGTTGAGATGTACTCTAGAGAATGCCTAGAACACCATTTTTATTCATGGTTGATGTTCTTCCTTAGAAGCGAGTCTTGAAATCCATATGCTATTAAATTATTTTTATATCATTTTTCACAACAGATGGCAATTAGAGTATCTATTGAATTTACATAAATTAACAGATAAATATGTATGGTATTAATTTAAGTAATTGAAAACATAAGGAAAACGAAGTTATAATACATTTCATTATTGATCTTCGACAGTTTCATCGCATTCTTTAATGCCCAATACATCAAGAGTAGAGATAATTTAATTAAATTTATTGTTGAACCCAGTATCTTACTAACTATCAGCCAACCCTAAATTGATATCAATACTGCATTCAATTTTGGCACCCATCTAATTCATAAATTAGCCAAAAGTATTCTTTTTAGTGTCTTAGCCAACCTGGGTTTCATTGACAGAATTACCCAAATCGACACTTGATTATATATTTCCCAGATCCCCAAAGTAATCTTAAGTCAGATGATCAGAGGAAACTATAAATGAAAATTAATAATACCAATGCTTTAAGTAGAACCAACGCCAAGATTACATTAAGTAGTCGTGTTGACATCAAGAACTTTACTAATTGTAACTCCTTGGCTATTCCCAAGGGAATTGACCAATTGAATGAACCCAGCACATTTATCACTATTTCTCCTTTAGATAATATGAACATTTCCCAGTTCCTACATCAAATCCTCAAGAACAATCTGCTAATACTCTTGGCCCAAATGAAGTGTCTTCAATGCTCTATGAATACTCTACTTCTGATCTACAGACAAACTTGTTTGGAGAGATTGGCATTTATTCAAAAATAAGTTGTCATCATCGTCAATAATTTTAGTAGATGATAACATTGCCAAGGTAGTGTAGATCTTATTCTTCTCTATGAAAGGATGGTTCAATGCATCTTAGGGTCCAATTCTCTTTTTAGGATCCTACTAAAGCAAACGAGATATGAGATTCTGAGCACTTAAGGATTCCCCCTTTATACGGTTCTTAAAATTCCACAATTCAGGCTTACTTAATAGTTCTATGTGATCACTTGGATTCTCATTTTGGAGAGGCAATTCTCCTGTCATACATTGGAACATTATGACACCAATACTCCATAAATCAATCTCTTTTGAATAATTAGTTTGATGGTATATTTCTGGGGCACAATAATAGATGTTGCCTGTCTTAGTCAGCATATCGTGATGTTGATTCTTCCACAGAAATCTTCTGGAAACTCCAAAATCAAGCAACTTCAATTCACAATTCCCATCCACATTTACCAAGATGTTATCTGGCTTGATATCTCTATGACTTATGCCTTTACTATGTATGTGTCCAACAGCCATGAGCAATTACTTGACGATATTTCTCACCTCATCCTCCTTTAAAGTGACTCTATCTTTTAGGATTTGCTCCAATGATGGGTATGGACAATATTCCATTACCAAACTGGCCGTGTAATATTTTTCATTAATATAGAGTTCGTATTCTTATATTATATTCTAGTGTCTCAAACAACGAGAATTATTAAATGTCCTTTTCACGTTATTGTAAACTTCCTCATTGTTCATTCTCATTATTTTTACTGCAAACAAATCATTTGTTCCCTTTCTTTTAGCCAGTTTCACTACTGCATGTGCTCCTTACCCTGAACATTTACATATTTAATACCCAATAATTCTTGTGATTCGTACCTATCTTCAAATCTTAGGGCATCGTCAACACTGCTCAAGCTAATAATTTGTCCTTTCTCCTCCTCGTCCTCACTAAATTCAATCTTGCATTTTAAGCGATCTTTTAGATTACTTATTTGAAGCATTCTCTTTTTAAACAAAAATTTATAAATAATTTCAAAACTATACACTATTTAATATTTTAATAATATCAATAATATTTCTATCCAAACAACTTAGTTATTTAAAATTGAATAAATCTTTCTTAATTTTATTTCAAATTCCCTATTTTTTTAATATTGGAGCCAATCCTAAAATCAAAGCAGATCATCTCAATGGCAAAAGATCTTTAAGAATATATATAAATAAAAATTAAAGAACATTTCATTAATACTTATAACTTATATTATAAAGGTTTTTATAATCCAACATTCAATTACTTTATTGAATTTTAAACAAGATGTTGATTCAAAAACCCCATAATTAAAAATTCATTTATTGTAATTTCAATTTAAAAAATTAAGATGATCACATTAAGGAAAACACAATTAGTGCTTTTCTTTGAGAACTTAACAAAGCTTTGAGAATATCATCACTCTACTTTCAATAGAAATAGACTCATTCTATAAGTCCTCTACTGGTACCTTCACTTGAACTTAAGTACAAACCTTACTAATTTTTTCCTTAAACTCGTGTGATTATTAATATTTCTTGAAATTTTCAATCACATCCTAAGTTGGAATTAGATTCTTAGATAGTTACACACTAATTTTTGTAAAAGAGTTTCTCATAATGGATTCATCCAGTCCATCTATCCTGGGTAGAGATGATGATCTTAATTTCATGTTTGTAAATATCAATTTCTATTGTTTGTCAACCAACGATCTTTTATTTCTATCAGCAATAGTTGGGACTTGTATAAAATGTGTGAGAGTTTATTATGGCTTTTAGGCTTGATTTTATTTGAATAATTCATTTTATGCCTCCAATAGAGTAGATTGATGTTCAAGTTCAACCTTTTAAGCTTTGAGAATCAATTTAACTTCTTTGTATTTAATGATAGATTGTTTTAATTTATCCTCGTACTATCTGATGGTTCTATCAAAAAGTACTCTTAATTCTTGATTTTGTTATTCTATGTAATCAACCTCCTAATACTTCAATGTGGTTTGTTGTTCTTGATCAATGAGATTGTTTTTGTTCTTTTGGTTAGATAATAGTTTTTTTAATATGATTTTGGAATTGGATTTTGAGTTACTTCTAATGTTGTCACGAAGTTATTGAGTCACTGAATCAATAATATCAACGGAATTTGGATTTTCGATGTCGGTGTTGTGGCTGTCAATGATTTGCTTGTTGTTTTATGCAAGAGATTGAATAGATTCATGCAATTCATTGATGTGTTTAGCTGCATCACTTTCATTGATTGTATTGAATCTACTCTTATGTTTTCGACTTTATTCAAGGAGATGTTCGAAAGGCAGATTGCCTGAATGAGGAGTCAATAGTAATTCAAATTGTTGAATCCAATTTAGGAGATTTGAGATCAATAATAGATGAAATCCTGACAGGTTCTATGTAATAATGAATAAAATAGTTTACTTTTATAAGATCACCAATAAACTCTAAGTCGAGATCACTCAAGTTTAGAATCAATTGTTCTTCACAAGCAGTCACAATCCTACAATATTATCTTAAATCTGTGATGTAACCTTGCTGAATATTTGAATGTCTCTCTTGAAATTGATCTTATGCTTTGTTTAGTATTTTCTTAATCTTGGCACTCAATGTTCTTAGTCTATCGGGTTTATTTAAATAGTGTACATTTCCCATCTCTACTCCATTATATAAAATTATTATTAGGAATGAAATCTCTTTTTGCAATAATTAAGACGAGAGACGAGGATCGCAAAATTCTGTATGCAAGTGAAGAGCAATTCAATTTGGATTAAGTGTTTAATATAAGAGATGGAGAGAATTCCGACATTGTTACATATCGAGATAAAATTACACAATTCTTTTAGCAATTTTAATATTGTAATTCAATATTCAATTTAGAATAGTTGGACTCATTCAAAAAAGCAATTTTCTTGGTTATTCAACCAACTTCATCATCGATTTCTTTTCACAGGAACGAAAAGCATAATGTCATGAATTAATGATCGAAGATCTGATATTTTATATCCAGGCCATCAAGGAGCCTGTGTCAATTACTCTAGTATTGGTGATCTAGAAGGAGAGTTAGTACAACTCTCAATATGCCTCCTATTGTTTAACTTTTATAAAGAAGTGCTTATAGAAAATAGAGAAGGAGTCAAAGGCATTAACTAGAATGTCGAATCTTATCATCCAAAATGTACTAAGGTTTATAACATTAGATAAGTCAATTTGAGAAGGAGATTAATTCGCAGATTCCAGAATATGAGAAACAGAAATGCAAATCAATTTAGGTGAGGGATAATGTGACTAATATTGCTCGAAAATATTTGGATTCCTGTGAGTTAAGAAGAAATTTGAATCAGTTTTGCCAGGCTTTTGTAAATAGAAAAATGATTAATTTCTTTCAAGTACAATTCAACTCTATATTTAGATACAAATGACACCTCCTCAATAGGATTTAATGTTGAACCCCATAGCCATAGTTATAAAACCATATCAAACCTTGTTGGTCGCTAATTTCATTGGAAAGGATGATAATACTTACATTTCATAAAGGTTCTTGACCTTCATTCAGAAGATGTAACCCACAAAATCATTTCAAGAGATGTCCAACTTGTACTATTTTTCAATGACTGAAATTCAGGTCTATGTCAATCATATTATGATGAACAATCAAAATTAAATGAGTTTGCTTCTCAATAAGTTAACAGATGATTCCTATTTTACTATTGCGTGCACTCAAACTCATAAAAAGTTGGCTGAGAAAATTCCATTAAAATAATATGTTTCATACATCAAATGCCCAATGAGTTCTCAATAATTAAGATAAGATAGAATAGAGAAAATAGAGAGTCAGTTCTGTAATATTATTGGATTTAGGTTGATTCGTGAATGCCAGGTTTATTTATATCAAAAGGATCCTACCTTGACTTAGAAGAAAGTTGAGGATGAGATTAATAAAATTGCTGCTGAATTGACAAAGAGCAAAGACAAATAAGGAGAAAGAGAAAAGAAATTCACTCAATTAATTCGATTCTATCAATCACTTCTCAAATTTCTGGGAAAACCATACACAGTGTAAGAGATCGCTTATTAAAAGAATATGGATATCAGTAGACTCTGGGCACATATCCATTGGCTTAAATCTTTGGTTGGATTTTATTGCTTATGATATATTTTAATAAATGATTCTAATCTTTGTGAATAATTATTATTTAGAGTTTTTAGATTATTCTAAAAACAAAAGACTACTTAAAAGTAAATTTAAAATTTGAAAACAAAATTTTATTAAATCATAATTCCTTAGTCTATATTTGAATAAATTGAAATCTGCCAAGCATTCATTTTTAAATATATTATAGTATTGAAAGAGTATCGATTCTATGAATTTTATATTATTTAAGATTTCTTATACTTAAAGCTAATATAAATCGTAAAATATCACTTCATAATTAATATTTTAATGTAAATAATATAATAATAATTGAATATATCATTTCTTTTTCTCTACTAAAGTTGGTTTGATTTGAAAAGCCTTTTCATAGTTCTTGTTTGACTCATCAATCTTCCCTTGATTTTCCAAGGCACATCCTTTATTGTAGTAAGCCTCGGCACAATTAGGTTGAAGTTGAATGGCTAGATCATAGTTCTTAATTGCCTCATCAACCTTGCCTTTCCTATACATGAGAGTGCCCTAAAATAAATAGAAAGAGTACCTTCTCAACATACAATAGTGCCATTTCAGGTGATAATTTATATGCTTATTCCAAGGCATTCAATGCATCATCAAATTGTTCCAAGCCTTACAAAGCTATACTTTTATTGTAGTAGGTCTCTGGATCTTAAGTCTTCCCCTTGATTGCCTTATCATAGATCTCAACAGCCTCTTTAAAGTTCTCCTTCTCATACAAAGTCGTTCCCTTGTTATGATAAGCTTTCACAAAGTCGTTCTTCAATTTGATGGCTTCATCAAAACATTGTAAAGCTTAAGAGTAATCCTGTTTGGCACAGAAAATCACTCCCTGGTTGGAATGGGCTTCAGGATTATGAACTTTCAATTTAATGGCTTCCATATATTCATTCTAGGACAACTCCAATTTGTTCTACTTGTAATACAACACACCAAGATTATTGTGAGCTTCAGCATTATTTTAATCAGTCTTCAGAGCTTACTTAAGTAAATCGAGTGCTTATGAATATTTCTCAGTTTCAATAAGGAGTGTAGCTTGATTCGACAGACATTGTGGGAAGGTTGGCAACAATTGAAGAGCCATCTAATAAGATGAAATAGCTTTGTCTGTTTGCTTCTACTTTTAGGCAATGATTCCATAAGCATTATGAATATAAGGAGAGTCTTTAATTTGACTTGCCTTCTATAGTAGTTTGTTGGCTTCAATTAAATTTTCCTATGCAATTAACACATTGGCCTTATTCACCAAGGCTTCCATCGGTAATTGATCATTCCTATTGGATTGCTTAATCAAATATTTTATTTGCTTCGTCATATCTTTTCAAGTAAAAAAGTGAAGCACCTAAATTATTTAAGGTTTATGCGTTCTTGACTTCCAACTTAAGAGATTATTGCAACATTTAAACTGATTCATCATACCTTCCCATCAAATAGAGAGTGACTCCCTTATTATTCAATGCCTCAGGGTATCTGTTGTTAAGATTAATTGCTTAGTCATAGCATTTCAGAGCATCTTCATATTAACCTATATTTGAGTATACAATTCCCAATCCATTTTGGGCTTATGAGTGACGAGGATTCAATTGTAATGATACTTCGTATTTTTATCTTGCCTCTTCAAAGCGATCGCAATTCCTCAAGGCAGTTGCAAAGGCTATCAATGCTTCTGAATTACTATTTAACCATTGCAAATTAGAAATCAATTCGCATTATTGAACTGCCTATTGATGCTCACCCATTTCCTAAAATGTGATACTCAAATTAATCCTTGCAGAATCATATTCAGGATTAATCTCTACTGCCTTCGAAAAGTATTACTAGGCTTAGGCTAAGTTCTTTTGATTGAAATAGATTGTTCCTTTGTTATTGTAGGCTTTGAAGAAATTTGGATCAATATTGATGACTTCATCTAGAATAGTCAATGCTTCATCCTATCTCTTCAGATCAATCAAGGTGACTGCTTTGTTATTCAACAAAGTAGGATTGTTGGGACTTAATTTAATAGCCTTCTCTAATTCCTTAATCGCTTCTTCAGGTTTGCTTAGATTTAGTAAGGAGACAGCCTTATTATTCAGGGATTTCTCTGAGTCCGACTTTAATTTGAATGCAGCATCGAATGTAATCACAGCATCTTTGGACAATCCACTCTCAAGTTGAGCAACTCCTTTGTTGAATTAGCCTTCAAAGAAATTTGGTTTTTGTTGAACAGCTTTCGAAAAGCATTCCAATGCTTCTTCATATTTCATCAATTGCTTTAGTAGACATCCTTTTAAGAAGAAACTCTCGTAATCATTGCTTTCTAATTGATTGTACTTGTCTAAACTATTGATGGCTTCAGCATATCTTTTTAATTTGATATAGGCAGCTGCCTCATTGAATACAGCATCCTTGAATGTTGGCTGGATATCAAATGATCTTGTGAATTGAATTAAAGCCTATTCATAATTTTCAAGATTGTAATAGGTGATTCCTAAATTGAAATATGCCCAAGAATTCTAAGAGTTTTATTCGATCGCATGTTGATATGATTGAATGGCATCATCAAAATGTTTGAGGTTGGTGTATGCAATACCCTCCTAGAAATTGGCTGATGAACTGTAAACACTTTCTAGTTGAATGGCTTGATCATATAATTGAATAGCATCTTCATACTTATTCAATTCCAATAAGCAATTACCTTTAAAGTAGTAGATATCCTCAACATCAGTTCCTTAACTAAGTTGAATAGCTTCGTCATAATTTTGTATGGCTTCATTAAATTTCTTTAGATTTTTCAAGCATATTCCCCTATTGATAAATGCGAATTTGCACTCATTCTTAGGTTTAAGCTGAATTGCCTTATTAAATTATCTGATGGCATCCTCATACTAATTCAAATTACACAATGCAACTCCTTTATTATACAAACCATCAGCATAATCTCCTTTGCCTGACACAGACGCATTGAAATGTTTCAAAGCCTCATCAAATTGTTAATTGAGTAACAAAATGACTCCGAGATTATTATGAACTACTTAATTCTCTTATCTCTTCAGTACCTCCTAGAAGCATTCCTAGGCAAAGGCAAGATTATTAAGATAATACTCAACAATTCCCTGAACATGATTGTAGCCTCCATGTCATCTTCCTAATGAATCACATACATTTCGATTTCCTTTTTAGAGTATTCATAATTTTTTAAATACAATGAACAAATTGCCTGATTGAAGTGACCTTCCAAAGTATCCCTCAACTATTAAGACTCCTATAACAATTGCAAGGCTTCTTTGTATTTCTTCAATTAGAAATTGCAGACTCCATAATTGAAGACTACTTCAAAGTTGTTGCCATCTATATCATAAGCCTGACTCAACAACAAAGCAGCTTGCTCATACTTCTTAGTCTCATATAGAGAGATCCCTTTACCCAATAAGACCTGAACGTTCTTAGGTTGATGCTTCATCACCTAATCAAAGCACTTGTTTGCTTCGTCATACTTCTTCATTCTCAGCAATGTCGATGCCTTGTTTAACATAGGGATGGCAAAACCTACTTGTATTTGGAGAGCTGTGTCGAATTAGGTGATGGCATCTTGATATTGTAGCAGATGATAGTAACAAACACCCAAATTATTATAAGCATCCTTATAATCTTGTTTCAATTAGACAGCCTTCTAAAAATACTCCACTCCTTCTTTGTACTTTGTATTCTAAATAAATAGCAACCCTGCGTCGTTATAAGCCTTTGGATAGTTTTGTCTTATCTCTATTGCTTTCGTATAATTTTCAAGGGATTCTTCAAAAATGCCAAGGTTCCTCAAGGAATCTGCTTTTTTTTTGAAGACTTCAGCATATTTTTAATTATATTCTAGTGCATTATCGTAGGATTAGATTGAGAATTTGTATTCTTTCAATTTTCTGTAGGTATCTCCAAGGGCTTTATGCGCCTAGTAAAAGTCAGGCTAGAGGGAATATTAGGGAAAACAGTTACTTTCAGCGATATTGCTTATTTATACTAATTGACTGCTTCTTGTAAATTGCCCATCTTCCTAATTGTATCGCCCTTGTACTTCAATGGGTTTGGGTAGGATTGGCGATGCTTGAGGGCTTGATCCAAATAGTTGAGGGCTTTTTCATACTAGTAAAACTATGGCCAGACAGACTTACTTGATTGAGGTTGTACAATGCAATTCCCATGCTACACAAGGCTTCAGGAAAGCTTGGCCTCAAATTCTAAGGATTGTTTGAAGTAATTGATAGCTTCATCAAATTTCTTACGGTACATATAGACCAAGCCTAAATTGTAGTACCCCTCCACAAATTGCGTATTTTTTTGTTTATCGACTATTGATACCAGTTGATGGCCTAGTCGAATTCCTTCTTTTGAAAGAACTCGTTACCAAGCTTGATCATAGTTTCAGGATGCAGCCACATTAAATTAAATAAATTATAAATTGAGAGAGGATGTTTCAGCAATTTGAGTTCACCATCACGTAGCCAGGGATGCTCTCGAAATTGTACTTGATCTGCACAATCAGCTGGTCCTTGAGCTCCTCATAGGCTTATTAACACTCCTTATCTGAGTCATACTTCACGTACACTTCCTATTATGCCTGCTTCAGGTAAACCTAAATTATGGAGTGGCAGGAGCTGTACTATTTTGCCATATTTGCTAGTCTTGTGCAGGATCTCCTCTAGCTGATACTCTCCCATCAGAACTCTTAGACACTTTGTCTGCTGATACAGCTTTATTAAGGCATTATCTAATTTGCTCTCAATAGTCCGGCTTATCTCTTCGTCGATCAGACTCAGTCTCTTTCTAATATCAACAAGTTTCTCTTCTGATACTTGCGATGCAGACTCGTCCTCATTCACATTCAAGTCCCACAATGATGGCATGCTGAAAGGTAACTTCTAAGTCAAATCCATTCCTTTTGTGTTTGGCACGTTGTCCAATTTCAGTTCTCTTAACCTCGAAGGATAAACATTGCAAATGATATTATTCATAACTTTAGTGTTGTTTAAACAGCTAAATCAAATTAAATCCCTACTTGATAGCATCTTAGGCTTAATCGGGGTCCTCGTATTCAATAAACACCTTTGTCTGCATTGGACCTTGCTCGAAGATTAAAATCTACGCCAATTCAAACTTCATTTTACCTTTGTGATTTTACCATGCTTCCCAAAAACTTGAAGCAATGACTGATTTGTAATGTTCTAGGACGTTTTCAAACAAACTAATGCCACCTTGGTTGAATTGCTTTTCGACATATATTAAATTAATTTAAAATATGCTCAAATAAATTATTATACTTACTTCACACTTCAGTTATTTACCCCAATCAGGAATGGAGCTGTAAAATATCTTGGCACAAGAATTTTCTCAAGATATTATAAAATGAAGCATAATTGTACCTGATACAAATACCCTATTATTGCACAATGACTTAGACAATAGATTAAAACAAACAAAAAATATCATCATTGGAATCTAAAATCATTTGAAACAATCAGATACTTTGAAAACGATGCTAAAAATAATATATAATCCATTCAAGAAAGTAATACAATTGGATAAAATTAAACTTCCCTAGAGTGAAAATCATCATTTGTTTTTATTTAAATCCTATAAAAATTTATTCTATTGATAGTCATGCAAAAACTCTAATTCTTTTTGATATTATTTTAATTTATTTAAGAGTGGATTGATAAACTAGGACAAAGTAGTTTATAAAGTTTATTTTAGAAATTGAATATAATTTTAAATTTACTTAAGACGAATAAAATTAATATAAGTGCATCAATAAGAATAAATCTACTATATTTTATAACGGCTTAAATCTAATTGCTCACAGGATTACATGCTAAATAAAGTTTCACATTTTGAAAAATACCAGAATCTCATAATGACAACCTAATTTGTATATATATAAACGATTATACTGTTTAAGCATATATTATATATATTAAATACCCATTATTTAAATTTATATATATGTATTTAGAACAAATTTTACATTCTCATTTATTTAAGGATTGTTAATAAGCTTAAACAATTTAATAGAGTTATTCTTGCATTTTTTAGATTGATGTTTTCTTGGCAATTTACTTGTTTGTGTTTTCTTTAATTAAGTCCTCTACTTTTTTGAATTCTTTTCCAATGAAATCCAATCTTTTACTCACATTCTCTTTAGACTCTTGGAGGGTTTATGAGACCTGTAAAAAGTAATGCAAAGATGGCTTACCAAAACACTTGCAATAAGTTTGTATACTTTTGCTTCTGGCTCAAGGAGATCAAGTTCCTTTTTGACCATTTCATTTTCATGAGATTGCTCTATGAGTTTTTGTCTGCCTTCAATTAGTGTGGGAGTGTATACCTTCGACATACTTTTGCATTTCTCTTTGTAAAGTCTAAAGAACTTTGGACTCATCTTCAATCTTGCTCTATAACATCTACACCTATTCAGCCATTAAATATTTTAATATATATCATGATTTTTATTCAAACAAAGCAATTTCTTCATTTAGTAATTGAAGCTCCTTCTCTTTCTAAGCTATCTTTGCCTTGATCTCCTGATTTTCCTTGATCAGTCCAACCATAAGGGCAGGGTCATAGGAAGGTGTCTACGACTGTGAAACAGTTTGTCCTGGTTGAGGCATTTTGATGTGTGGTTTTTTTGCAATGACTTTTTGTGGAGTGGCTACTGAAGTTTGTGATATAATCGGATATTGTTGCATAGATTGAGTATTTCTTAATCTCTGGTAGTCAAAACGTAATGTATTTGGAGTTCCAATTCTTTAGATTTGAGATGTGCGTTGTGTTGGTGAGACAAAAGGACCATATTGGTTCAGATTTTAGAATTGCGGTACGACAGGATATCGTGTTGGTTAACGAATTTGCATTTATATATATAAATATTTTTTATTAATGTAAAACTAAGTGGATCTAGACATAGACACAGGTCAGTTTGATACTATGGAGAGGGACTTTTAAGAGGTCTTACGTGATTTAGGGACTGATTAAAACTTAGAGAGATTCAGATCTGAGTTCGATAAACTGTATCGTTCACTGAAAATCATTCACGAGAATCAGAGGCGATTGATCAGCAAATGTAGGGAGTACAATGCTGAAATCTCTTAAAATGCATCCAAAGTACTTACTCACTTAACATTAGATTCAAACTGTTTTAAAAATGACCGCTGATGATTCTGCTGCTATCTAATAATTGAAAACGCAATTAGAAAAAGCATATAAGGTGTTGGAGATTCAATAAGAGAGGGAGGAAAAGCATAAATAAAAGATTAAAATCTAAGAAAATGAAATCAAGTAATTGTTATGCCATAATGTAGACAACTCAATCAAACCATTGAATAAAGCAAAGCGTTAAAATTCAGGACAGACTACAACTGTGCATGAGTTATTGTAAAGAAAGCAGGAACTTTTGAAAGAAAAAGAAATTTTGTAGATTTAGGTATTTGGGACTAGATCTGAGAATCAATCAATTTTGGATAGAATTAAGTCTTTGGAGACTTCGAAGGAATCAGTTATGAAGGAATATAAAATATTATAGCAATAGAAGGCTGAATTTGAGGAGAGATTGTAAAAGGATGAGGAGGCAAAAAATGTAACTTAAGCAGAATTGGAGAAGATTAAAAGGGATTTTGATTCATTGAAGGAGGATGAAAAGTAATTGGGCAATGAGAAGAAGAAATTAAAAAGTGAAATTGAAAAAGTGACCTTATAAAACAGTGTTAAAACTAAAGAAATTGAAAATTTCAAATAGGAAAAGAATAGAGTGGAAAAGGAATTAAAGGATACTAGGGATAAGAAGGATTCTGTGGTCAAAATAAATGAATAAATTGAAGAGAAGATTAAGGATACTAGATTATAGATAGAATTATTTGAAACTGAAATTGAATAACTTCATTAGAAGATTAGTGAAGGAGAGGAGAAAAAGAAGAGAATGTCAGAGTTAGTGAAGGAGTAAGAAGAATTGGCAGAAAGAATTGAAGAGGAAAAGCAATTAGCTAATAATGGGTTAAATTAATTGGAGGATGACATTTAGATTGAAAGAAAGAAAGCTACAGATGATAGACAAGTAATTGAGGACTTAAGAAGAGCTAGAAATATTCTATAGAAGGAAATTGATAGATGTGATAATAATAATAAGAAAATCGAAGAAGATTTCATTGCCAAATAAAAATATTTAAGTGAAAAGCAAAATGAATTAGGTGGTTTATAGAAGAAAATTGATTATCTCAATAAGAAAATTGCAAATGTTGAAAAAGAAACAGAGCAATAATGTTTATAATTTTCATAAGCTCAAACTAAGTATTTTCATTCTTTAGATGAAATTAAATTAAAAGATTCACTAATCAGCGAATTCTAGAAAAAGAATATTGAAACTGAAGCCAAATTAAAATAATAATAGAATCTATATGAAACAGTCAGAAGTGATAGAAATCTGTATTCAAAGAATTACACTGAAAAACAATAAGAAATTGAAAAAATGAGACGAAGCTATAAAATAGTCAATCATTAGATTTCATAATTAAAAGAAGAAATAGAGGCCAAGGGAAATGCATTAGCAAAGGAACATTTAGAACATAAAAAAAAGGATAAAACTATTGAAGAGTAATCTAGAGTATTGGAAAAGTATAAAACAGATATAGATGAAAAGGCTGAAAAGATTAATAAGTATATTAAAAGGGTTGATAAATTACAGTTTACAATCAAAGATGAAGAATAATAGATACAGAATCTCAAAGAAGAATTTGAATTGGTTGTGGCTGAAAGGGATATCTTGAGTACTTAACTCATAAGAAGAATTTCAGAAACTAATCTACTTTATGAGAAAATCAAAATTAATGAAAGTACTCTCAAGAAAGGAGAATAATAATATAGAGAAAGACTGGGAGATATTTAAATGTTGAAAGAAAAGATAGCCGATTATAAAAGAGAAATTAAGGTCTTTAAAAGGGAAGCTGATACAATTAAAGATTTAGAAGGGGATATACACAATCTTACAAAAGAGTTAACAGAGGAGAAATTGAAAGCTAAGGCTTTGACAGAAGAATTAGAAAATCCAATGAATGTACATAGATGGAGAAAATTGGAAGCCACTGACTCTGAAAATTATGAATTAATGACCAAAATCCACAGTCTATAAAAGAGACTAATCCAAAAAACAGAGGAAGTTGTAATTAAAGAGAAGGTAGTAGAGGAGAAGGAGAAAGAATTGAAGGCTTTGAAGGATGAAATGAAACGTAAACCTGGATTAGAAGATTAGGCAATGATACCATATTATTAAGATAGTCTGAGATAGAAAGAAGAATAGATGAAGGCTATGGATTAGGAATTGAGTATGTATCAATCACATATTAATGAATATAAATTAGAAATAGATAGAATCAATAAAGTAATTATTTCATATATTTTCAAGGAATTACAAAGGGTCAAATAGAAGTACTTTAATTAAAAGAAAAGAGAATAGTAATAAAGAGATCTTCGTATATAAGAAGAATAGGGATAGTCAATCTAAGTAATCTTACCAGAGAAAAAGTATGTGGGTGGTGGTTTTGCTTTATAAAAATGAAATATCGACTGATATAAAATTAACTAAAATTAAATTGGTTCTTTAATCTTCTAGAAATTTTGGTTTTTCATATTGCAAAATATTGATTATATATAAAAGTGAGGTTGTTTTAAATGAATAATAATAAAATATAAGAATAAGGAATTTTATTGAAAAATAATGTATTCTTCATCAGAATGAAAACAATCTAATTTGAATGGTTAAATAATAAGACCATAATGAAAATAAAGATAGAGAGGGTTATGGTGATATTGGATATAAAACTTAGTTATAGATTAATTACTATAATGGAAAATAGCCAAAAAAGATGGATATAGAGAACTTACTTGAATTTACAAAGGATAGTAACCATATGGTTAACAAAATAATGAAAGAACAGAATTTATGGATCTGGAATGGAAAATGAGGAGAAACCAAAGAAGTATAATTAATATGATATTTTTGCTACTATTGATTTATTTAACAGATCAAGGTATTTGTTTATTTTGAGAGATAACTCTTTTCATCTAGATGTCTTTTAGATATTCTATGTAGGCATCTCTTGATAAAGCTTTAGGGTATTTGATATTTTAGGTACTCTATACTGGATTGGAGACAGGAAGGATTTTGTCTTTTATTTTATTTAGATATAAGGTGTTAGAGCAAATAGAATCATTTACTCCTTTAATTTTTGGAACGAACAATTGAATGTCTTGAATTTCATCTATTAATAATTTATCTGGAATCTAGATGTGATCCTTTTTATTTGACCATGAAACTTATTCTTTGTATTTTTACACATTTTCCATCATGGATTAGTATGCTTTTGATTCTTTGGAGACTTTATCTTAATTTGTGCAAAATTTTAGAGGACAATTGTTGAGATCATTTTTTTGGATGATTTATGAACATGGCATATTTATGTCTTTGAACAGCTTATTCTTACAATGAATGTTGTTTAATTTCTATTGTTTCTTTTCTTTCTTATTTGACATGGAGGCAGCATCTGATTTTTTAAGTGATTACACTTTATTCAATTCTTTTTTGTTTGCTTTACTCCCTTTTTGTTTTCTTTTTTTAGTTATTTACTCATCTGGTATTAAGATCTCAAGATTTGATTCATCTATGAATACCGCATTGTCTGAGTCCAATGAGACATCTAGTTCTTATACTAAGAAGGGTCCTTCATTGCGAATTGTAAGCATGTTAATTATAATTTTAATAATTAATGAATATTGAATCTCAAGACTTTAGATATAGAGATATCAAGAATTATTAGAGTCTTTCTAAATTGTAAGTATGCAAAAAGTGCTATATTCAAATAGATTTTGGTTGTTGGAGATGGTTAGACTGGGAAATCTTCATTGGTTAACATTTTGACTTACAGAAAATATCCAGATAAGATGGCAGGTAAGACATCCAAGCAGCCATTTAAAACTTAGGGGTGTGATATTCGAATGGCATTGAGAAACGATTTAACATAAAAGCAATAGTTTTTGTTGTAAATTGTAGATCTTTCTGGAGACAAGGCTTAGAGATAATACTTAGATGTGTATATATCAAGATTGAAATTGAATGCCATAATATTCTGTTTCGATGTGACTAATCTGAAGACTTTGGATAATATACGAAAATGGGTTTAACGATTGACAATTAAGAGTGTGATACATGAGGAAAATGAAGAGGCCTTGGAGACAGATAATAGCTAATTTTCAAGACAAAGCAGCTTAGCCATTTAAGACGAATAGGATTGCTTATTAAATTATAATAGTTATACTGGAATCCCAATGAATGAGATTCTACAAATCCCTTTCATTTTTGTTGGGTGTAAAATGGATTAGATCCCTATGGACAAACAAGTTAGATTGCGATAATAGATTTCTGAAAGAGTAAACAATAAATACATTATTGTAGATCCAACAAGTTTACAAAAGATCAAATACAGTAATATTGTTGAGTTCTACTAAGCCTTTGACATATTCAGATGAGTTTAAATAGTTGGAGGAATGTATTTTGAGAATTAAGCAAAAAGATAAATTGGAAGAATTCTTCATAAGGGAAAAGATTCAATCAAAAATGATGAAGTTGGATGAATCTTTCTGGAAATCCACTATTCAAACACCATTAGAGTAAAAATACTAATTGTTTTGTGTTTATATGAAACATTTTTGGCAAAGATTGATGTGTAAAAAGAGAAAGCAATGATGTTATTTATGTTTATCATCATAGTTTTAAAAATCATTCATTCATTCATACATTGTTCTTTTTTGAGGTCAATCACTCTCAGTGTTTCCTCAGCAAGTTTCACTATCTCTTTATTTTTATGATCTAACAAGATTTCTAATTTTTATTCTAATTCAGTATCATCTATGCAAAAAGCTTAGTAGTAGTAAATTAAAGTGTAGAGAACTTTTAAATAGATAATAATATTTTCAGTTTCTTCAGGTTCTTCTAATAGAAATTTAATTCTAACTATTTAAAACACTCTTAAATCTTGGATCAACTCTGTAGATGTGTAAGTCATACAATTATATGTGATCCCATAAATGAGTCTTAGATAGTTTTGATCTGTTTTATCGGAATTCTAAAAGTTTTACACAACTTCTGCAATAAAAGGGAGATCTGAAACTATCTCCTTTTGCAGATTTTCAGAATCCACATTAGTAAAATTAGCAAGTAATTTGATTGAAGCTTGTCTTATAATTAAACTTTCATGATTGATGTATTATTTAACAATGTCATGTCCTTTTAAAAAGAAGATTCTTTAAACAAATTTCTCATCTTTTAAAGCACTTATGCTTATCATAAATCTCAATATTATGGATATTAGAATCTGATTTTCACTAAATTCTAAGAGCTATACACAAATCTAAAGTGTTGTGTTGTCTAAATCGTTAGCTATATCAGGGTCTAATGAAATAATTTAAATGAGATTTTTAACAAACATAAAGGTTATTTTTGGATATTGCATTTAAAGCGGGAGTAATTATTTCATCAAGTAAAATGTAAATCTTAACTATGCTATATTTGATATTGTTTACCTCTTAGTTGTATTTTGATATTATTTAAGTTAACTCTTCTTCGGTAAAGATTCTGAATTGATTGAAGAATCTGCAGAATAACTCAGTTCCACTTTTAATCATCTTAAACTCATCATCAGTGTAGATCTCATGCTGATTTTCCTTTAGTATTTGATTTACTAATGGAATTAGATTATTATTTAATAAGTATTCTAATTATTTTCTTGTTAATTCATGCGTACAAATACTATTGAGGGCATCAAATAACTAAATGATTTTGATTGTATTGTTACATTATCAATCATTCTGATGTCCATTCTTTGCTTTGCCAATTTTAATTAATTTAGAAAAAGCACTTCACACTCTCCAAGATTTTATTTAGTGCAAATATTACTCAAAATTGTGATTGAATAATAATCTGATTGCTATGCGCTAAGAAATAGCTTGTTTAACAGTTATTAGTCATTCGCAGCCTTCAATAATTTCTATTGACTAAACTCGCCATCGATCAAATATTTGTGGAGTTCCTATGATTCAGAAAAACTTGGAATCTCAATTATGGGGTTCTCTTCGTTGTTCATACCGCATTTCTTTCGATTTTAATTGAATAAATCTTCTAGTCTCTCTTTTCTAATCGAAAATCTAAATTCCTCTCTTTTTGTCAATAATAATGATTATTGTTCACTTTTCATAATTATATTTATATTCAAATTATTTATAACATTCTCAATGTTATATCTAATATTTGTCAAATAGCTCATCAACAAATTTTCACATATCTATTCAATAGAATATGTCATTTATCTCACATAACTAAATCATTTTTAATAATCTTTTATTAATAGCCCAACTACATATGAGTTTGTATTCACTTTCTTTAATGAAGTCTAAAAACGGTTTCGCAATCCATTGACTCTTGCTTTAAATTAGTATTACGTCTGAACTATCCCAAAATAAGCTTATATCTTATAATTCTTTAATCCCTTATTTGTGTCTAAATCAAATTAGTGGGATAGACTTTGGATAGACATTATTGTTTTAAGTAATCTTTCTTAAATAGCGAAAATTAATATAATTTCTAGGTATATTCAATTAGATATATTCATCTTTTTATTCATCCTTAATTTATTGTTTTAGCAATTTATTCAATACTATAAATAACATAAACTAAAATGCAAGATGATAGGGTTTTAGAGAGAAGTCCACAAGACTCACTTAGAATTTCACAAAGATCTTCCATGCTAGATAGGAAGCAGAGTGGCCGTTTCACATTCAAGAAAACTCAAGAGGAAGAACAACAAACTTAAATTCAGAGCAATAGAAATCGAATCAAACAGCAGTTAAAATGTATAAGATAACTGATTTTGATTTTAAGGTTAATTGAATGCCATAATTAATAAGCCAATACAGCCATTACAAATGAGAGAGGAGCAGTTGATAGAATTAGGTAAGAAATTAGATGTAGAAATTACTTCAATTGATGTTGAAAATATCATTCCAAATACAAAGGAGTTTTTTGAAGATTATGAAATTCATGAGAGATTGGGAGAAGGATGTTTGGGATTGGTGAAACGAATAGTCTAAAAAAATACAGGCTTGGAATTTGCTGTGAAGATAGTTGCTACTTAGGACGATGAAATTATACGCAATGTAAAAAGACAATAATAATATCTTTTAAGATGATTATAGAATTTAAGAGATTGGTTCAATTATCACATGATAATATAGTTAAAGCCTACAAAATGTACTTGGATTTTGATACAGGGTTTTAATCTGAAAGTTAGGCTTTTGTGGTTATGGAGTTGATCCATGGCAAAGAGATGTTTGAGGTTATAAGCGAAGCGGGACATTATAGTGAAGATGATGCAAAAGAACTTTTCAAGTAATTGCTTAGTGCCATTGAGTATATGCATCGTCATGGCATTTGTCATAGAGATCTCAAGCCCAATAATATCTTGTGTCTTTAAGGTAAAGCATTCGTAATGATCTCTATATTTAGATAGAAAGCAAATCAAGGTTACAGATTTCAACGTTAGCAAATTCAGTGATTCATATAAATTGTTTGGGGATCTGCAAGATACGGAAAAAATAGAGATGTGGACATATACTGGCACTGTGGCTTTTTCAGCACCGGAAATATTCACAGGAGAAGGTTATAAGTAATAAATACTTTAATGATATTTTGAAAGTTAAATGGTTGATATGTGGAGTGCAGGTTGTATTCTTTATTCAATGCTTTCCGGATAATTGCCATTTAATGCAGATTAGTAATCAAATTCACCATCATCCTAGTTTGAACGACCTTGTAGAAAATATTAAACTAGCCAAGTATGATTTCCCAGAAGAAATCTTTTCAGAAGTCTCTGCTGAAGCCAAAGATCTAATTTAACTATTATTAAAGAAGGATCCATAAGAAAGACCATATCCAGATCATGCATTAGGGCATTCTTGGTTTAGAGGAAATGTAGTCAGGAAGACTTTAAGACATTTGACTATTAATAAAAATATAAACCATCTTGCATCCAGAAACTCAAATAGGTAGAGATAGAGAACATTCCTATTGAAAAAAGACTGCTACACAGGATCAAGTGATGGGGAAGATTATTATGATGTTAAAATTAAGTCCACCATTAGAAAGAGTTTATTTTGCGCTATTAAGCCCACACAAGAATAACAGGTTGATATGAACCACCTCAAAGTAACAAGCGGGTTGCTTCGTAAGTCTAATACAACTTAGATAGAAGATTTTAAATATTATGATTAATAGTGATTAATAAATTAATTAATTCAATAAATAATTTTGGTTATCCAAAAATATCTTTTTTGGGCATTTTTAAACGAATTCATTTTTGGATTTCTAATCATTAATTAAATTTGGCAATGCAAAATAAGACCGTCTTCGATAAATTAGGAGGTTAAGCTAACATTGACGCTGCTGTTGTCAAGTTTTATGAAAAAGTCCTCTCCGATCCATCTGTCAGTCACTATTTCAAAAACACAGACATGAAGAAATAGACAGAAAATTAATAAAAGTTCCTCACCATGGCTTTTGGAGGACCCAATAACTACAAAGGAAGAGTAACACATTTATTTTATATCATTAGGACATGAAAGCAGGTCATGCTGGTCTTGGAATTACAACAGTCGCCTTCAACACAATTGTCAAGCATCTTGGTGACACCTTGAAAGAAATGGGAGTTCCAGCAGATGTCATTGCTGAAGCTGCTGCTGTTGCAGAAACCACCAGAGCTGATATTGTTGAAATCAAATGATTCATATAGATATATGTCATTCATTCAATAAAATCATTTATATATCCCTATTCCCACCCCTCCTCTGGCAATAACTAGACCCAAAGTTTGAAATGGAGAATATTTGAAATCATTGATCTAGATCAATTTTGAGGGTGAATTCTAAACTAAAATAATAATATTGGAATTCATTTGAACAGTAAGCAATTGACCTCATGCATAAGTGGGATTAGTGAAGAAATGAAGTCACGTATGAAATCAGTAATATATTTTAATTGTATTTCTTTTTAATTTTATCAGTCCCAATTTATTTCAATAAAACAAATGGCCTTTTGTTTAGAAAGACTTTATTTAATCAAGCATTAGACATAAAATGAGTGAAATAAGTATTGACTTTCTAAATTCTTACCAGACTTTTTTTATAATATTTATATGTAAATGTCAATATAATTATATATATTTTAACAATTTATTTATTATATAAAATCAAATTAACACTAAAATCACAAATCTTCTTTAAATATATTAAGATCAAGACTATCTTTCATTGATTTGAATTAAACGTTTCCACTAATTATTGAATCAAGAAAATCTTAAACATTTGAAAGTGTCAATTCTCCTTAGAGTTTAGCATATCTTTCTTTTTTAGGTTTGATGACCAATGCTGATGGGAAACTACTAACATCATCAAAAACTTCCGAATAAATTAAGTTGCTAAAAATAATGTATTTCTTATTTACTTCTTATTAATATAATAGAAATCGATTTTGTCCTTCATGTAATGATAAGACAAGGGAGTCAATAAATCTAAATAATCTTTGTCCTCAGTAATAATAATGAAACACATTTTTGTGTCTTTAGTAGTACAAGCCCCATTTTTTATCAATAAGTTGGACAATTCTCTTGGACCTTGATGAGTTTTTTTAACTTTTTTGCTGATATAAGCATATTCTCTTAAGAATTTCATAATTTATTCTTTCTTAAAATCGTTTTACTCATAAATGACTCCTCTATATGATTCTGGCTCAGTCACTACCATGAGAGTAGGGAAGTTCTTGATTTAAAATTACTCAACCAATTTAGTATCTGAATTTCGAACTTGTCCAAAGACTAGTTTCCCTTTTAATTCTTTGGATAGAACTTTAAGGAGAGGAGGAGTAGAAGTTTTATTAGTGAATAACAAGACTATATGTTATTCTTCTTGTTGAATGAATTTTTCGTAGTTGTCATTAGTTACTATGCTTACGAAGCTTTCCATGAAGGAGATGGCAAATTTGGCTAGTTGGTCTATTTCCACTTTGGATTTGAATTCGACTGGTTCTTATCTGATATTGGCAGGGTAAGCGTATATTTTGGGAAACTCATAAACCTGGAACTCATCATCACAGATTTCATTTTCAGCAGCACAATTTATTGCAGCAACTTAGAAGATGCCATAATATTTAGAGGCTAATTCATTCCAAGTGTTTTTGTGTTACCTTCCATAATCATCGTTCTTATAGAAGTAGATCATCCACACGTGATCTCTTCTAAAGAATCTATTTATAGTAGTCATTTCAACTTCGTAAACATCACTTTTAGAAAATAAGGACTATTCAAGATTTGGTTTTTGTTATTAGAATCCACCTCCAAAAAATCTTGAGAAAACATCATTATAATTAAAATGACCTTATTCTAGATGTATATTTATAAATGGATACTTTGTTGTTATCTTTGAGTATGCTCTTTCAATCCCTCTTCTCCATATTTGTCATATACTTATCTCTATTCTGGGTCTTTGAGTATTTCATACGCATTGACAATCTTCTAGAATTGTTTTTCAGACTAATTATAGGGGAGATAAGAATTACTTCCTCCTTATTACCTTTGGCCTTGTCTGGGTGGTATTTGAGAGAGAGCTTTTTGAATGCCTTTTTGATTTAATCATCAGATGCACCTCGCTGTACTCCAAGTAATTAGTAATAATCTTAGCAGAGTGCTTGAAGAAGGACGCAAAGGAGAAGGAGAAAAGTTTTCATTTTAATTATTAAAAACACGTTTATGGTGTAAATTCTAGAACAATGCTTAATAACATTATAAAATATGAATAAAGAGAGGGGGTGGAGGGAGATAAATGATGTATGTTTATTTTATGTTTAATGTGAACATAACAACTCAATATCCAGAATCAGCTAGGTATTTTGCCATTTCTATGACACGTTTGTTGCATTCAGCAGCATTCTAAGTAGCTCCATTTTCTGCATTGATGGTTTGGGAGAATGAAGCAAAGACAGCGGCTGTGTTAGACCAAGCAATGCATGCTCCTCCTTTATTCTATTGATTATCATGTTAGAACGTACCTTCTTCAAATACCATGACTTAGCATCACCATCAAATTGAATTGTATAATATTTTTGATTGTTGATTCTAACTCCAGCTGCATTTCCAGAGTTTCCATTGTGTGTGAGAGCGTGAACAAAGGCAGTCTTCTCGTCATAGGCAACCTTGGTTACGACGTCTGGATTCTTTTCATCTGGGACATCAGCTTGATAAGAAGGTAGGACGGCAACACCGAAATTGCTAGCCCAGATGTTTCCATCTAATCCAATAATGGCAGCATATTCAAGAGCTCCGTTGGCTGTCAAATTTGTCACATAAGCATCCCAAGACATGGTTATTTAATATATTTAATGAAAATTATATCTTCTTCATCCTGAACATATATATATATGCACAATTAATTGAAGATACTAATTAATTATATAATATTGCAGAATAATTGTTTATAATTTGTACTGCTTTTTTCAATTTTATTTTGAAGAAGAGAATGAACTATTCGACTAGTTTAACAATTTGTGATAGTATCGCTCTGGCAAACTTTCCACTTCTAACGATTCCTCTCTATAAGCGGGATGAGATTCTTACCACATATTGCACTTGTTTCTTTTTGAACCAAAACAAATACACAGCGCAAAACAACGGCAGGAAATATCCAAAAAGACAAATTAAAATATCAGCCCAAGGTTACACCGCCACATTCTATATTAATATGTCTCATCTTTTACATATGCAGGAAATTCACAACTGTCTATATCTTTTGATTTTTAATAGATAAAATAGACTAAATCGGCACTCCATTGAATTACTTATCCAAACGCTGTCACACAAACCAAAGTCCTTTTATTTAATTACAATTCTGTCATTACCAAAATTTCAATTTTATGTTTCTAATCTTCATGTACTACGTCTTCTCTACTACTGTCATTCTGTTGGTGAACATTATTTGCTCAATTATCAATGCATTCATTTTCTTATTCAGAAAATACGCTCCAGTGATGAAAATGATGCTTGCAAATACTTCCACCACTCTTATCACAAATAAAGTTATGACTAAGGCCTAAGATATTTTGTACATACAACTACAGTCTTCATTCTTAGTGTAATAGACGATTATATCAATCAATAACAATATAGAAAAAAAAGCACACAATCCATATGTGCAACCTCGCACTAATTTTGTATTGCTTTTATTATAAACATTAAGATCTGTTGCCTTTTTTGTAAAGAAGTAAACCAGAAAAATCAAAAAAGATTAATCAAAGTAAAAATACAAAAAATAAGCAAATGCTAGATTTCTATTCATTGTGAAGATCAGAAAAACTATTTAGTTCATTCTATCCTAAAAATACCCTTACATGTATCTGCAAGTAAAATTATCAAAAACAATAGCTGCTTTCTTTTGTAAAGTCTTCTCTATTCAATTACTCGTACTGTAATTTGGTATATACATAATGTCATTAACAACAAAGAGCAAACCGTTCCTAAATAGAGGCTGTTGAATGGGCAACTTACTCCAAACATAATCCTAAGTCTGCGCACTTTCCTGATACACAATATATGAATCCCTGATTTTTGCATTCACTCATTAATTATTTTATGAGTAAAACTATTAAGAAATTAAATGAAGTTGCATTAGATAATATACAAGCAACAACTTGGCATGATGAATACAATAAGAGTAGTTACATATTTATCGCCAATCTTAATTATGCCATGAATGAAGGTGATATAGCCATTGTCTTTTCGTAATATGGAGAAATAGTTGATGTACATTTAGTCAGAGATAAAATTACTGGAAAATCCAAAGGGTTTTGTTTCTTAGCCTATGAAGATTAGCGGTCAACCATCTTGGCTGTTGACAACTTCAATCACGCAGAAATATGTATCTATATGAAATACCAATAAGGTGGAAGATTATTAAGAGTGGATCATGTAAGAGAGTTCAAGCCTCCTAAGGAATACCTTGACATCTCCCCTGATGATCCGGAAATATTTAATAAGCTCTATAAGCCATCTGGTCCTGATGGCAAAGGATGGGGAACTTTTAGGGAGCTGACTCAAGAAGAATTAGTATTAAAAGCATAAATAGAAGCATAATAATAAGAAATCCAGAAAAGAAATGAAAAAATATTTGAGAACATGCAACAGATAAAAAATATGCAGACGATAATTGATGAGGATGAGAGGGTATTATAATTATATTATTTTTAAGTGGGATAAAATGTTGATGGTATAGGATGAGAAGAAAGAACTATTGGAAAAAATTGAAGCTCTCCAATATTTCAATAATAAGATGCAAAAGTATAAGGAGGTCCAAGAGCCAGAAAAATAAGAAACTAATGAGGAGAGATTATTGAGATTATAGAAAAAGCAGAATAAGAAATATGAGAAAAAGAATTCAGAAGAGAAGGGAAAAGAAAAGAAAATAAAAAAAGAAAAAAAAGAGAAAAAAAACAAAAAGAACAAAGATAAAAAAGAGAAAAAGGAGAAGAAATCTAAGAATTCAAAGAAAGATCAGCCACAACAATCAGATAACTAAGATAGGGGAAGTTAAAAATGAGATAATTTTATAAATCGATCAATTAATACTTAATAATCAAATTATACTAATATTGAAATAAATTAAAGGTGAATTCATAACTATTATTCTTATACAGAATTTATTTACTCCTCTAATAAATCTTTTAGTCTTTCCTCTAGAGAATTGTCTAAATCTTAACATAATTAACATATATTTTACTATGATCTATTGCAAATTTGGTGGCTAAACTTTCTGAGTTGTCTCCATTAAATACTGGTAATCTTACAGTTTTTGCATCATCGATTTTTACATCAATGTACAGAATAGGAAAGTTAAGGAATATTGGTTTACTTTTAATTTTCTTGCATTTTGGTTCTTAACTCATTGATTGTTCAGTTTATAATTTGATCTGTGTTCTGCTTTCATTGTTTGTGGTGTTTCCTGTGTTTTTCAATTTTTCCAGTGTCTTCTATCTAAGCCTAGCCTCTCTTAATCGTTTTGCTTATTAATCGATATCATATTGAGTAGAAGCAGTTGATATTGGAAATTGTTTCATAGGATTAATCTGGGGTGAAAAAGTGCAAAATTATTATTGAGTTTCAAATTCTACATCAATAGTTGATTTATCCTACTGCTTTTTAATTGGTTTGCTTAATTAAGTTAAATCGATGGCAACTGGTTTGATAGTAGATTTGAGTTCCTTTGTTTCATCTTATTATTATTATTCAAGCTAACTCTTGAGTTTTTCAATGTTATCCTTCTTTTTCTGTTCTTATTAAGCAAACCATTCATTGATATTTAGATTGTTCTTTTTCTTGATAGCCATATCTCTTGATCTATTGCTTAATAAATTGATAACTTATGGAGGAGATTTGGATTTCTCAAGATTTCGCCTTTGTCCATTTCCATGGATTAGTTTGGTGTTCAAATAGAGTTATTTGTATTTGTTGTGAATTTCAACACAATCTTAAGGGGACAGCATTAAATTTCCATTTTCATCGTTCTTATAGTGAGAGGCCATTGGAACTTATTCGTCATCTTTGGGTATGTAAAGAGGTATCTATTAGACTGGTACATTAAGGATGGCTAGTAATACAATAAGCAAATTTCTGGAGAGAATGTAAGAGCCATTAGTAAAATCATTCCATAGTTCTTTATTTTCTCCAAATCCTAATCCCTGGAGAATTTATTGGAAATCGTTTTCATATATTTTCGAGTAATCCCAACTTAATTTGACATTTTCAGTATTGCTAAGAAAGTAATAGAAATCCTTGATAAATCTTTGGATAAACCATTATTGAGTGATTTCCGATAATTTACCTTCTGTTGTAGCTGAGGTTTGAGTATTTTATTGTGTTTTCTGTTGTCTTGTTCGACTATCATCATACAATATTTAAGTGACATGCTTTTCTCTTCTTGAGTTTTTAAGTTTGTCTGTAGTATCTCTTTATTATTTGGCTTAGATAAGATTTTTTAATTAAATAGTTTGTGACTATTCGATCTTTTTTGGTTATTCTTCAGAGGTGAATAATTTAGGATTTGTATCATTTGAATGTTCAACAGAAGACTTGAGGATTCGCTTTTTGTCATTTTAAATTTCAAGTACTCTATTTTCCACTTAAGAGGAATCGATTCTTTCTGGGGAGAGCAAGAGATCTTGGCTTTTCACATTAAAAGCCCTTGAGGATTTGATGTTATCGAAATGATTGGTATATAGCTTTTGTGCTTATAAGGTGTATTAACTTTTCTAAACATTGGACACTTCTCTCCTAGAACCCTCTGTTTTTTGTTTAGCTTTACTTACACCACGAGCCTTCTCGGGACATACACTATGAGTGCCCTCTTGTGGTTTAGTCTTTCCAAATAGATTTTGTAGTTAATTCAGAGAAGTGAGGGGATGTCTCTCACGAATAACTGACATATTGTTAAATTAATATATATATTTCACTGTTTTGCCTCCTTCACTACTTCTATTGTTCTAGCCAAAGCTTTCAATTGAGCAATAGCTAAATCAAGCAAGTCAGCCCTGGTTTCAAATCTGCATTGTTCAGATATCACCTCGACTAGGCGCTCAATCTCCTCAATCTAATCCACGTAGCATTTATAGCTCAATTCAACAGTCAAAGTTGGTCTACGAGCCATAGGTCCATAGAATTAGATTGGGCCTGGATTCTCATAGTGATCTTTCAAATACCAATTCTTAGAAATCTGGCTGAAATGTTTAAAGAGCGACTAAACAAAATTAATTAGATCTAATTACCTATTTCAAATCCACTTCATAACTAGCAATAATAGGTTATGCTTCTCCATATGCACTCTTCTATTTGATGGATATCATTCCTAAGAGTGGGATTAAATTGAAATGCCATCTCTCAATGGGACCTGCAATTCCTCTGGCAGAAACACAATAGCCAGTCAATCCTCTTTAGATGCTTAAACCTGCCAAATAACCATAGACTTCTCCTAACTTGGCATCGAATCGAGTAGGGAATGCGCATCTACCTTGATATCCGAAAAAGTGACAAATAGGTGAAAATGAACCCTTGTATTTTGATTCTGCTTTTCTGACTTTGAGTTCTTCAGCAACCAAATGAGCTAATAATCTCTCAGTTTCAATTTGCGATAATTGGATGCCTCCATGTACTTCTCTTTCCATAAGCAACTACTGTTAAGTGAAATCTGGGAGGGATTAGAATAGAGCTGCAGACCAAGGAGTTAAATTATTCATTATATCCTGTTTATTGGTTGCGAAATGCTTATCCAATTCCGTAATTAATTATTTGAATTATCCAATGTGGGCCAATAAACCTTCAGGTACAAGAACAGTACCAAATTCTTTATTTTTCTATGATCTAAGTACAACCACATCTGCAATTTCTGAGACCACTTCTTGTAAAGTAAGTCCTCTTTCTTTAATATCTTCACTGATGAGAACAACATTTGGATGAGTTTAAAGTGCACATTCTAACACAAGATGTGAAGGATCTCTTCCCATTAATCTAATGAAGTACCAATATTTGACAGCACTGGCAGCATCTATCATGATATTACCGATCATTTAGGAATAGGTCTTAGAAGCAGTGTCAAAACCAACAATGCCTTCTAAAAATGGATGGCCAATATTATTATCGACTGTGCATGGAACTCCAATAACTCTGGTCTTGACATTCTCTTACAGTAAATAGTTGGCAACTATTATGCAATCTGTGAGTGTGTGTGAAGCACCTACTACAACTAATCCATCTAAAGATAGGATGTTGCAAGTTTCTTTAACTTATTGTAATTCTTATACAGATCTCATTTTATCTGCAGTACGACCTAGATAATGATATCCACCTTAGTTAATATAGTATTGTAGACTATTCTAATTGATTTCAAGATATTCTTATTTGAATAGACCTTAGGTACCTCCAATGAATCCATATAATGTAGATCCACTTTACTCACACAATGCCAATAATCCTCTAATGATGCAATTTGCTCCTGGAGATTGTCGACCATTCAATGTAATACCAATTCTTAATGGTTTATTATGTGCTTCATGAGCATCATCGTGTAAAAGTTGGAATGCATTTATACTTTTGGCCATAAGAGATGGAAAATGCTTTTCAATGGCTTTCATGACATTATCACTGTAGTTGTGATGGATGACCTTAAGACTTAACTTAAGATTTAGGTGTTTTGGGAGAGACAAAGGAGTATTTGATCTGTCCAATCCCAACTTTGATAAATTTCTAAGATGCATTTCTTCATAAGGTTTTTGCTCATAAATTTTATTGTCCACTTCTTCAAATTCAAATCCTTTGCCATTGATAAGGAAGGGAGGTACTTAATCACCTTCGAATTAGATTGGTCCAACAGGATGATAATAATCATGGAATGCCCATTTCTCTCTATTTGATTAATAGAATTTGAATAGTGGTCCATCAAGATCAACTAATGCTTTTTTAATGACTGGAACAGATTTCCCTTTTCTAGTCTCCACATCCATCATAGTTACCAATGGGAAACCAGCAGCATTCCATTCAGATGGACTTTTGTGTAAATCACGAATGCAACTCATAACTCCAGTGAATTTATTCTCAATTAAGATAGCTGCATTAACACCCAAACTGTAACAATAATCGCAATCAAATTTAGTAGGGAATGCACATCTACCTTCATATCCATAATAATGACTGATGGCTGAGAATTTACCACCATACTTTCTTCTTTCCAATTCAGCTTTAACCATCTCAATCAATAGCTTTTCAGTTTCAATTTTAGCCACTTGAACATTTCCATGTGGATCACGATCAAGTAACAATTAATCACTAATACTCCTTGGTAAGAATTCTAATAGTTTTGATGATTCAGGTGTTAATTTAGTCAAGATATTATTAAATACTTAATCTGGTTCCCATTTGTTAGCTGCCAATATTGTATTAATTTCTTTGATCAATATCTTTACTTCATCGATAAACTCAATCAATCCTTCTGGTACTAAAATGACTCCATGATTCTTATTTTACTTATATCTCTTCTCAATCAAATCGCTCAATTAAGTAACTATTTATGTCAATGAGGTCTTATTCTTCTCTACTTCCTCTCCAATATAAGCCCAAGTGGGTCTTGTTAAAAGTGCACACTCCAATGCAATATGAGATGCAGATCTACCCATCAAACGGATGAAGTGATAGTATTTCTTAGAGGATACAGTATCCAACATGATATTTCCAATAAGTTCACTGTATGTTTTACATGCTGTGTCAAATCCAAAACTTACTTCAACAAACTCATTCTTTAGATCTCCATCAATTGTCTTTGGACAACCAACAACACTTGTTTAACAATTATTCTTCAAGAAATACTCTGCCAATAAGCAAGCATTAGTGTTTGAGTCATCTCCTCCGATCACTACCAAACCATCTAGTTTTAATGATTAACAATATTGAAGAGACTTCTTGAATTGTTCTTCTGTTTCAATCTTGTGTCTTCCACTTTGAATCATATCGAACCCTCCTCTATTCTTGAAATAATTGATAGTATCATCTTTCAATTCCTCGTACTTGCCTGAGTAAATACCAATTGGCCCCTTCAAAAATCCAAACAATTAACTATTTGGATGTCTTCTCTTTATTTGTTCATAAATCCCCACTATGACGTTGTGACCACCAGCTGCTTAACCTCCTGAGAGCACACAACCTTAAAAATCGAAACTAAAACATTACCAATTCTCAAAGGTGCTCTTATTGTATTCTCATTAGCATTTGCAGCTTAAAATGCGACTGCCTTAACTTCTTCCTTGCACAAAAAGGGAAACATCTTTAAAAGAATGATAATAGATACATACTTCTCGAATTTGAGGATTCACTTAAATTGTCTCTGTTTTGGTGTCCAACTCTTCCAATTACAATAATTGTGGTAACTCAGGCTAATATTTGGTTCTGAGACTATGAAAGTTATTGGGTTGAATAATCATTAAATGTATTAATCATGTTTTCTCCATCATTAGATATATATAAAGATTCATAGTGCGCTTTTAATTGTCATTATTAGTATTTTATACATGCATTTATTCATTTATATTATATCTCTATATGTTATCAGAACAAATTAAGTAGATGCTACACCAATAAACCAAACCCTTTCTCTCACAGACATTCTCTCGAAAAATAAGCACTCCCAACAAGAGATCCTAAGCACTCTCGACTTTATGTGCCCAAGATCTCCCCTCCTACTCACCATCTAAGCACATCCTTTCAGATTAAAAACCTCTTAGATTCCAAACCTTAGAACATCAGAAGACTCAACAACCAAGTTCTCATAATGCCAATTCAGTTAGTTGCCAAACCAACATGTCACTTTGTTGCTTTGATGACCCCTTACCTGACATTCCCCCTTCAGATCCAATATGGTTACAAATCATACCACAAGAAACATTAAAAGGTTCATCTGTCGAACAACTATTTAGAGAAAATAAACAATATTTTTATCACTTATTGAGTTAGTACTTCAAAGAACAGATTCAAGGCGATTTCAATATGACTAAATTTCAATCGCCAATTAAATGCAAAACTCGCAACGACTATGATTCCTAATAGAAATCTAATGACAAAATTCAACCTAATAAAAATTCCTTCTATGAAAATTATAAGTCTCCTTAACATTAGCAATTTGCCAAAACTTCTTACAAATCTGACTTCACAGGATATGCACCTCAAAATTACAATGTTTAAACAGAAAAGCTTAAATACGAGAAAGCTAAGTAACAAATCGCCACACTTATATCCTACAAAGTAAAATGCATTTCCTATTGTTAGATTAACGATAATAACTATGAACAGAATCAAAAAATGAACAGATTAACCGCTCCTCGATTATCTACATCTACAGAAATCAGAATCTAAGCTTATAAGAACTACAATTAAGCCCTTGAATAACCCTAATTGATAGAATAAACTTAAAATTGCAAAAATAATTATTCAAAATTGTATTTCACTCATCCTTTAATTAAGGAATCCATTATCCTCCAAGGGTATCTTTTTTGAGAAAAAATCAGAATCATACTTTTAATATCCACTTCATCCTTTGCCAAAATCAAGCAAAACCTTTCTTAAACAATATTCAACAATCATAAAAAAGTAAAGATACTCTATGAAATTTCTAGAGATATATAAGGACCCAAAATTGGAGATGTTACCTAGATGAAAAATTGGAGACAGAGTGTCATTAAATAAATGAATCACTTAAGAAGATTATCATAGAACTGAAATTAATTATTCTAATATAGAAACAATTTTGTATTTTTTATTCTTGATATAAATCTAATCAATATTTGATTAATTCATGTGATAATATCCTTATTTAAAGTGAAATTTACATTCTATATAAAAAAGATTGCAATTAATATTCAAAATAGATTATCTGCAATTTATCAACTTGCAAATCGTTAAGAAATACTAAACGATAGTTTTTTAAAAGTCTCAACTAAATTATAATATAAAAAGTAGTTCTTTAAATAAATTAAATAAGTTTAATAAATAAATAAATATTCAGTTTCTTAATCTGTTTATTAAATTGATCTCTGATAAAATTTCGTATTATTTAATAACATCAGAATTGTTAACGGCGTTTTGAATTTATTAGCCATATTCATCTAATCTAAAAAACTTATTATAAAATTTACTTTTAGTTTAATTCTATGTTTAGTGTTTACTAAGTTTATAAATTTCCCTTCAACTGAATGAGCTCCTAATTTAATGAGGTCTCCTTCTCTTCATACAATTTCTTAGTACTCAGTAAATCTTCATTTTATTGAGATTAGATTGACTCTATTTCTTATTCATAATTATATTTTTATTCTTCAATTTAACTCTAGAGTGTATTTTTAGTTTCTTATAGTTCATTATCAATTTTATCTAAATTTTCTTCAGCAGCTTTTAATTATGCTTTTAATTCAGCCAATTGTTGTTCTTTTTATCTATTCTAATTCTATAAATTAGTTATTTATCTCTCAGCATTTTATTTGTCTCTTTATGATGTTGATGATAATTATTATATTTTATGTTCTTGTTGCTTAATTAATTTTAATTATTTGTTTAATTAATCTTCCTACTCGGCTACTGTAACATTGAATTTGGCTTTGTTTTGCTCATTGTCTCTGTACAAATCATTTAGTTTATTCTATGAATATTTTTAAAATTAAGTACAATCAATTGATCATTCATATTCTTGAATTACACAAGTGTGGTTTCATATTATTACTCCTTTAATTCAATTATCTAATTTAAATTTTAAATCTATTGTTATAACTATTGATTAAATTCTAATTGCTATTGATTATAATTCAATAATTCTTTCTTCTATAAATCATAATCTTGATAGTTTTTTAAAATCTAATCTTGATATCTACTTTATTAATCTTAAATCTAAGGAATTATAAATAATACTTACTTCTTTCTTCAAATTGTTGATGATATTTTATGCATTTTCTTGATCCTATAGATTGGCTTAGTGTAATTATTATCTTATTTTTTACAACTCCTCTAATTGTTTGCTTTATTCTAAAACCTATCCTTTTAGATGGGCAATTTAATTTTCAAGAATTTGATTGGAATTCTAATGATGTGATTACAAGGTCTCAACACCTATTTCATGCTAGCTTCTTAAGTTATTTTCCATTTGTTAAGATTCCTCTTAGAATCTTTACTCATTTTCAAACATCTTTTCCTTCAAAACATGGAATTGAAGGGTAATAGTTTCAATTTCTCTTTCATAATTAGCTCTCAATCTTTCATTCTAATCTATTAATGTCTTAATTTCTTCATTCTTTATTCCTAAAAGCCCTTTCAATTTTTCAATTTCATCATCTAAAATTTCGGCCTGAGCCATGTATTGATTCTTAATATTGTCCAATTATCCTTAATTGAGTATATCCAACTTTTGTCTAAGATTATTCATTTCAATTTGATTGTCTCTCTCTTATTCTTATAATCTGGTTCTATATATGTCGTTATCCTTAAGCAATTTAGTCTCCACATATTCTCTATCTTACAAAACCTTAGTCAATTTATTCTCTAACTCATAGATCTCCTTGTCTCTTATTTCAGCGTACTCTCTCAGTTTTCTTAATTGATTTTCAAGCACATCAATTTAAGTGAGATAACTATGTCTTTATTATTCATTTTAAACTGTCAAAATTATAAATAAAATTACTTGAGAAATTGGTTTTAGTGGCTTCAACTTCATGCGATCTCTCCTTCTCAAGTATGGCGTTTCTTTCCTCCAACATCTTTAGTTCGTTACTAAGCTTGCGTAAATCCAATTCATATTGAGCCTTCACTATTAATATATAAAAAATCTACATACATTAAACAGCACTGTTGAGCTATTACTCATATTTGGATTTCCATAATTCACATTCAGTCTTCTTTTAGGCAAAGTTCTTTTGTAATTTATCTATGTCTGAACTCAGGATTTAATTCTAGTGTATCATTAACTCCGCCTTCTCATCCAAAGCGCCCTATTTGCTCATTCTAATGATGGTAGTATCCAATTCATTTTTCAGTTGTCTGGCATATTATTCAAGATCAGCTGAACGAGTCTTGTAGTATTCCAATTCTTCGTTAAATTAAAAATCTTGATTATTGTTGTTACCACATACCTTTCAAGTTAATAGAGTTTTTAAGAGAAATGCTGGCCTCAGGATTATAAGGATGAGGTTTCTTATATTAAGGACTCTATTAATATGGTTTATCCGATTTCATGTGAGGTGATGCAGTTAACATTTTTATTCGTTAAAAAAATTAATTTTAATATTATCTCAATGCCAGGGAAGATTTTCTGTGTTTTGATTGCCTCCAGAAACGACCTTGTCTTTCTTAGCTCTATAATTCGAGTAATCGTAATCGTCTTCAATCTAAAAAGCCAAATAAGTTAAATAATTACATTTATAGTTTAAAACTAAGTTGTCTGAGTAGGAGGCTGATTTTCTTAAAATTAATTATTGGATTATTTGAGTTCAAACAATTTTTTCTATAAGCTTTAATTGACCTGCAATTGATTTAAAATACTATCCTGTAAAATATCCATTTGGTGTTGTTTCTAAGCTTATTAATCGTTTAATGATGTTATTTAAGCCTACAATTCATCTTACTCTTTCTTAAGGAAATCATAAAAGCTTTGAAGTTTTTAGATGGTTTGATTGAGAAATTCAACATCCTTCTTCTTGTCATCGATTATTTATTTTTATTAATCTACGTTATTTGCTAATTAAATCTATTAGGCTTAATTTTAAAGCTTATTCTGTGAATAACTCGCTTGGAGATTGGAACCTTGGAATTCATTCTAAGATCCTGCTCTTTGTGGTTATGGTGGTAAACCTGAAGGTAATTGTGGCATGGTTTGAGAAGTTGATCGAACCTAATTTTACTATTGGTCTCTTCTTGTTAATTGAAGCAAAGACTCAGGCAATTATTAAGGTAATGGGATGTCTTTTCGACAAAGAGCTATCAAATGAACAGCAACAATAAACTCATTCTTAAAATAAAAACCTTTGTGTCCAATATCAACTAAATTCTAAAGTTGGGTCAAAGTTAAAGCTGGGAGTTGTGACTTCTAAAAAAATGCTAAAGCCTAGTCCCCTTATATAAATCCTTAGTGTGCTTTATCTTATTGTGTGAAGCAGAGTTCATATCTATTATATTAATCATCAGGTAAATCGTACTAAAGTAATGTTAAATTTCATACTTTTGAATAATCTATTATGGGTTCAACATAAGTTTAGAGTGAGATTTGATTATGGTTTGGGACTGGTACTGTTTAGTAATAATTTGATTAGGGTAACTAATTTTAAGCTTATTAAAAGTTGTTGAACTACTGCTATTAAGGTTATAGGATTGGTTATTATTATTATTAGGGTTATTATTATTACTACTATTGTGGTACCTAGATTCCATCCATCACTGGAAGAGGAACTGGCCTATTTTAGTTCAATAATTGCTCATTAAATTCAAATCCATTTTAACAATATGCAATTAGTCTCATAACAGTGGCAAATTCTGAATAATAAAGTTTGCCTTCTTAATTCTTTACAGCTGCCAACCATACTCCTTTGAGTGCGTCAACTGGAAGTCGACTTTTTTTGAAAAATTGAACAGTACTCTTAGCCTCTGCAAAGCCTAGACCCTAAGAATCAAATCAAATTGAATTACTTATGGATCAAAGGGAGCCCAGAGTTGTCTGTAGTAGGCGTCTTCTTAAGGTGTATATTGAAACATTTGAATTATTTTTATTATTGATATAAAAATTCAATCCTTAATAATTGTCTTGCACTTTTTAATTGTTTTATGAACCTTTCTCTTCTTTTAATTCTTTTGCTACTCAGTTGGTGCTATAATTATTGGTTTGAGGATGACTCTCCTCTTTTTCACTACTTTTCTCGTTTTCTTTCTTTATTTAACCTCATCATTTTAAATTTAGTCGTGTTATTACTCTCCTTAGTGATCGATTAAATCATCTTGATCTTATTATAATAGTCTCGTTTATTACTAATTTTATATAAAATTCGACTAATGAACGAACATTTTGCTTTGATATCTTTATCTTAGAGCTTATTCTAGGGTTTATCTCTAGCAGTGTGTGATGAAGAGAATGCAAAGAAAAACGATAAAATGTTTCATCAAAATTAAATTAATTATCTCACTACTCATTGGCTTCTTATTCTTTAAATTTTTGGGGCACAATACTGTCGAATGCCTTGCTCCAATCTTTATACTTCAACCATCCAGATATCATCAAAGCAGCTGTACTCACATTCAAGCATTTTTTATAATTCTTTTTGATAAATTATCCAATAGGCAATTTTGCACTTCTCACTCCTAATTATCTACTTCTATTTAAAGTGGCATTTTTTATGATTACTCTAAAATAATTCTAATTAAAATATATACCTATCAACCAATCCTCCTATGACATAGACCTCATCTTCCTTTATCTCTTGCAATTCCTCTTCGCCATCAGGACTTAAATACACAATATTTGCTTATTAAAATTCTTCGATGTCTGTGAATAGCCTCTCCTCTGATACTAATTGCCATTATTTGTAATTATATTGCTCTAAATATTTATGGAGTATTGGGTAGATATTTGTAACATAGATTTTAAGTGGGACATCTATCTTCCTATTTTCAGTATAAAGTTCCGATAACTATCTTGCAAGTGATCTTTATTCTTTGTCTGACATATTATCCTCAAAACCACAATCAATAATAATCCTAAATGGACTTTAAAGTGCTTTCATTCCATTCTCTTTCTTTTGATTTCTTAATCCTTTAAACTGATGAACAAAATCATTCTTTTATTCCTAAGTTTCTAATGTTTAAATTATTTCCTATTTTTATTGCTTTATTTTCTTTTTTTTCTCCTTTTTCTTCTAAACTACCTTCTGTCTATGCAATTCATTCTTTATTTATTATTTTTCTGATTTCAATTATTTGTTCTTTTCATTTTAATGTTCTGTAATAATATCGTCTCCAAATAGATCAAATATTTCCATAAAATTAATTTTTTAATAAGAAAAATCCGTTCAAAATAATCAACCTAAAAATTGCAATTCACCAATTTTATGACTTTTAAATTCTACACTACTTTATATTATGTATTTAAAGTATTTACATAGCCTTCTCAAGCTTACAATTGATGGTGCCTAAGATTTACTCAGAATTAAATAAGAAATTATTTCTCAGTAAAGATGTTTTGGTTAATTAATTGAAAAAGAATTTAATTATGAAAAATTAAAAAAAGAAATAAATTCAATCAATGCAAATAGAAAGACTCAAAAATGATACAAGATATGCTTCAGCATGTGATAATTGAAGAAAGCCTTGTCTAAATGCTATAATTCTTTTAAGCTAAATTAAGGACTAAGAAAAATTCTTACATTAAAATAAAAATAATAATTTTCAGATCTAAATTGTGAATAATGATTATTATTGTAGATATGTAAATGAAGCTGATTAATTTGATATTATTGAATGAATTCAATTTGAATTAAACATAATTTGATTCCAAAAAATATAAAATTAACTTAATATCTTTCATATTTGTTGAATTATACAATTAATCCTAACCACTAAACATGTTGATTAATTATACATAATAGAATTTATACAAAAAGAACATTGTTATCATATTAACAATTTTGATAAAAAAATTTGGCTAATAAAGAAACCTTTTATAAATAATTCTTTGCATTTAAAATTTGGATATATAAATATAATTTTTTATCTTTGGTGAAGCATTACTAATGCAAATTGTCTGACATAGATCCTCAGAATAATAGAGAGTCCAAGGAGTCCTAACGAAGTCAAAAGTTACTTAAATGTTGAAATTAAAATTTACTGTCAGAAGAAGTATTGTTTTTACATAAATTAAATTTGATTTTTACTGTTAAATAAAATTTCAAGCTTTTGACAGAATCTGAATATATCTAAATCACAACTTTTGCTAATACCCAATATTTGGATTATGCAAGGGAGTAATTGTTAAAATTTTTTCAAATAAATATTGTTTGTTAGCATAACTGGATTTTGGAAAATATATTATCTGCTAACTGATTTAAATTGAGCATCAAGCTACACTAATAGTTATTACTCTTCGGCTTATACATCATAGCTATATTATATCAGCTCAATGGTAGCCTTTTAAAAATACTACAAAAAATACTGCTTTGAATCACTTATAAGGCTGAAGGCATTCTTGAAATTAATAGAATTAATGTAAGTTCAAATACATACACAATATAAAAACCGTATTTCACCACTTTTAAAAAATTCAAGAATCACTGGTATAATGATTTATGGTACAGAGAGGTAGATTAAATATTTAATTTGATTAGAAACAACTAGAGTATTATATGATTGAATAGATAAATAAAATATAATGGTTGTTCTTCATTTTTTATCTTACTTTTTTCTACTGCTATTATTATTAAGATTTATTTTCAATTAGACTACTGGCTTCTGTGAATCACTTTTGTCTTCGTTTCCAATTTTCTTGATTTTTTTGGATTTTTGATTGACTTTGATGTCCACATTAACTTAATCCTAAGAATTCAAGACTTAAGCGATATCCTATTGGGCTTGGATCTCAGCATCAGTTCTATTAAGACACTATTCACATTTGCATAGATCACTGCATTTTAAGTTTTGGCTATAGCATTCGCAATACTTCTTTTTGCATCCAGATTTTTTACAATTACAACCTTTTCTAGTTATATTTGAATTATCTTTGGTTGGTTCTTTAAGTGGTTTATCTTAAAATTACTATGAGAAGTTACCTTATTATTAGACAGAGAATTAGGTTTGACCCTTTTATTGAAAACATTGTGCGAAAGCATCTGGATTTCTAAGCAAAGCTTCTTCAATTGCTTTTGACCTTTCTTGTGGATTATCGATTCTATTCTTACAATCTTAGCAATTGCAGCTTTGTGAACAAACCTTTTGTTATTGATATTATTAATTCTTATACCCAATTATTGGCAAAGCATTCGCAATAGAGTTTGAGGCATTTGCTTTTTTTACAATTACATTAGAAATCCGACACTTTTTGATATTAAACTAACTGAAACACTTTGGATTGCAATTCCTTGGAAACGGTATTTTAGCATTGCAGTCCATCATACTGAGATTAGGGATAATAACAAAATGGGGGCATTAATTATTATTATGGTCTTTAATGATACCATGGACTGGGTGGAACCATATATGGCTAACCTTGATGTGTGGGTGGAGGATATTTCATAAACATTGTTTGTGGCGCGTATTTCATAGGTGGATAATAACTGAATGGATAGGACACAGGAATACGATGTGGATCATCGTCAATGTGATCCATTTGCGGAACTTCACCTAAAGAATGCTTTGGATAAGGATAGCTACTTTGCCCTTTCCTATCGCTGTTCATTTGCGGATATTTCTGTTGATCATAGTCATGATAGACTTGCATAGGATTGTAGGGTTTACCTTATTTCTCTAATTCAAATGGAGGAGGACACATGGGAGGGAATAATTATGGATAAGGCATAGGTGTAAATCGTGGTGATGGGTTCCCTTAATACCCCCAATCCTCTGTAAAATCCTGCACTTTCTTATTGTCAGGTTTTGGTTATGGGTCATTTGAAACATCCCTTCATTATCATTTACATGTTAATTTACCTATTCTGTTCCTCCGAATCAGCACTCATAAATTAAATATTTAATCTCTTAAGATATTTAAATTAATGATCAAATAAAATATAAATTAGATGGGCTCTAACTTACTCTTCTTAATTATTTTTAATCAAAATTTCAATGTCAAAAGAATACTCAATTACATTTTAATCATTATTTAGAAATTGAAAATTTACTTATCGATTAATTTGAATGTTATCAATACTTTTTCTTTATTGAAATTTATGATTTAAATTCAAGAGAATTATTTAAAATTCAATAATTGATCTTTTTAACCCTAAAATAGTAAATAATTTCTACTAAATTATAACTTTATTGATAAATTAATAGCTCAGTATAAATCTGTAAAATGCAACTCCTGAATTACTGCATACAGGAAATAAGCATACTTCTATTATCCTGTAAGAAGGCAAAAAATTCCAATTTAATTTAAACGGAATGCCAAATATTAACAAAACCATTCGATATAGATTAAAAATCCATTAAGAAGTGACTAATATCTTATAGGTAGATATTAAATTGTGATATATGAAAATTCTAAATAACAACATTCTTATATTTAACAAACTCTTTGAAGTATGAATTAGTCAAAGTACTTCTTTAATTCTATTTTTTGGAATTTTATTCTAGGTTTAATGCCATTTTTTTCAATTAAGGACTATCTAGAAATCTTGCTTTTTTGGCAATAAATTGATTTTCATTTAATGATCAATTTCCAAAGCACTGAGATATTAAAAAATTCTTTTTGCATTCTCAAATTTTTCAAAATACGCATAGAAATTATTAAAAACCAATATATTCATTCCCTTTAGTTATGTAAGAAGATTAAGATTTCATTAATTACAAATAAAACTAATAATATTTGATATTAACCCAATTCACTTTTTTGGGCAATTTAAGTAAATTTAATTTTATATATATTTTATTTCAATCTTTTTATCATTATTAATTAATCAGGTTATTTTATTTAGAAATATTAATTAATAGAATTCTAGAATTTTTCCTTCTCCTAAAAATCTTCCTCTAACTAATTATTAATAAATGGTGCATATCTAATTTGCCATTGTTAATTCAATTCTGTTTGCTATGTCTCAAGAATTTAAATATGTTTAAATAATAATTTTCTATTGGATATTGAGATTTATAGTTCTTCAGGTAGATTGATATGGAGTAGTGTAAACACACATATATATATGATAATTAGGTTAATTTTTTAAAAACATCTTTGTTTTAATAATTATTATAAATAATATCATGTATAATTAAAATAATGAAAAGGTCAATTCTCTGTTTGATTTAGTTGAAAATGATTTCATTGTGAATTATTTATTGGATCCACCGTAAGTGCTTGATTTTATTTTATTAGTCATGCATTTCCAAGAACTAATAGTAACTAAAATTTTATTGGATTATAATAAAATTTCTCATTGTTGGATAATTAGTATGAACCAATGGACATGAAATAAGACGAGCCAATTGCAGAAGCAAAGAAATAAAAATCGAAAAAACGAAAAACTCAAAAAAGCAATGTAAAGAATTTAAAACCAATGTGATTTAGGAATCTGAACAATTAAAATAAAAGGATCCATTTTAGTACAAGAATAACTTAAAGAACACATACATCAATAAGATTACGAGTTTGGTTTAGCAGGATAGTCAGAAATTGTTACAACAACAATAGGCAAAATTTAGAACATCAGAGGATGATAGAATTGATAAAAATAACAGTGTTTCTTATTAGGATATAGAGGATAGCACTCAGGCCAAATTGTTAAGGAACAGAGAATGTGCTAGGAATTCAAGGAAGAGGAAGAAGATTTACATTGAGTTGTTGGAAAACCGAGTCAAATAATTAAATGATGAACTCGAAAAACAGAAATTATTGAATAAGACAAGTGCAGGTTACTTGAATAAGATGAGTTAGAATCAATAAGTATTTATTCATGAGAATATTTTCATAGTTGCAAGGATTCTTTTTGGGAAGGTAATAATTATATGAGAAATTGGAGAAATCCATCCAAAACAAGGCAGATGATAATGAATTAAATTTATTGTTAGATTCAATGAGGTTTAGAGTTGGTGGAGGTGGCAAAGAAAGAGTAAGTGCATCCAATTACTTCTTTAATCAAATATTGGAGATCTGCTTTCCTGTTCATGTTCGATACATGTTATGGGCTGCTAGTGAAAGCAAGGACTTATTTGCTGATTAATTAGATCAGTAATAGTAGGAAGGATAGCCTTAATGGTTGTTGGATCTGACCAGGGATCTCTAGATAAACGAAACTCAGAAAAAATAGATGAAGAAATCATAAAGAAGGATCATAAGTGATAAGAATAAACTATTAGAGTAATTCATATTCAATAACCTTATAGAATCTTGACTTAATTCCAAGAAATCAAAGAATAACTATATAATAAAACTTCCTAAGTGGAGAACTTTATTGATGAACTTAGAAATATTTTAAATCCTACACAAGTTGGCAAGTTTTTAATTGGTTTAGAGAAAGTATGATCATAACTTATAATGTAGAACAAATTTAGAAGAGAAATGACAATATCCAAGATATGGAATATATTTGATGATCAGAGTGATGATGAAGAAGCGGAAGTTGAAGTTAAAGAAGAGGATTCTGTAGAAGAACCAGCTAAGAAAAAAGTATAAATTTGAAATTTGTTATGTTACATGTCTCATCAATAAATAATATAATATCTATATCATTGTTATCATCATCATTAGTTTTTGTAAGCATAATAAAAAATACTTCCACCTAAGATTAAAGATATCAACAACTATAGTAATCCAATCATAGGACGATAGTATAACCAGCAAAAGCAAATGGAGAATATATTGATAGGTATTGCACCAATAAGGCCATAAATAATAAAACCAAATCCACTCAGTTGATCTGATTAAATCAATTACGATAATTATGATACAGGAGATAATAAAATTATCGATCCCACAGCCTATGTTATTCCATTTTTATATATACTATCAAAATATAGCCAATACTTCTAAAGACCCAAAAAAGCAAAGCATTTTCATTAACTACTTTTTAAAGACATTCTTCAGGAGTAAAAAGACCTTAAAAAATCCAATAAATTTGTTTGATTGGTTTGTCCTCATTTGGAAGTTAGGTATCAGATAACTCCTTCTCTTGCACTTGATTTTATTTGGATACAGTTTTATTATATGTATCTTCAAATTACCAAACCAAAAGTGAATTGATGATCGCTCTAGCAACTATTGTGGCATCACTACAAATTACTTATTTGAAACATATTCTCAAATCCCCATTTACAATTTGATCTTCAACCTAATGCATGTAGATGTAGTCATCTTATAATAAGCTTAATAGAATCAATAATATATACAATCTTCTATATCCTTTATCCTTGTATCTCTATTAGAATATCTGAACATTTGCCTAATTCAATTTGACAGTTTCTAAAGGAGTATTGAGTTGGGTTTTCATGTCCTCAGGCAATTCAAATTGATGCAATTTAACACTTATATTTAAGAAGGTCTCTGAATTTAAAATCCATTTAGATTTGTCATTATTATATCCAAAAGAGTTTTCAACATAATGATCGACCCATTATTGCTCTTTCTACTTCTCTCCCACAACCCATTAATACATTTCCACATTTCTATACAACTTTACACAATTGATTTAAGAGACACCAAATTCTTTATCAGTTACTAATTCATCAGTGATCAATTAACCAGTGATGTGAATTAAATCTTCGGGGTTTGATTCTTAAAAAGGTGTAAGGGAGATACAATTCTATCTTGCATATTAAAGGCGATATGAATTGATAGCCGCTTTTCTTTCATTGAACTACAATAATATAAAAGAGATTGCTATGCACGCCACTCCAGCAAATATCAAATTTGTTTCCAAATCTTCGGAACCTGATCGAAGGTGATGAATATGTTTTTGAATCTCTGAACCTAATGTAATTGAAATAAGGGTAAATAATTTCAAATATTTCATTAATTAATATGTTTTATATTCACCAAACCATTATACCAATCCATCATATGATCTTAAGAATGGAACAGCAAATCAATTGACCCTTGATTTAGAGTGAGAATTTGCAAAGGCCAATAAGAGAGACTTGGAACATTGTTTTCTTTGTCCTGCATTTTGCTCGGCTTTCTCTTTAGATATCCCTGTATTTATTTGGGAATTATCACTCTCAAAATTTGAGAAAGAGGCAACTAAGAGTCGATTACCTAAGGTTTCAATTGATTTCTAAACTCAATTCTATCCTAAGTCAATTATGCCATCCTTAGCCCATAGCCCAATTACGTAGGGTTTTGATGTTGAAATACATCAAACTCCCTTTTCTATGGTATATTTGAGAACTTTTTGAGTAACAAAGTCCCTTTTGTTAATGATCTCTTTAAAGGATTGTCTCTCAAGTAGTAAGACTTAGACATTTAGGGACTGATTTAAGCAGTTGAATGTTTATGACTAAATATAGTTTTGCTATGATAATGTTATCTGATAGGTTGATTGCTGTTTAATAGTTATTCTTCATAAATAGTATGTAATTTGATTGGATGAGAGGATTTAGTAATGATGTTATTGAATTCATCCATGTGTTAGATTAAGGAGTCATCTTATTATGAATTAACGATTTATTTGGAGAGATCTGATGATTGAATTCTTTTATAATAATAACACAAATTACATTTAGGATAATTGGAGAGTATCATCCCTCTTTTGAAGGATTGATTGATTTGTCCTATTTTATTGCTGATTTAATTGGCTAGACAAATCGTTATCCACATAAAAAATATTGTATTAAATGGCTTGGTCTATTTAGTTGAATTGTTAGTATATTTAAGTAATGCCTTATATCTTTTTGTTGTACTATGTGTATATCATTCCTTTTATCTACTCCTTTTATTCAAGTAACTGTTATTGATACTTCTCCTCTCCATGTATTACTCTAAACCCCTTAAAATCACTAACTTAATTTAATCGACACAATTACTCCAATTAGCCATATATTATTCAAAAACTTGGAGGGTTTGCTCCTCCATCCTTTTGTTTAGTTCTTAATGCAAGGTTTCTCTCTCCTTAATCAAACTCTTAATCTTTTGATCTGAAGAACAATTGTTTTGAATTTCTTAAGCTAGCTCTTGAAGTTTAATGGCCAAACTATATTCGAAAGTACTATTGGTTTTCTGAAACTCTAACAATTCTTCGAGTTCTTCGTAATGCCCTATCAATTCAACACGTTAGAGCAATTTGGCATTCAAATCTTCCATCAACATCTGTTGCCATTCTGAATTCATTTTAAAATATTATATTTAACTGTTAGTATAAATTAATAAATATAATCCAGTCATTTTTATAAAGTTACGATATGGCTTTTCAATTCCTGTATCTGTTTATTTGATCTTTGATATTGTTCATCCATAAATTAGTAATCATGATGCTTATTCTTATAAGTAGCTAACTCTTATCTTAAAGAAGCTGTTTGAGCATTCAATCTCTAAATTTCCTTTTAGAGACTGTAATTCTTTTCATCATTCAATTCCAACAGCTTAATCCTATTCTTCAAAGCTTACACCTCTTCCAAATCCACATTCGGCTTATTTGATTAGTAGGCAATGATTTATTCCTTCTCTCTTAGCTTTTTCAAAGTGTCCTAAAACATTATATTTTATTGTTATAAATCTGCTTCTTTCTGTTGCAACTTGTCTTATAACTCAGCAGTGATAGATGTCAATTAGGCATTTTGTTCTTAAAGACACTTTTGTTTAAATTGATCTTCCTTTTTACTATCATTAAACACCTATTCCATTCTGCTTTGTTTCGACTTCCATTACTCTATTTCTAATTTAAGTTCATTAATGAGAACATTATTCATTTAATTCTGTTAAATTCTCTAACTGTATTGCATGTTTGTATTCTTATTGACCTCTAATTCAATTTATTTCTACTTTAATAGTTCATTTAATTTATTGTAATCATTTTCAATAATGTTGTAGTTTTGTTTTAGGTGATTGTATTACACATCTAATTAAGATTTCTCATTGGCTATGAATTCCAACTCATTAATCTTATTAGCCTAATCCTATATTCTAGCACTAGCATATTCTATTTTGGATCTTTATTCATTTAATTAATCTATTAATTAATCAATATATGAATCAATTTATTATGATTTGTTCAATTCCATAATTAGATTTTAATTTAAGGCCTTCTGCTATTCGAAATTCCTCAACAACTCCTAATTTTTTTCATGCAATTACATATTCTCATGTTCTTAATTACATAAAAACTATTCTGTTCTACTTACAAAGCAACAATCTCTTATTTTAATTTCAAACAACTTCTTTTCTGCTATTCTAATTCTTATTATATACACTTAATTTTGTCCAATTACTCTATTGATTTCTAATTGTGCTTATTGTGTTTCCTATGCTCTTTACTGAAATATTTGTTGATAATAATCGATCTCTTATTGCAAATTTCTATATTACTCTTACTTTTATTGCAATTAAATTTCCTATGTCTGAATAGTTGAGTTCAATTGATGCACATAAGTCTGTTAATTCTTGTATTCAGCAATTTATTGACACAAATGTTGGTTCTCTTGATTTGATAGCATCAAGGCTTCATTAACCTTTTCCAATTGATTGGTAACGAGTGTTAGCTTCTCCTGCAATTCATACGTATATGCTAACTGCTGTCTAAGCTTTTCATTTTCAATCGCATAGTGTTGCTTTGATATATGAATGTACCAATACCAATTTTTAATTCAAAAGTTCAGTTTAACCAATCTATGGCCTATCCGACAACTATCTTAATAATTAATTATTCTCGCTCTGTAAGTCTTGCTAATTAAAAATCACACATAGATGCATACATATTTTTTAGCCAAGTCTTGATATTGATGTTGAAGCTGAGAATCTCTGTAGCCATAATCTGTACTTGGAGATTGTTGATATCGAATTGGTTATTGAATGATTGGCTATTAGTACTTGTTGGGATCAACGTATATGGTGGTAGTAGGTATATTTTGATGAGGTACATTCCTGTAAGGACTTTGATTGAGATACATAAATGTCGAGCAAAATTAGTTGTTACAAACAAAATTTATTAATAAAATTAGTTATGTATGATAAATCAAATTCAGAACACTCCTTTTGTTCAATTATGAGATGCTATGGTGGATCTGAACATTAAATAAAATACGATAGTATCATACATGATATTAATTAGGAGTCTCTCCAAAAATGTCCATCTGATTTTATAATTATGAAATTTATTTATTATTTTTAAACAATTTCATAGGAATAATTTTTATTAATTAGTGTCATAATCAATGTTGTACTTTTGGTGAGAAAGGTCTTGTGAAATCTTGAGTCTTTTTCTCTGAATTCTTTACGGACAGAGGCTCTCTTATTTGATGAGCATAGGATCTTTAAACTTCTTGTATCTGTCTATCTTCTAATGCGAAATTTAGGATTGCACATTTGATCTAAATTGAGTGCGGAGGCATTATTTGATTAAAATGAGGGAAGATGCGATTGAATTTGTAAAAGATAAGCATTCTTGCCTGTAGAGATTAACACTATTTTAATTAGTATATGTATTTACTTCTTTATAAAGTTCTAACAATTATTATTTGTTACTTATGAGATTGGGATTCTTTTCGATTAAGTACTTTACATCTTTCAAGATGAAAATGTAAATGTCCTATATATCAAAATACAGAAATTTAACTAAATGAGCTATTATATCATTAGGTACTTGTTCATTATTAATTGTCTCGATCAATCGTTGCATATTCATTCCAATATAACATTAATTTGAGAGAGTAAAATAAATCATTAAATCATCGTAAGGCTTACCAATATCTTCATTAATTAAAGTTGTCTACGATGCCAACTTGTATATGTAACAATAATAGGATTAGCACAATTTTCCAATCAAATTATCTGTTCCGTCATTTGATTTAATGTTTATGGTTAATTTAGTATTTATGATCATTTTAGAAAATTCTGCTCTTGCTACTTAAGAACTTATAATTATATGGACTAAAAGCAGCATTTTGAGTTTTACATAAAAATTTTCCTTTCTTTATAAGTGATCTCCTACCACTTGTAACAATTAGTTTAAAAATAATATCTAAATGAAGAATATATCCCTACTTTAGTTTGATCATTTAAAAAAAAATGCTTAAGCCGATTACTAATTTCCAGTTAAGACATAAATTAAGTATCATTAACAACGAGCTTCAAATCAGATAGAGCCATTATGACTTTATTGATAGATTGAGCTCCAGTATTGTCATTTAGAAATTGCTTTATTTTCATGATCATAATATAATTATATATAATCTGTTAAGTTTTTAAATACATATATATCTATATAGTCAATTAACAAATGATATGCTTTTGTTCATTAATTTATGATTTAAAGCATTTGCAATATTTTCAATATTATATGAAGGATAATAATATTCATAACTACACACTTGATCTATATCATCCTCATTCTCCTCTTATTATGGTATGATAGAACCAGTTTATGATTTTGGTTACTACATGATACTTGTGGAATGCACCTTTTTATTTAATGAACTAGAAGAACTAGTTTATCTATTTTTTTGAGTTCTTTTAATCTATAATTCATTGGAGTTAGTAGACTTAACTAAATTCACTTTGATTGAATTTTAAGTATGGGAGTAATCCACATGTTTATGCACAAACTTTCTACTATTATAAGAGGATTCCTTCTCCTCCAACTTTATAGGAGGCAAACTACTCTATTGATGAGTTAGACTATTTAAAGTACCCTAAGGTGAATTAATAGTTTTTGGAGCTTCGACAGTTCCCAGTTTTTGATACAAAGAATAACGAGAGGATTTCTCATCTTAAAAATCATTCAGAATCGAATCTTCAAAGTTATTCATACTGCCTTACAACCTCCCCATGATTTCATTTGTCAAATCAGTTTCTGAAGATATCTTATTTGTAATTGCAAAGCTGATGGCTGTAATGCATATTAGATTCTTATTCTATAAGGAGTTAATCCTATTTTTGCCATTATCTCTATAATAATTAGCTCTATCATTAGGTTCAGATGTGTTGTGAATAAGAACTAATTCTTTGAAATTGGGAACATAAAATACATGTTTGCATTTAGCAAGTGTGTGATTCCTGTATCCACAACAAGGACATACTTCTTTGCTGCAATCTCTTAGCATACAGAATTTTTGAAAATCTTGGCTGTGCATCTTAATCAACCTCAAAAATTCCTCGATGCTCACATGAGCAATTAATGATTCACTTAAACATCTCAGAGTTAAAGGGCATTAGAGTTGAGTGTAAAAGTATTATATAGGAAATATATTGGTTCTTAGCACTTTATTGCCTATGCATTAAGCAAAGTTTCCCTTCATCAAAAAGAATAATTTATCCATAACTTAATATTTTTGATGCAATATTGTTCCATTAGGATAAGTCTAAGTTTTTAATGTCTAGGACAAATCTTACAAAAAGGATCTTGTAAATGGGAGACTTTCCAATAGCGGCATAAAGAGCTCTTGTTTCATTTGAAACTATAAATCAGGTCTCAATCCGCTTAAGTCTATAATTTCCAACTTATTTCGATTTTGATATCTTTATAGATTTTAACTAAGTTGAGCACTAATCTTGTATTTCTATTAAGGTTTATACCCTAAGCATTATTTAATTAGATATATTGTAATTAAATAACCACTGATCGTGACTATTATGGAAAGTACTCTCAATGGTATTTTTGTATCTCCATTGATTTCCAGTTGTCTATCATAAGGATTGCCACTATTGGTCAATTAGAAAATTGTCCATTAAAATGATGTTACGTACATGGAGATATTGCTGTCTGAAAATCTAATTATGCACAATATGTTACTAATCTTGAGAAAGTCTTGAGTAAAGTGTTGAAACCGTATGTATTAGCAGAATAGGTATGAAGCAATATGTTACTTGTGAATTGATCAAGCGGAGTCTTTATACTCTCAATAATAATAATAAAACTAATATAACTATTAAAGTTGTTACTAAAGTACTTAGATACAAACAGTGTAAGCAAGCAACTTGTTAGATAAACAATGTCTTAGTATACGTATTACTGAGCGATGCTCCATCTATTCTCAGTGTACATCTCATCAACGTACACTCCAATAAAATAGTTACTTAAACTTTCAAAAATTGATAAAGCAACTTTAATAAATTGATATCAATTACAAAAAGCTAAAAATAAGTTTTAAGATTCACTGAAGGCGAATTCCCAGAAGATTATCAAAAATCCAAACATTTACATGATGAGCAAGATGTAACGAATCCATAAAACCTTTGGTGTATATGGATTAAATATAAAACAATTTTAAAATATGATATTGGCCTTATCATCTATTAACATTAAATGGGATTATTTAAGAAGGTTTGGTTAAACACACATAATTTTGCTGAGGAACTTAATAATATAAAACCACCTTTTGGGCCATTTTTGTTAAGAGAACAAGTCTTCTTTGGGTAGGAGTGGACTGATTTATATTTTGAATTTTGGAGAAGCTTAGGGGAAATTGGATGATGAAGCCTTTCTCAATTATTCACTATGTTTACGCAAGCCCATATCACTTTGATCACTAAATTTCCGGCTATTTTTGGAAATCAATTTTCGGCCATTGATATTTTGCATCTCTATTTGAAACAACTTTAAAGATTTGTAATTTTCCTCAACTTCATCCACTTTGTTAATATTTCGTTTTTCTATTGACAATCGGGAACCAAAGATATCGCCTTCCTCCAAACTTTCTTTATGTTCACTCTTCTACAACTGATTGGGGTCTTCGAAATTGACATGCTTCTACACTCCAGTCTAATAGGCTTGGATTTCTTATTGGATTAAACGAGGAACTGCCAAAAATGTTTAAGATTGTTAGGAGGAATGCTGAGAGTTGCTTTAATCCAAACTGTATTACTAATTAAACATTTTTATTTGTATTAGAAAAGTTAAATATTTTGATATTATTGTAAAGGAGGCGATATATTGGACATTGAGAGCAAGAGAAGGCATGATGTTGCAGAAGAGCTGAAATAAATTATAAAGAAATATTTATTAATAAAATAACAGAATTATGTTAAATAAACCAGAGTTGTCAAAGGAATTGAGCGTTTTCTTGGAATTGTTGCATCAAGATAATGGGGAGTATAAGGGATATGAGAATTATTTAATTGGCAGCGATCTTGATGAGATGGATATTCATAGTAAGAGAGGATTCAATAAGGATCTCTCAATCATTTATAGTTAACCTGAAAGTGAAGTATCCACTCAGAGAGACAATGCCTCTCTCAATATTGGAGACTTGTTTTCAGTGATTTTTAGAGATCTAGAAAATTAAGCGTATTCTACATTATCTTAGCGAATCAAATAATTACAAGTAAGATGGTTATTTAAACTAAGTAATAAATTCATATTTATATGATGAGAGTATCTGAGAAATTGAGTGAGTTCCAATAGCAGAATCAGAGTCTTGAAACTAATAATAAACTATTGGTCTAGGCTCTAAACTCATCCCAACAGGAGATTCAAGTTTTGGCTGTATCGCATGAGGAATCTTCCAATAAATTGAAGAAATCTATTTAAGACCTAAAGAAATAATGCGTAATCTAAATTAACATCAATTTAGGAGGAATTACATAAATCCTTGGCTTACACATAATAAATTAATTAAAACTTGTTATCATAAATTGACAGAGAACAATCAACTTACAAAAAGAATGAGGAGGAGTTTAGAGATGCTTCTCAAAGGTTGATCAAAAGTAATCAGGCATTACGGTATTGCATTCCTATTGAGATTAGTGAAATAATTGTTAATATTGGCAACATTTCACCTATGCACAAAAGTAAGTTGCAAGAAGTCATTAAATACCTGAATGATGGAATAGATACAAAACAATAAGAACTCAGAAGTGGTCGTAGTTAATCTAGAAAACAAAAGGAGAATAATAGTCTCCATTATTGTATCTCAAAATTATCATCTAGCCACTCTCAACATAAGTAGTAATAGAAACAAAAAATCAATGTCTCCTCAAGGATTTACATCAACAAGAAAACAACAAGGTGTTAATGTGTTGGATACAAATTATTAAACATCTTATAAAGAGTTATTTTTAAAGAGTTTAAAAGTAACAAAATAAAAATGAAACAGTATAAAACTATTTATTATTATTTTCACATCTATCCGAAATTTTAAGTGACGTTAAAATTATCATTTTCTTAATATTCTAACTACTCTATATAGAATTGTTAATTCTGATAAGATTCTTGAAGCTAAGTGTTTTCAACAATCAAATTCTCTAATTTGTGGGTTAATTAAGTGATTTCTTCTTGAAATTAATCGAGGTTTACTTAAAATTGGAGAGCCTGTTCAGTTTTCTCCCCTTAAATTTTCTAATTAAAGTAGGATTAAGTACATCTAACTATTTTTAGAGAAGATTGCTTTTTCTAATGGCTTCTGCTAGAATTTAAGACATATTCTCCTTTTATTTTGTTAATTCTTAGATTTAAGTTTGCATTTCCTTATTTGGTGGTTAGTTTTGACAGAACGAGTTGCCTTGAACTCTATTGATGTTGTCTGGTTTGATGATGATGGATTATAGATGTTTATTGTCAACGAGTGGTCGAATAGGTTGTCTGTCATCGAGTCTTTGAGTCAGATTCAAGATGCTGTTATGGTTGGATAGTTGTCGAGTGGGAGTAACGTCTAGACAAACGTGAATTGGTCGGACATTGGTGGGAGTGATGGCAAATCTAGTTCGAGGGATGGGGGCTTGTATTAGCATTTTAAATTAAATAACAGTCACTTAAATAAAATTAAATGGCTGAAATGAAGGATTTATTGATTGTAAGGAATTAATGGGAGGGGAGGACTAGAATGAGTCGAGGGAGAGAGAATTAAGATTTGGGAGGCAGTATTTAAATGGGAAAGTAATTTGGTTAATTTTGAATAAATTAAATAAAATTAAATTAATGATGAGATTTAGGCTGATTCATCTTGTATGATTTCATGATTCCAATTCTTTCCCCAACTGATAGATATAATCCCAATATATTATATATATAAATGAATTAAGAGAAAGATTGCTCTTATATGTAATAGGTTAAATTTGATTTGCGTCGTCGAAGAATGCACATAGTACCATCAGTGATAAATTGTGAAGTTCAGAAACGCAGAAATTCTTTCTCTCTGAGTTCTGATGCTTGTAAGAGTCCCTAGAGGAAGGCAACTAAATACTTCGAAAATCAGAATCCAGGTTAGAACGCGTATTTCTGGAGTTTGATAAAATCAAAGCGAAATGAGAATGAGTAGTTTGTGCAAGTGCTCAAATCCATGTGTCCAATATAGGTGAGTGAGGTTGAGGCAAGATTGTAATTTTTACTAAGAAACTTTGGTTATGAGGATGAGAAGTCTATGTTGGAGATCGTAGAAAACATACAGTAGGGCTAGAGATGTCAGCAATGGACTTAAGAAGAGTCACGTATCTTGATTTGGGCGATTTGTAAGTTGGGAGTGCAACACAATTAGTGGAAGGAGTTAGGGAATTTATTGAATCGTTCGGTTAAGGAATTGAAAACTCATTGGACTGAATTAATCCATCATACACAGAGAGGATTGTTATGGACAGCATAGGAAGATTAGACTCTTTAAAACATGATAATAACATATTTGAATAATTCATAGACGATCAATTGGAAGTGTATGGCCAATGTTCTAAACAAGTCTGATAAGCAATGTTAGGATCGTTGGTATAATACTCTGGATCCATCAATATCGAAAGAGGCTTTTAAAATTGAAGATGATTTATAATTGTTGTAGTTGGTGTAGAAGTACGGGAAGAGATGGAAGAGAGTGTAGAGAGAATGGTCATTGAATAGAAAGAGATCTCGTTATGACTTGAAAAAGAGGTTTTATGAATTATTAAATTAACCAGATTCAGGTTATGATAGTGATACATCTTCAAATTCTTCTTCAAAATATAGGAAATTGAATTAGGATGATATCGATAAAATTTAGAAGTTGATTTCCGAGATGCAAATTAGTGAAGGAATGCAATTAGAAAATAAATTGGGGAAGGACAAGTTATTGAAGAACAAACTGTTGAGCATAGCCAAGAGTGATCTTGATAAGATGTTGAATTAATAGAGAAAAATAAAGATTTAATCAGCCAGTACACCAACTGATGAATAGAAAAATGATATTCAAGAAGAACCTGATGAAGTCATAATGAACACTCCTTCAATTATGAACTCTTTGTCAAGATGTCTACTGAAGATCAATTTGGAAACTGAGGATGATCAGTTGTCCATTGATAAATTGGCAGTTCCAAAGGTTCAATATAATGTCGATTCAGTAGAACATCTAAAACATGAAGATATTTTTGACATCCAATTTGCATTGGTCAATGATAAAACAAACACTCTCTATTATGCAAATTTAGAATTCATGCAATAACTGATAAATCTGATTACCAATCAAAGGAAATTGATGCAATTGACTGATATGAATAAATAACCATAGAAAACAAAGAAGAAGTTCAGTTCTTAACAATTGATTCAAGTCTATCCCAACAAAGTCGGGTTGTCACAATTTAGTTAGGATGATACAAAACAATAATGATTAATTAATTTACCTAATTGTCAACTCTTATTTATTTATAAATGGACTTTGAATTGCCCAAGAGGTATGGACTCAACAAACCTACTTTTAAAGTCATGTACAGTATATCCTAATAAGGGCTGGCTAACATTTTGCTAAATTCGACTCCTCACTCAAACCCCTCAAAAATCTGATCTCCTTCATTGATCTCTCTAAACCCATTAAGGAACTCAATTATATAGAACACAGAAAGGTTCGTCAGATTATGCAGCATCTCAAATTCCAATCCCAGAGTCGCAGATTCATAAACCATTAGGATGAATAGATAGCTGTCATCAGTCAGTAATTAGAAATGGAATTGGAAAATCTAGCAAAAGAAGATTGTCCAACACCCCAAGTCGATTTAGTCAAACTTAAATTCCCATCTCAATTGCAAACCAAATTTGTACATGAATCAGCAGCCACTCTTGAAACCCATTACAATCTGCACAGAATCAAAGAAAAGATTAATCATCGTAACATCACCTTAACAGAAAGCGATCTACTCAACAAAATTACTTAAATCAACTTCTAAACTGCCAGGAATAGCGACACTAAAGAATTTTATCACAATTTTAATACTTCTCGTCCAAGAGGAAAAAAAGAACCTTATCTAAGTCTTGATGAAAAATACCAGATTCTTAAAGGATATTTGAAAGAGAGAGGAATAGAGATGGGCAGGAAGGAATCTGTACCAAATGAAGGGTATTTGCAATTCTACCATGAAGCCACTAACAGATTAATCAAATAAACTAAGGAACAGTAACTTTTGAAGTTTAGAAAGAGCATAACACTCAAGACTGCTCCTGATAATTAGGATCATTCTCCTCATAAAAAAATGAGTATCACCAAAATCACAACAGTACCTACAACTGTAGGAACCACACCTGCCTTACATGCTATAACTCCAAGCAATTTGACCATGTTACATTCATCTCTGCTTAAATTGAATCCAGGAAACAATTGTTCTCCACTTGCCTTATCTCATAGACATCGATCGGAAAAAGAGAAATCTCCTGAAAAGCCCTACTCAGAAAAATGGCAGGATTTCTAGAATAAGGCTGAGGCATTGCAAAGCTATTACCTTCATGAAGGGAAGGAGTTCCTGCAAACCTTGGATGATTTAGAAAATACAATTGAAAAACCGTATTTGAGACACTTTAATTAAATTATTAAGGTGGAACAAGAGCAAGGGAACTTGGAAGAACAGTAAAAACAAAACAAAATCATGAGAAAGAGAAAATAGAATTTGCCCAAAAAAATAAGAATGCAAAAGATCTTCAAATCTGAATTATAGTGATTTATGTGTGTTATTCGTATGTGTCCCTTCCAATAAATAATAATTTGAGTATTTATATAGGGTTAATGCTTGAACCTCAAGGCAAGTCCTATTAGTGTAAAGGTAACACGTGAGATTCCGGCTCTCGAGTTCGAGGTTCAATTCCTCGGTGGGACGATTTTTTTATATTGATAATATAGATCATCAAATCAATTGTGCATTCCAAATAGCTAGAGTTTGACTAGAAAATCCATAACTAATTTGAGGGCCCAATTAGTTTTTTAACCATCCAGATCCAAAAACATTTTTGCCAATCAAATTTTAGTCGAGGCCAGTCTTAATGATACTTAAAATTTAATTTATCTAGTATATACCTTTCCAAATTCTTCAGACTCCAAATACCATAATTAGGTGCTTCTTGGAATTTCAAAAGGAGTAAATGATATTCCTTAATAAACTAATTTAATTAAATTGCAATTATACGAAGTCTATGTATTCTGAGAATTCTCTGATTGCTAATTTCATCTCAACATCGATATCGAAACCTGTTATCAATATGCCTTGAGTAATGACCTAACAGTGATGTCCCAATTACACTGAAATGCTATTGTTTATCACAGCCAAATCAGTCAACCCTATAAAACTATGAGTAATAAGTTTGCATTAAACTATCAGTTCTGTGTTTAACTTGAAGGAATAGTAGGCTGAAGGAATCATTGTTCTCAAATCTCCAGTCTTATAAGAGAACCCCTGAATTGGGAAGTTATTGTTAGTAATAGTGTCATCAAACATTCCATTCTCAGCTCCATAGTTAAAGTAGGATTTGAGGAGATCCATTGAGATTCCGAACGAATAAGTGTTTAACTTGATCTAATGGACATCCAAGGGCGTTGTGAACTCGGTCTAATAGTTAAAGATTTCCACATTTAATCCAAGGACATAATTCTAATCATTGAAGTTAAGTCCTTAGAATATGATGTTCTCTATGGATTCTATGATTTTAGGGTTTGGATCATCGAACTAATAAAATTCAAACATGGTGAAACTGATTTTATTGGATATCAATTTCTCACTTACAAACAATTTCAATTTTGAACAAAATTTTTCAGAATGATCCTCATAGTACTGATTTATCATGGGATTTAAGAATCTGATAGAGTTCATAGCATTTACGACTTCCATCTTCTATACTTCTGTTAATCCTTCCAAATTCACTTGAGTGATTGTGAAATCCATTGTCATATTCGGACATTCATACAATTTATATGCAATAGTCTATATTTTTTATAAATTCCCATTTTTACTTTATTGTTTTAATGAACCCAAACAGAGTAATTCATTGATAATGGTTGAGTGTATAATGTACCATACACTAATTTATTTTGATAATTAGTAGTAAAATCAACTTAATACTTTAATAAATTGTTGTTAATATCGATTGTTCCAAATTCAGCATATGTTTTATCAGTACTTGAAATAGTTTGTTTGCTGGTGTCAACACTTGGTATCACTCTTGTTGGAGTAAATGTAGCATCTAAAAATGGAACACTCTCCTTAGGCAATACACACCCCTAACTTGTTATCGCTTGAGAAAATGCTTAAGTTGGGATGTCTTAAAATTATATTATATGATACAGGGTTTCCAATCCACAGTCTGCATGTAATTCACTTCATCCAATTCATTTTTTGTAATTTCTGCTGCCTTAAGCAAACAAATAATAAATATTATAAACATAAAAAAATAATACACTCTTTTCTAATTTACGAATATGCGATTTCAGATTAGAAAAAAACAAGATTATGTTATTATTGATAATTGAATGAAATTTGGAAGCCATTTGTGGAACAGAAGAATAATCTGAAATTCCAATAATAGTCCTTAGATTTATACATACCCCTCTATTATCTGGAATTCATTGACATTCCTCTGCTCTATAAAAGGATGATTAATTTTGTGAATGCAGATTTTATTAAATATAAATATAATTATTTTGGACTCTTTTCTTTGTCCAATATTTATTATTTTTAATAATAATTAATATGGATAACATTTAGCAAATATTTGATACTCTGTAGGAGGATTAAGAAAGTAATTTAGTTCCATTATGATTCTAGTCACCATTAAGGATAATAAATGTAGCAATTGTGATAAACCTAGCAAAACCAAAATTTCTATCAAAAATATACCTAATTTTTAACATATTTTTATAATCTCATTCAATTGTCAATCATGTGGATATAAAAATGATGAGGTAAGATTCAGAAAAGAAAAGCAAGAAAAGGGTATTAAATTGCAATTAAAAATCAATCAGCCTCAAGTATTGCTTATTTAAAATAATCATAGATACTTTAATATAGAATAATCCGTTCTCAACAATGCAAGGTCTCCATTCCTGAATTAGAGTTTCAAATGTCAACCAATAAGAAGAGCTGCATTAATACTTTAGAGGGATTCATTGAAAATATCATCGATGAATTATCAAGAGATTAAATAGAGAGAAAGAACTGCTAAGGAGAGTTATATTCAGGCATTCAATATATCATTGAGAACCTACAACAATACCAATAGAATAAGAGACTCCCATTTCATTGGAATATGGACGATCCATCTGGCAACAGCTTCATAATTAGTCCTAGTCAATTCCCTCAAGATGATCACCTAAATATTCAATATTACACCAGAGAAGAAGATGAATTCGAGACTATTTTTAAAAAGAAAGAAAATCCCTAACAAAAAGATCAAATCTAAGAGGAATCAAAGCCCAAATAGTAATTTTACTTAAAGATTAGAGGACTACCATTTCAATGCACTAAATCAGATTTAATAAACTTCTTGGAAATGCCTCGTCTTAAAAAAGATATGCTGACAATGAAATTTTAATAAAATGGTTTGTTCACTGGTGAAGCATATGTTCAAGTCAACTCAATCGAGGATTTGGAATATTTAAGAACCTTTCATAAATCCCAAATGGATCATCGCTATCTAGAAATATTTAACAGTTGCTTTGATGAGTATAATAAAGCACAAAAATCAAATCAGTTCTTAAAGAAGATCAATCCTAAAATAACATCTGAGGTAGGTAATATAAATGAAGAAAATGAGTATCAGTGTTAACAACAAGGAGTGCTAAAGTTAAGAGGACTACCCTGGTCAAGTACTGAATAGGATGTACGAACTTTCTTTAAGAGTATCCATTCATTTTCTATACCTTAGATAATTCAAAAATCAAAACAATTAAATTTCTTTATGATGATACTGGGAAAGCCAAAGGGTAGTGTTTTGTATTAGTGAAGAACTTAGAGACAGCTGAAAAGTTGAAATAAAAATACCATAAGAAATCCTTAGGGTCTCGCTATATTGAAGTAATAAATGATCGTAACATTATTAAAGGTTTTTATATGCAATCAAAGAGAATATCTTGCTTGCTTTCAAAAGACCTATACTGAGAGAAAGAGGAGCGTTAGTCCTTGAAATAAGATGTGATAATTTAATAACTTTATTTTAAATATCATAAATGATAGATATTTTTAATTCTAATTTAAGAGTGAGAATATTTTATTAGTTGAATAACTTTTATGAATTATTAATAAGTTAAACACCAATAGCTTTAGAGATCTGTTTCTATTAGAACAATATTGAGTTATAAGTAGATCAATGAAATGAGTAATAAAATTACTATTTTATTTGAGAGATCATAAGATCATATTTAGTATAATACTAATTACTGGAGTATACATTAAATGTTTAATTGAAATATTATGATTGATTTTAATTTTATTTCTCACTTATAAACTCTTTCTGGGTTGTATTCCCAAATTGTGAGTTATGGTATATTGAATCTACAATAGGTTTATAGATTTCTTTTCCATCCTTAACTAAATGGTGATCCATTCTTTCTTTGCAATTCTTACAAATAGGAGATCTTATTCCAACTATAAAATTCCCCTATTTTAAATAGCAAATAATACAAGTGGTTAGGTTTTGAAATGAAAGAAATGTTTGAAAGCAGAGCAATCTCGTTACTAGGAAACCGAAAAAAATGGTATTTGTAAGAAAGTAAATTGAAAAAAATTTTAAGAGAGGGTTGTAATGATCAAATTCTAGATTTTGCAATGTCTAAAAACTAGTTTATTGAAATTTAATACGCTAATAAAGGCATAGTAGATTTCTTGAATCTAAAATACTAGGGAACCAATAATAGACACATCTATTTCTTTCTCCAATGCAATTGCCAGCCCAAGGACAATGATGGTCATAACAAGCTACACATTTGTTGCATGACTGACAATGTTTGGCTCTTGCTAATTGATCAATTGAACAAATAGGACAATATCTAATGTATTCAAGAAAGTTAAACCTTTTCTCTATGAAAACCTTATTCACTGCTCTAGTTGATTGAGTGATTTTGTTTCTCTCTGACATTCCTGGAGAGTACTATTCACTTATGTATTCATTCTAAACAGAATGCACTTAAATCGAGAGTTGTGGTTCAATTTTGTTGTTCTTTCTTTTCTCTTCACTCATACCCTTTTGTTGAGTTTTTTTGCCTTCTGATTTCTATACATCTGCTTCTTTTTATTCATCATTATTAGTGTTAGGAACAATATTTTCATGTTCATTTTGACTTGTGATCGAAAATGCTTATGTGGATGGTTATTTGGAGTCGAAATCTTGAAATGCTTTTTAGCCTTTGATAGGAGATGGATACTTGTCTGGAGTCTTGGTGAAGGATGGAATTTAATTAATATCGAATTCTGGTAATTGATTAACATCGATTGAGGCTTCACAGGGTAATTCTCTATAAATATTAAAAATAGCTACTATTCATTTTCAGATTTTTACTCTTGGACTACGTTTTATTATTCAATTATGGGGTAGGTTCGAGCATTGGAAGGGATGGCTTAAAATTAAAACATTTTGCGTTTTTATGTTATTTAATTTGAACATTCAGTATTGCTAGGACTCCTAATGATAAGATAGCCAGGCTATTTCTTAAATGGTTTGTTACATCTTCGAAGGAAGTCTTAGCATAAAATCCTATTGACAATATCACGACAATTGCAAAGTAATAAAAGGAAACAGTTGAAAAATCAAACAATGAAGGATTGAGGATCCCATAAATCGTTAAAGTACTTCCTTAAAGAATTAAATAAATGAGAGGGGCTATCTAAATAAGTTGGTGATACCTATCTTCATGATTGTTAGTGTTTTTAATTTATTAATTTTGGAATCTCCGTATTAATATGAGGTTTTGAAAATATTATATATATATATCATATCAATCATCTTCGTCATTTCCACATAATGCAACTACATGACAGCGATTTGGAGATTCTTTTTTTTACACCACTTCCTCTATAGTTTATTAAGCAGCAAATTGCATAAAGATCTGTTCCAAATTAGGTTGACTAATCTGAAAATCTTTAATCAATTGCAATTCCTTTTACAGTTTCTCTTAAAAGAAATGAAATGTCTAATGGAATTAGAATCCAGCCAATGGGAACTTACAAATAATTTTGCCAGAATGCATATCATCAACAATATAAATATTGCCGAAATGCTTCGTAATCTCCTAAATGATGTTTGGTCTATTATTCTAATAATCCTTAGTAATCAATTAGAGCATGGTTGCATCTTTATCCTAAAAATGATACTACACATAAAATTACTAGATTATTTATTGGCTCAATCACAACTCGATATCCATCTCCAAATTTGGATCTCAAATGCTGCACCGATCCTAGACAAGCAAATCTACCATTCACTTAGATTGCAATCTTATTACAAAGACTTTCAGCTTCATCCATGGTGTGAGTAGTTAGAATAACCGAACTCTACCTTAATTTGACTCCTTATTGTATTGCATTCCATAAAAATCTTCTTGCAATTGGATCAACTCCTGAGGAAGGTTCATCAAAAAATTACATATTGGTTCCGCCCATCAAAGCCAAAGCAACACATAATTTTCTTTTATTCCCTCCACTCAATTATGAAGCCAATGTATTTTCATAGGCTGTCAATTGCATCACTTTCATAAAGTATTCTATTGTTTGATTCACATCTTCTCCTCTTAAGCCTTTTAAGATAGGCCCAAGATTTGTAAGTGTCTTCTAACGTTTACTATATCATATAGACTATCAAATTAAGGACAGATTCCAACATTCTGATACACATCTCCCAACCCTTTTTTAACTTCCTAATGTTCTAATAGAATAGTTCCTGTGGATGGCTTCAATTTTGAAGTAATCATGTTAAAAGTAGTTGACTTACCAGCCCCATTTGGACCCAATAACCCAAAGATCTGTCCAGGTTCTACTCCGAATGAAGTTCCCTTTACTGCCTAGAATCCATTGGCATATGTCTTTGATATTTTCCTGGGCGATTACTCTGTCTTAACAACTCTGAACTTCAACTCTTTTTTCCTCTTAAATTACATCATCATCCTAATTCAGGCTTAAGACTCCTCCAGATTGTGCACCTAAGAGTTCTCTATTGTCAATTAAATAAGTTATGTAGAAATAGAGACATGCTTAAAAGAGCATGATGATCATAAAGACAAATGGATAAACATTTTCAAATATATCTCCATCGGTTACATTATTATCTTTAGCAATCTAATTATATACAGCCATGAATCCACTAAAAGTAGCTAATGAAGGGCACAAAAATGATAAAATCCAAAGAACACCCTCAACTTTTATGCTCACTATATAAATTACTGAAGCAATCATAAAGAACCCAAATAATTGAATGAATACTAAGGATCTAACTGCTGATAAGAATGAAGTAAATAGCCAAGACAATATATAACTAAGTGGTAAGTATGCTAAGTAACAACAAAATATAAGTCCATAAACATTTCCATTATTAATTGCTTCAACACCAAAAATGTTTACTGTTATGATAAATACAATCAGTAAAATAATGCAAACTGTGATATCATAAATATAATATCCTAGCCAATATGGTAATGTTCTGCATCCCATCACATTTAAAGCATATTTCTACTTTTTTTCTCTTTCTTCAACAGGAGCACTTCCTATTTAAGAACTAGCCATGGATGCACCTATCAATATGTAGACATACGCGTCAATTAAGGCAATCTCTCCAAAAACTAAATTCTTATTGACATCGTCATCCAATGTTGGTTCTATTGCGTTGTATGTAATTTTTGTAACTATAGGAGCTACAATTGCAAAAAAGGATGGCATAAACACACACATCGTATATCTTTTGGCTGTCATAGTATAATGTTTTTTTGAGTAAACAGGCCCAAAGTTGCAATCCAAAATTGTATTCAGGTGGTCTACTCAAACATTCAGGAGGTATGATTTTGTTGAATTCATCTGTTATGTCAATGTTAATTTTTGAATCTTCATTTGTAACTTGTTTCCCTGATGCTTTATCAAGGAAGGATTCTTCATCCATTCCGATAGATTGATAAATGCTTCTTCCAAAGTATTCATCATCAGATTAACTTAAATGCAAGGATCTCTTTCGAGTTATTCAAATAATGGCAAGAACTTATCCTTCTATTTGAAAGGCACTTGAAATATCATACTATCTGAAGAAGTTTAACTATTCAATTTTGCTTGAGGAATGAATTGTTGAACCACATTAACAATTTTCTTGCTTTTTTCACTCCACATTTATGGGTTGTTTGTTTTATCATACAAACTCAAATGATATCCAATTCCAAAGTTCATCTTTATAAATTCGACAGATCCTACTGTTAGCAACCTACCCTTGGCCATGATGGCTAATCTCTCTGACAAGACTTCAGCTTCATCTAAATGATGAGTTGTCAGCACCAGACATCTACCTTCGTTTTTTACTTGTATTAAGATTTCCCAAATCTTCTATCTTGATATTGGATCCATTCCTGATGTTGGTTCATCAAGAAATACAACCTTGGATTGTCCAATCAACGAAATGGCCAAACTTAATTTTCTTCTCGTCCCTCCTGACAATTACTTAACTAATTTGGTTCTATCGTTTAAGAGATCGCATTTATTAATAATCTAATCTATTTCCATTTGAAGTTCCTTCTCATCTATTCCCTTTATTTTCCCATAATATTATAAATGCTAATCACAACTTAAACTATCATATAGAGCATCTTTTTAAGGACAAAATCCCAAATAATTTCTAATAACATCGAAATCATTGTCAGTCCCATAATATGTAATGGCTCCACTATCTCTTTTTATTAGACCTGTCAATATTGAAATGAGAGTGGTCTTTCCAGCTCCATTATGACCTAATAAACAGAGAATCTAAGAATCATATATTTAGAGTGTAACACCATTGACAGCCATAAGCTCATTAAAGCTTTTCTTCACATTTTTTATTGATATAGCTCTCTTGAATCATAAATACTAATAATTACCTTGGACTTATTTTAGGATTATCAAAAACTTCATGATAGATAGCTGAACTATTGTCTTCTTATATTTCAGATTACCTTGTACCAATAATAGGTTTATTCATATTGGTTAGTTCGTATTGATTTGAAACATCCTCCCCTTAAATTTGGTATTTTTTTCCAATAAAGAACAAGGGATGTTTATTTGTTCCATATTCATTGGGCAGAACTTACTCCAAATATAAATACAAAATTCCATAAAACAATATTTCAGCTCCTTATAATCCAAAATACAGAGCAACTCCTAAAGGGGGTTTAATTCCTTTATTAATTGTTCCTAATACTTAATTGTAAGGATAAGTATCAAACAAAAATGATGGAAAAATAATCCCGAAAAGAATTACTATCCAAGAATGCCTAGAGTTTTAATATGCAAATTACTTTTAAAAATAGGGGATGCTGAGTAATGCTGAACAAAGAGATCCAAAAATGTTGAGTAACATTGATACATCAGCTCCATTTTTTGGTTGATCAAACAATGTTGTTAAGAAATATTGCTAAGCTGTCAATCCTATTGCATACAACAGATAACTTCCAATTTATTGGATAGGATTAAAGAATTGGATCTTTACTTGATAGGAATCAATCTTGTATTCTATTTCTTGGGGTCCAAAACATCCTGTAGGCACAGCTAAAGCTAGAAAGAATATTGAGACAGCCAATATTCGAGCAAGGTTGAAGAGGAGCCAACCTAACTAATAAGCTGATTGTTTGAGACCCATGATCTAAAGATATGTGATGAAGAATGATTACTTTTTAAATCTCTTTTTATCTGTCGCTTTTTTCTGAAATCATTGCTGTGACTATATACCTCGAACTTATCAAAAGAGTCATTGGTATAAACTCAGCCCCGATTTACAGCAGTGCAGGACTGGATGTCTCTTCTATTGTAGGGATATGCTGCATATTGTTACTTCCAACGAGGAGGATGATGAAAACAAGAAGAGCCACGAAGAACTCTTGTCTGAATTATCTTTCTTGGTAATAAATAGAGAAATTCTTGTGGAAAACAACAGTCGTTTGTTGCCAAATGCTCGTCATTCCTTTGATGGAATATTATTTTATTTAACAAAAATTTATTCTATAATCTGAATATTTCAGATTTAATTAACAATGCTAATTCTGTATTCATTATTCCTTATCAATTAATATGCTTGCTCAAAGAGGTCAAAAATAATTTGAGTTTGCACTTACATTGTTGGGAAAAGAATGGAGAAAGAAAAAGTTGAACAAAAAAGTTATTAAAGAATTGTCGAAATTACCACAAATTTTGGTAAAAATAATTGATTAAATTGATATTAATAAAAATGTTAAACATTTGAGAAATAAAATGACTTCATATTTTCATTCATAAGTGCTTCGAACTAAGAGATTAGTTTTGATTGCAATAGGATTCTCTATAAAACTCGAGCATGTCAAGTATTTGACAGGTTACTGTTGAGTATTGGCTGATAATGCTCTAGGATGAGGCTTAATCAATTGGGCATCCTTATATAACTTGAGTTGTGGGCATTTGTTATTTTGACTTCCCGTTGTTATTAGGACTATTGTTGTGTTTGCTTACATCAATTTATTCTTTTTTAGATTGTTAATCAGACTACTTATATACATTATTTACCTACTTTTTAATCTATAAGATAGACTTTCTGATGATGACTTTGTTTTTAATGGGGGACATTTTCGGTTAAACGGTCTGCTTTTGCATACAAGGACACAAACTGTCAAAAATGGGTTTAAGTTGAATATTGCAGAAATGATAATCTTGATTATTCTACAGTGTAGTGTATTTTTCTTTGATTAAATTGGGGTATTCGGTCTCAACATTTTAGACTCTAGAATAAGAGTGATATTACCTTTTCAATGCGTAGTTGGTATAGTCAAAGACACTCTATTAGATGAGATTGTTTCTTAATCGAATCTTATCACAGAGAGCATCATAGTTAGTTTTAAACTCTTCATAATTTTGAGATTGTCTCTTGACTGTCTGATAATCACATATTTAAATGTTCTGTTCATCCAGATCCTCAATGACAGTGGTGATATTGGCAAACATGGAGGCGAATGGAGCTTTTTCGATCTCTTTGAATTTGTTTCTGAGATATAACGTAGGAGTTTCAGTAGTTGGAGACAAATCGCAAGAACTGTTTTATTTTTAGATAAATTACCTTTGTATTTTTGAAATAGTGATTTGTTTTCGTTTGATTCTATCTACCTTATTGATCATGGTTGTGGTAGGAGGCTTTTCAACTAATTTGACTTCTTCGATCTTTTGTGTTGATGAACGAATGCGTTGATTTTCTATTCTAATTTTCTGTGGAGATGGTTCTTTCTTGACTTGATTACTCAATTCTTCGACGAAATCTCTGTATTGTTTACGAGAGGTTCCTAAAAGTGACTTAATTAGATCAGTCACTAATGAGATATTTCCAACTCTGACTGCTTGCTTAAATTGTACTTTTAATTGAGTATCCTAATTCAGATGCTTCTGGAAGCTTGAATGAAGTGTGTAATAATTTTCCAAATATTAATACATATTACATGTAGGTGTATAGGGGATTTCTAAAAATTGATTGCTGATAGCTTTCATCATTTCATTTGTCTTGACATAGATGTGACTAAAATTAGAAATCTAAATGTACCACATTTGTTCTTCGTTGTATTGTTTGGTGTTTCGAATCACTCCTATGATCCAATTCTCCTTCTCTGCTCTTATCTTCTCCTCTTCCTTCAACTTCCTTACCATAGAGTATACAGTCAATCTCTCCTACTGCTAATTGCCCTTGATCTAATAAATAGCCTCCTAAATCTCATTTATTTTGGCTTTCCTTTGCTATATAGCCCCCAATAGTTCATCCATTTTAGAGTAAAATAATTTTTTATTATTAGATGGCATAAAAATTTAAAGAGAGGTTACTGTAAGGTATGCCATTCCTTATCACATTTTTAGGTACTGGAGTATCAAACAAGAAATTCGAATCCGATTATGCAATGAAACTGATGCAGAAGATGGGATGGAATCAAGGTCAAGGACTCGGCAAGAATAAAGATGGTCATACAGACTGCGTATAAATTGAAAGAAGAGCTGATTAGTTGGCAGTACCCTATTCATTCTAAACTATAGCTTGGAGCCTAACAGTACAGTCTGGGATAAAGTTGGAATGACTTGTGGTGGGAATAGAGCTATTCAAGCAGTCTCAAGAATCTTAAACCCATATCCACTAAAAATGTAATCACCATTCCTATCAAAATTAGCTTCCATAACAAAACTCCTCAGATGAAGAAGACAAATTCTCAGATTACGAAAAACATAAAATAAATCGTTCCTAAAAATCCAAACCATATGCATAATCAGCTAAAGTTCTAATTGAATAAGATAGTGATTCAGAAAATGATACCTTCATAGCAATTCAAAAGAAAAAAATAAAAAAGACAAAATGATCATAATTAGATCACCATTCAAAAACCTATAACTTATTTACAATTTAACTATTCTAACTCCTCTCCTTCATGTTTTCTTAAGATTCTACTATAATACATAAAATATGTATGCCATTTATTTTTGTATGATACTTATAGTTATAAAAGCTTTCCTTAATTTTCCTTTGACTATCTTACTGCTACTATGAGATTGGTCTTTCTTTTTACTTAATTCATCTCTTAATCCTCTTAACAATTATATTAATATTTATAAATTTAATTCTATCATAATAATATTAAAGAATTTGAGAGAATACAAAGTCAAGTTTAAGTAAAATTTATATTTATTATACTTTAATATCTCAAAGTACATTATTATTCTATAGTTCTTCTTTCTTTATCTTCAAAGCTGAATTCACTTTGGCTCTATCAAAATTGTTTATGAAGAACATTGTAAGTATAGAGTCTTCAGAATTGAATTCTCTTCCCATCAAATAGCGAAGACGTTTTCTTTCCATTTCAACTTCAAGCTTCAAATGCTTCTTTGAACTACCATCCCAAATTTTCAAGTTTTGACAAAACTTTTTACATTTTTGAGTATTGATTGGTGAATTCCGAATTTCAGCTTGATAGTTCGATCCAATTCGAGGATAAATAACATGGCTTTGTTGCTTGGATATTTTCTTCTTGATTTCAACCTATTGTGATTTGAGATCGCTATCGTTGATTTATTAAGTAGTTTCATCTGTTTTGAAAGGAGTTTGCATGCTAGAATATTTAGTTAAAAAAATTATTATGTTAAACTAATATAAGCTCATTATGTTTGTTGTGGCTATGAAGTTTACACTACTTTATAAATGACACACTGTCCAGATCCTTAGGTTAATCCTATCAAGCTGATGCCATCATCTTCTCTTACTGCACAAACCTTGACCATCTGAGTTTCCAAATCTATAAACTTCTCCAATTTATAGTCATATATAAACACCTATTTTTTTTGTATTTGCTATTAAATAGATTAATTCAATATACTTAAGGACGTAAAACAATAACAATAGGCAACTTTGTTAATGAATTCATGTATCTGATTTCTCCTGTCACGTATTCATGAATCCTAAAGTAATCACCATTTTTTCTTCTTTGAAATACATTAATCCTATCCTACAATCCTACCAGTAAATTATTTTCCTATGTGTTGATACTGATAATGGTACTATTAATATCTGGGATATCTAAATATTTATCGTATTAATGATTCATGTCACAAATTATTAAACGTGACTTGCAACCAACATAAATAAAATCAGAATTCACATGAAGTACAGTTCCAGGTTAAGTAAGTTGAAATGAATCTATTTATTTAAAAGGATCGACTTGGAAGATTTTTATAATATTTTTATCTTCCAAAGTTACTATTTGCTTTTTCAATTAATTAATTGAAACAAGTATGCTTTTGTCAGATTAATAGTTAATTTGTGACGAATCATTGATTGGTATAAAGGGCTATGAAGGATCTTATGTTCTTCTACGTAATTCAATATTTCCTTTTTTAGTTGCCAAAACGAGAATTCCATTTTAATGATTGAATTCCATATATGCAGCATCAGTTATCTATTCTCGAAGATTTATTGTATAAGTCTGTTGAAGTGTTTTAAATTCAGATATAATACATTTCGTTCCACAACATGCTGCTATCAATTGGTTACTTAAAAACAATAATTTAGTGATCTCTTGTTCAGACGTTTCAAATAAAGTTTTACTTTCCTGAGTAATTTCAAGTGCTGTTTATTATTCTACTTAATTTCTGTTTTCAGCTGCTTCTAATCATAAATGAAGATTTTACATTGTAATGGCGAATATGATCGTTGAATAGACCTTTGATTAGGAGATAGTGGAATAGTTGAAAAAAATGAAGGTATTTTATTTGCTGAATTAGTCTCTTGCTATTAAGGTTTAGGTATCTAAGAACTTTATACTTATTTGGAAGATGAAAGATTGAAAGTAGGATCAGGCGACTTAGTACCTGACTAATTTTGGATATTCCTATTAGTATTTTTGGTATCACTTGTATTTTGTGGTATATCTTAGGCTCTTGGGGGTGTTTTGAAACGAGAGAATGAAAAGGCTCTGTCTAAAGTAAGTTGTTCTTGATCATTAGGTTTATTCGGAGTAATATAAAAGTAATTCTGTAAATTAACCTAAAAGTCTTCATTCAGCTTTTTGAATTATTAGATAATAGAACATGTTGAATTTATATATTATTAGGCATATTTGTTCCCATTTTAGATTCTTTCTTCAATCTTTGTGATTTCTGATCCTTATGCCTTTTTGATTGAGAATTAAAATTTATTAGCATTTTTTCTAAAATCCTCTATTTCTTCGATTAATTCTGCATAATTCTCTTAGTTCATGTTTTATTCGAATTTAACTAGTTTTTCTTTCTACTGTTTTTACTTGTTCTATTATTGAGAATGATCTTTAATATTATCTTTTACACTAAAATCTTAATTTATAACTACTTCTTGATAATTTTCTTTTATTCATCAACAATTAACTAAATATTTTAAAGGGTTAATTCCATTTGATTCTCAATTTTTTCATAAACTGAAATCAATCTATTTGTTAATATATTATAGCTACTCCTCAATTTAATTATCTTAATCTATACTACCAGAATGAAGTTATTATTTAAACTACATCAAAAAGGACTTTATAGATGGAGGGTTACAAAATTAATGCTCATTCTCTGAGCAAATGGTGCATACAAGCTGATGTTTATTACATTTTGGATCTATGCAAGCCCTATCTAGACGATAATTATCGTGGTCTGCTTTGTCACAGGGATAAAAATTCCAATTACTCATAATCTGAAATAATAAATTATGAAATCAAACAAAATTTGTATATATAGGTTCAATAAGATGAAATAATGTGCTATATTCAATATACTCCTTTTAAGAATGTTACCACCGGTTCATTTGTTTTTTTACTGCCTAAAACTGAGTCAGTTCGAGCGACCTTATTCAATGGGCTTTTATTAACGCTGAAATTAATTGGAGAAGTGGACTTTGCAGTAAATGCATTTCCTTTTGTAGATTACAAGTCATAGTCTTTCAAAGAGAGTTCATTATTATTCAAAAAGGTCTTAACAATCTGGTTCTCTTTAATAGCCTTACCAGTAGTTGGTTGTGGATTTTAACACCCTTATTTATGATTGTAGAAATATTAAGGTGGGTTGATTTCTTTGGCGTCAATTCTAGGTTGAGATGCAGCTTTGTAGAGATTGTTAATTCTATTTAAATTATCCATTAAGGATGACTTTGGTTGTTCTTCCAGTTCTTTGGGCTTCCTACTATGGATGAACATATCAATATACTTTAAGTTCTATAGTGTCTTGTATTCCTTAGGAGGTTTCAATTCGAAGGTATTGGGATGATTCTTGTGATACTATTAAACAAATCCTAATCGTTATTATAGACTGGATTCTTATTGTTGCTGCCTTTACATTAGTGAACGTTAAATTAATAAAAATTATATTTCATGAATTTGTTGAAATCCTCTATTTCCTCTAAGTGTTTCCATTATTAATATACGGTTTCTTTTGTTTCAGGAAATTTGTATCAAGCAATGAGCAATTATTCCTGGCTGAACAAATCATTTTAATTTTTGGTAGAGGATATGTAGGTTTGATTACTTGATACCTTCCTAAATTAATTAGTGATTTATTTTAGATTAATCCATTCATTTCAGTGAGACTCTAAAAACCTGCGAAGCTCATGAATGGATTTGTTTAATTCACAATATTATTTGGATTCATTGTTTGTTCTTTCGCTTACATAGTTGCTTTTTCGTTTATGTAAGTTTGGATAGAAGCGAATGGCTTTTTGGATTTTCGAGAAACATCTAAGACTACTTTAGATTGTTCAGGTTCTAAGACAAAAGATCTTAGTTTTTGTTTTTTCACTTCTTGAGACTAAGGAACATTGGGTTCATCATTTCCTTATTATTGTTATTATAGTATGAGTAACTGCACTTCGCTATCTTTCTAATTCCCTTGGTTGTTAATATTGCGAATCGTGGTTTGATGCTTGAGGAGAATGCTAGACATTCTCTTTAATACAGTCCGTTTTCTTTCTTTAGTCCTTTGTAGCTCATTGGTTACAACTTCTTAATGTTTAACGATTGTCTTAGGATACTAATAGTCTAGATGTAGCTATTATTTCATAGTACATAAGTTTTACCTACTTTTAGGATAGTTGCTCCGAACCACTTTTTCTTCTTTATTATTATTTTTTAGTATTCCTCACATTTCTTAATTCAAAACTCTTACATATTCTATTTATTATTGTTTCTTTATCTTTGATTCTTAGATTTATCAGCGTTCTCATTCTTTTTAATGGAGATTCAGTTTGATTTAATTTATTCAAGCATAGACTTTGTTAAGGTAATAGTGTTTATGAACACAGAAGTTCACTATTTTATGATGTGAGATTACTATTGCTTTCATAATTTCTAGAAAGTATCATTTAATTCTAATTTTAAGAATTAATTGAAGATTACATAATCAAATATTTTTACAAAATAAATTAATTCAATCAACCTGAATCCTTCTTTATTAAAATAGATTTACTATAGTTAAAAAAGAGTCCTTCAAAATCCATTAGATCTTTGAGTTAGTGAATACTTTCATGTTATTAAAACAATTATATTATACATTATCTATAAATCTTATTAAATATTATTGATGGACATCTTTATTAATTTTTAAACATAATAACTTAATTCCAAATATTATTAATAGAAACCAATAATCACTAATAAAACAAACCAAGTAAAATGGCAGATAAAGATTAAAATTTGTGTCAAAATTATATTTTTCCAAATTGCTTCTTTGACTTTATTTTCTAATATTTTAATCTAGAACCGATTTCTATACAATTATAATGCCAAAAATATATATTCTAATTTTGTCAATATTTATAGTGTAATTAAAGATTAATAAAATTTGGTGAATCCTTGCAGCTAAATTTACTCATTATCTTACTAGAGATCATAAAATACAAAATCCCCATAAAATATAGACTTTCATTATGAGATAATTAAAGTCTTATATTAAAATAATTATAAAGCGATCCTCTATTAAAATTTAATAAGTAAGGAAATAATATATTACTGATTATTATTTATTGATTTGATAAACTGTTAAGATGAATTACATACCAATAGAGGCCAATAAAATTATATCGTTTTTGGGATTAATCATTTATGGAGGTGTGTAGTGGAATCTAAGATGATTGAGGAAACAATAGGTCCTATTGAATAGTGATTATTGCATAGAGTGCCATTATAATTGTAGAAAAACTTTGTTTGCTCAACATTTAATTAATTTATAATTGAATGGTTAGAAATATATAGAAATCATCACAATTTTATCAAGCACCCATTTTTGATTATTACTAAGGAAAATTCAAAATCTGTTCTCAAAAATTCACAACAAGAATATTCTTGAGTCAGAGTCTTTTGTTATTTTTCTTAGATAATCTCGATTTTGGATAGGATCATTTCAACTTCCTATATGTTCCAACGAGGAACTGATTTCGAAATCAGTCTTATTAAGTCTTTTAGCTTTGTGACCTAAAATATGGGATTATGGATATACCATAATATTTCTAGAGTTACTTGAATTTGTGTTTAAGAGCAAATTCAGTTCTTCTCTTGTATTTGGTGATCATTGACAATTTTAAAGATATGTCAGCCCACCTTCGTCCATTCTGAAGAAGCAATTGAAGAAAGTGAAACTCCTCAGATCTAGACCATGGTTCTCTAAGTCGATTAAATATTTATAATTACCTATTAATCTATGGATCGAGTTTGTTGTTCCACCTCTCTCGACATTGTTTGGCATTTCTAGGAATCTCAGATTTGCAGAGTAGATTGTATTAATTAGCAATGGAGCTCCATTTTTTCTTGCAGCGACTGGTATTGTCTCTAAATATAGTAAATAATAAATACAAAATGATTTACAACAAAGCTTTATCTTCAAAGGAAGACCAGGGTTGTCTGGGAAGTTGTGCTTTATAGAAAGATTAGAATTTAAAGCACAATTCAGACAGACTCCTGTACTTTGGCATTAACTTTTGGACCTTCTCCCAGTCGAAGCGATTCTTTAAAAATTTAATCAAATGTTGTACCTTTATGCATCTTGGATTAAGACTTAAAACAATGAGTTATAAGAAAATCTCTTCATTGTGATTCCAAGCTTCATTGCACCCAATTTTAGATGACTCGTAAAGTTTGATAAAGTCATCAAAATTGGGGATAGTTTTGAAATGTAATTTAAGCTTCAAAGATAGATACTCTTGTTCGATGGTTTGGAGATTCTAGTAAACTAAAGCCCAATCGTTAAGATCAGTAAATGAGCTTTGGGAAGAATTCATTTGTTTGATAAGATTAATAATGTATAATCTGAATGCACATTTTATGATTTAAAACCGTGAATTTTAATACAATATGCAGATACAATCAATATTTGATCAGATAATATTAATAGAAAATTAAGAACTTGTATCGGAATTTCCAAATTCAACCTTTACTAACTATTCTCCTGAATATTTGATATATTAGCCGTTTCTAGAGTTTACATATATATTAAAGTATTCTTATTTCATAAAGTTTTAATAATCATAACTTCGATGCCTTATAAATTTAATCTATATAATTATGCTTATATTGATATATCTAATAATTTGACTAGACTTAGTATATCCTTAGATTTAAATTTCATGTTTCAACAACAATTCGGTAGTATTGGCAAAGAGTATCGATTTCAAAACTATTTTTTTTACCCATATAGTTTGATTATAGCATTTTCTTACTTAAATAAGGAGTGAATAAAAAATTTGGTATAATTTAATTCAACTCTATTTTACAAAAAAAAAATGCTATATTATTAAACTACTTTGTTTCTGACACTTTCATTTTTAATTTAACATTTTTCCAGACACTGGAAGCACGATCAATAGATAATATGACTAATTGATTAATTGTAAATAGATTTTCGAGATCTCTTAATAACGCTTTCAAAAGTTTCGACCTTTATATTGAAATCTAATTAAATCACTACACGTTTACCTAATTTTCATATATTTCCATTTTTCTTCTATTCATACCTTTGTTTAGTGGATCAACCTTAAAAAAGATAGACTTTTCCTTTTTTGAAACTATCGCATAATCTTATTCTACCAATCCACTTAAATTATAGTGTCTAAATTACGATATTAATTCAAAATAGTTTGTTTTTAAATCAAAATTGTAGTTAATGACTCTACGATTTAAGATTGGGATTGCAATACTTGCATAGGGAATGTCTGAATTTGTTGATTAAATTTCTAATTTGATTGGGATTCTGAAGATTTTAGATATGAGAATCAGCATCTTTATATAAATATAATTCAATTAATAATAATAAAAATTCATATTCTAGAAATCAATATACCCTTTAACCATAATCCATTAAGCTTTTCTCCATTTTTTTTGGTTAGTTATCCCATTCCGTTTCGACAATTGGATTCAAAATTACCGACATACATAGAACCGTCTCTGTAATACTCAATGGCAGCTCCATATTTATATCCAAATTAGAATTGTCCAACATATTTGGTGAATTAAGCATTTACGTCATGATTATACAGAATTCCATTGCCATGCTATTGATCATTAAACCATTATCCCTCATACACCAAGATGCCTTATGCATTAAACAATTTGCCGAATCCTTCTCTCACTTTTCCATTATAAGAACCTATATATTAGGATTCATCTTTAACATCCTTAACGATAATTTTATCAGAACTTTTAGAGTAGCTTTTACTCAATTCTCGATTGGGCTTAATTAATTTAGTGGATTTAATCAATTTATCGTCATGGAAGGGCTTCACCTTTTTGATGGGAGAATCTTCGGCCTTGGAATTCTTTCGAAGAGTGGTAAATGGAGCATAGGTAGTAATAATCTACAAGAGACATTGTGATATAAAAATACAGTGCGATAGGGTCCGATGGATTTACCTGATGTTATGTGAAATAGTAATACTTGGAGTAGAGGTAGACGGTTTTAGAGGACTTGAAGGGTTGGTCGATTGCATTTGATTATATATTTATATATTTGTGTTTTAAGTCTCAGAAAATCAATTTCTTTGGTGATTGATAATCTTGTGGATCAACATAATAGTCTTCTCCCATTTTCTGTGTCTATGAGGCTACGGCTCCTCTGTAAATCAGGAATGAGAGAATTAATGTTGGAATTGCTATATGTACTGAATGTCTAAACCATTGTCTATTGTAAAGCCAGGCATCACTCTAGAGACATTCATGAGATCATTAATACCAGCACATAACGAGGAATAGGGTACTTCTAAAAACCTCCCATTTTACAATATATAAATTAATAATAATTATTATAGGAATATTTATTTAAAATAGAATACGGTTAGAGCAAAAATACAAAATATTTATAGGTGAATTTTAAAAGTAGAGAATTTTAGTTACTAATTTAAATCAATAAAGATTTGTGTAGGGTAGTAAAAATAAATACAAGAGTGAAATAAATGAATTAATTATTAATAAATATTATCAATAAATAATGTTCGAAATAAAAGATTGAAATTATTTTTTGTTATTTTGATATATTTTGCTCTCCTCCTAGAAAATGTATTGTGGTAGTGAATTTAACAATCCATTAAATTATTTTTAATACACATTTTGCTTTATTAAATATAAATTATCTTTAAAACCGAATGACTACAAATTTGGGGCCTAAGTTGAAGTTTGTGATGCCTCTCAAAAAGTCTCTCTCGTTTGAGGATGTTTTCGAGGAGAATTGCGATCTTGAATAGAAATAATGGAATAATTCTAAGATGGATCGGAAAGTAAGTTTTGCCGTCTCGACTCTCGTATTTCTCAGATACTCGGAAGAAGAAATACTGCATTTCAGACATAGATTGAAATCGCAAATTCATAGTAGCATAGAGTTGATTGAGTCTTCATATTTAAATCCCTAGTTGTGTAGTCCTGGTAAATAAAGCAGAAGGAAGTCCTGCTTCAAGGAAAACGACGAGCATATCAACTGATTACTTATTTTATGTACTCTACAACTCTACAAAAAACTTCAGTAGATATTACATTATATTTTCAAAACTTTTATTCATTAATTTAATATGTCTCTAAATGAAGTTGAATACTAGAAGCAACATAACATTTATAATATATTGTATTAGTGACATAAAACTTAACTATCATCATATAATTTTCTGTTTCATCGAATTGAATTGGGTTTCAAACTTATACACTTTCTAAATTACTCGTTTCATCAAGAATCTTTCCCATCCATCCAACCATCTAGATAGTTATGAATAATCAGCTTACTTATTCATTTCCTCCTTGCTACCCAGTTGAAGTATCCAGTTCTCCAAAGTCCTGCTCAATTTCTCAATCAAAGGTTGGAATATCATTTCAATAAATGGTTCAATTTCATCCATCCACTTGAAAATTTCCTTGATCGGTTGCACATTCTAATTTTGAGGGTTGATTTCTAAATTGTGGATACAGAACAGCATCTTAGGTAAAACTGACATGTATAATAGATTTTTCCAATTTTCTCCCAAATGTATAGCCCAAGGTTACAGTACACTAAAACCAAAGTCATCTTTATCCGTAAACTTTAATTGTTTTAATTTCTTCTCCACTTCCTCCAGCAATTCCTTACTGTTTAATTTTGAAGTGATCCAAGGTTACAACCATTAATGTAAAGATATTTTTGAATTCAGATTCCATTCTTAAATCTTAAGTTTTAGTTTAGACATTACTATACACATAATATCTTTTTATACTTATTAATCCAACAATCTTATACTCTGAAATTGATTGACTCCTGTTTCATCGGTTTCAACTAACGCTAAGTCTTTCATCCATAATCCTAAAAAATCTATTAAATAATTTTCTTAGGTTGGATCAAATGCTACAGATAGATAATTTCTTAATCTGATTAGAATCGGAGCAATCAATAATCCAATGAATCTTTTTAGAGTGTTAAGATCAGAGGTTGAAATTGAATTATTAATAATAAAGACATCCAATTGTTCAGCATATTTGCTCAGATTTTAAGATTTCTTCTTTATATACACATCCTTTGCCAAAGTAATCACATCAGAGATCAATTAAAATTCATATTCTAAGATATCCAAATTTGTAATAGGTCCTTTCCATTTAGATGTCAAGACCTTAATCTCTTATTCTGCATTCTTGACTAGCAATCCAATTAAATTGAATTAGATGAATTAATCACTAAATTTCCTAAAACATTCTTCAAACTTTGTAAAAATGTGGAACTTATCATTTGAGATCAAAATGTCATCATCTTTGAAGAATTTCAAATAATTTAAAAAATCTTCTTTTCTCTTAACTGAATCATTCCATTAGGTAAATTACATCAATTCTTCTTATTTTTCGTGCTCCAAAATAATCATTTTATCCTTCTCCTTCTTTATACTCTATTCATTATTCTCCCACTTCCCTAAACGCTTTTCTAAAATTGTTTTTACTGACCAAGTTAGTTCTTGAACTTCTTTCAAGTATTCCCTAACTGCTTTATTACTGTACACTTAAGCATCTTAAGTCTAATTTAAGTAATCATTAATATCACTGCCTGTCATATCAATTATCTTATATTTATTACTATTCTAGTTCTCTTTAATTAGATTGCCCATTATGTGATTCCTATCTAAATTCATTACTTCCTCCTTTCTAATGTTAACAGTAACTTATCCATCCTCTTTATTCTACTTCTTTCTCCATTATTTTTCGTATTTATTCAACTTCTTAGATTAAAAAAAGGGTTTCTACTTATTTTCCTAAGTCTAATTATTCTCTTGCTCCTCTTCTTCATCTTATTATTGATATTCCTATACTCCCTCCCCTGTGAATGATTGTTTCTTCACAGCAATTACTGGCTCCAGTATACCCTATTTGTTAGCACCTAAACCTTCTCCATATTTGTATCCTAATTTCTACAGGAACTTCAATCCAACACCATAATCATGTTCTTCCACTCTTTTTTCTAAAGTCTTTTTTTCTCTTTAACTTAGATTTTTTTTATTTCTACTATCTTTAAATGCAACTTGCTCGACTGTGATCGTTTTCTTGCCCTCTTCTTCTTTAAAGACTTAGAGTTTCTTCTTTAAAATTCCCTTTGGCTTATGAGAAGGAGTTGAACTGACCACCTGAACAATGGAATCATCACTCTAATCATCTTGAGCTTCTACTTCTGAATCAGAATCAATCCTATATAATTGCCATGCACGTCTGATGTTACTTGAGAGATGAAGCTTTTCCGCCAAAGTTAAATACTCCTCCTCATGTTTAACTATAGGATGAACAACATTATTTTCAAGATTAAATTGCACTGATCGCTTCTATTTTATCTTATACTCAGTTTCATTAAGTTTCTCGTTCTTTGGCATGTTCTTATCAAATATCTTCACAGTCACACCCTTCTCTACGTTTGACAGAAGAGATGCATTCGATTTTTAGAAATTAGCAAATGCTTAATTTCTTTGGTATTCCTTATATATTCGATGATGCTAATTGTTTGGAGTGTCCTAAACTTACGGTTTTGGAGTTTATTCGAAATCCTCCTAAAAGAGATTTAATCGAGCTCTCTATGGTTATGATTGAGGAATCTTAAATTTTGGTATTTCTATTTCCATCTCATATTCTTCCTCATGATTTACTTTGGGTTTCTTGAATCCCAAGCCTGTATGGAATGACAATTCATCATCACTACTAAGATCGTCTAGATCAACTTTCATTGATTTTAATAATTTATATTATGCATATATATTAACTTCATCAAGAAGCATAATACTCCTTGTTTGGTCTTTCTTCTTGCTCCGTCCTTCTCAAGTATGCCAACTCATAAGAGAAATATGCAAACCAAGAAATGCCCATGACTAACCAAAAAATACCGTCCTTTCTATCATAGTTGTGATCTATTTATACTTATAGTTAATTGTCCAAGGTCTGTAGTCCTCTGGATAAGTGAATTATTCAGTATAAGCAATTGGTGCTTGTTAACCTGGAGTGAAATTTCTAATACTTAGTTAAGTTTCATATACCTGGGTGGTCTGGACAAGTTGATACTTTTAGTATGGCTTAATCCAATTTGCTCAAGTTTTGAGAGATTGCTTTATCCGTAACGATAAGCTGCCCTTTGTATAAAATTCATTTTAATATTAATATATATGTATTATTATAAATTATATTAAATACTAATCTCTATATTAATTAATCAAAGGACTACTTCCTTCTAGCTTGGAAGGCAGATTCCTAAATAAAGGTCAATCAAAGATATCAATAAGAAAGACCTTACTGAACTGATTTTTGCCTAGTTACTCTAATATAAAGGTAGATTCAAATAGAAATTTAATAATGCATACATAAAATTAATATTATTATTTATCTATTGAGGAAAAGTGATCAATATGGTTAATAATGAGTCAACTCCTTATAAATAGATTCAAATTATAACTTTCCACGCTTCATTAATTTATTATTTTCCTTTTTTGAAAATTATTAGAATTTAATTTATCCTGATAATAAAATGACAAATGGATGAAAATATTATTTATTTTATACTTTGCCAAAAATATTAGAAATTTTCTATCGTTAAATTGAGATTTCTTTTACTTATTATTTTCGATGATTCTTAATCTATAACCCAATTGGCTAGTTCTGAAAAATCAATTGTTTCCTTAGAATACTTAAAATAAATTAATTAATTATTTTATTTTCATAATCCCACTTTCCACAATAGAATAAATATAAATTAATTTAAATACTTTAAATTTTGACTTTATATATATTCTAGGATAAAATTCAATACAACCTGTAGGTCTGGATAAGAGAGATCAAAGAATTATTCTATAACTAAATTATATAGGAACCCTACTAGAAACTTACACCCTTTAGCACATGCCAGAGAATATCAAAAAGCTTTTGTTGCTAAGGAAGTTCAAAAAATATATGCTTTCCCATTTGGGAGCATTGAATTGACACTCCAATAGTGTAAGCTGTATTGAAGCATGCAGATTCAACTTATTAAAGCAGGAGTTCTGATGGAGAGAAATAGGAATCTAGGATATTCAAAGTTGAAGTACATTAGTTCAATTTAAGTGAGGAATGCAGTGTATAAATAAAATAGATGCACATTAATAAATAGCCAATGGAGTTTCATTTAGTTGAAATGAAGTAGCAATTTTTCATCAGGCGAAGACAAGACAATAAATATCTTATGAATAAAAAGAAGCAGAAATATGAAGTAAAGGAATCTAAGAGTAGAAAATTACAAAACACAGAACCCAAAAATTCAGGCTCAAAAACCAAAGAAATAAATAGGGTTGAACAATTTATTCAATGATTTACAAATGTGTTTTAACATAATTTAAAAGTTTAATAAGTTGTTAATTAATTTAAATATGAAGAGAAAACTATATAAATTATCATTGTTTAAGGAAATAGACGAATTTAATCAGAAAGATGATGATGGACACTATAGTGATGATTCATCTGTCTCTGATGAATTTCTGAACACTACTCTTGAAGCATATTGTATTAAATTATTTTAATATTCAAAGAATCTCAGATCTTTATAAGCAGTAATCAAACATTTAGTTCGATTCACTCAGAACAACTTCAATTTATTCAAGGAGTATTCGATAAGTCTGAAGAAAGTGAAAAATCAATTGACTTCAATATTACAAATGTATGAACTCAAATATTAAATGTAGATTGATGGTGACAATAGAACTACCTTGATGATGAGAAACATCCCTCAAACCTACACCAAAGAAATGATTATGATGGAAATAGATCCAAAATTCAAAAACAAATTTGATTATTTCAACTTTCCATTTGATGGTACTTCCAATCCTGGTTATGCCTTCATCAATTTGAAGTCCAAATCTTATTTAAGAGATTTTTATAGTTACTTCAATGGGAGGAAGTGGAAAAACACTCCATCAAAAAAAGTATTTAATTTCAATATAAATAGCCTTGCTATTTGAAATACGCCAAAATTTAGCATAAAAAATTCAAATAAATTAACCCTTAGATTTATTTACAATAAAGTAGTGTGATAAAACTGGTCTAGAGTTAAAAATTACAATGCAATCTGTGAATTAGAGTATCAGTTTTTTTCTCTATATATATATATATTGTTTTGCTTTATATTAATATGAATATTTAATGAAATATCAATTTAATTGTAGTCTCTCTCTTAAATATTCTTTGAGTGTAACAATCTTATCTTAGATGTGATCAGATATCCTTGATATGAGATCTTAGGTCGAAACTCTGGATTGAGTTTCCATCTAATAGATGTCTTGTTGCTATCTGCACCATTGATCTTGTCCTCCTAAGTTATTCTATTATAAATATCTCCTCTTACCTGATTCCTCTCTACTTCAACAGCATGATATTCCACTTTTCCTTAAGACTCCTCGATGATGCTTTGATAATTAAGGATAGCTTGTTCTAAGTTCTACCTCTGATCTGATCTAAAGATTATTCAACATGGAATGTTACAATGTATTTTTCTCATTTGTTAAGTCTGCCAAAAATTATTACCAATTCAAGCTTTATTGTTTCTCAATAGATTCATCACTTCCTTTGCTTTCAACTATTTGGACTCTTAAATTGGCTAACAATTAAAGCACCTTCTTGGCAGTGTCAGAATCTGATTTTGAAGACAATTGAGTCATCATTGTTAGGATTGGTTAAAACAATAAGCCTGTTGATTGACTAACTATCAATTAAATAACAAAACCTTTATAATCTCTATAGGACCTTATTGAATCTTCCCTTAACTTGAATAAACGAAGAACCTCCGGATAAATGTTCAATGAGTGCATAAGCTTCATCAATTGCTGAAATTGCTTCAGTATGATCCTTAATTTTAGATTAGAATTCTGCATATTATAAATCTCTTTCACTCTGTCCTGCATTGGTTTTCTTTGTATTTTCTTCAATTTCCACAGACACTTCTGCAATTTTGTTAAGTGATCTTTATAGATTGTTTGTGTTTTCCTAATATGATTATAATTTGTCTAACATCGACTATTTTTTAGTGTGCCTTCAATTGGCTTTGATGATAGGCTAAATTCGTAGAAAAGTCATGTAATAATCTATTACAAGAAGCTTATGTATTTTAAATGAAGAGATCTGCATCCTTTTGTTCTTACTCTAGCATGAATCTAAAGTAATGCTTCGTAAATACCTGATATTATTGATATAACTTTGAATTTCATGAACTGGTGAACCAGTGGCAAGACTGATTTGGATAGCATTCAAGAATGTTTTGCCCATATGATGATCATCAATTTCTGCCAAGGCAATCTTTGGATCTGTACCTGTTTTGCATAATGCCTATTATCCTATTTGAATACTACCAAGCTTATTAGAACCAATAATAGTATTTTCATTTATTATTATTATTAAAAACGAATATAAATTATAAATTGATTCTTCTGCAAGTGTACTTATGATATGAACCAAGTAAACATCTTTATAAATCTATAAACCAATAATCATTCATGACTTCTATAATGAATAAATTTTGGAGCAAATCCCTAAAGTGTTCTCTTATATTTGAACTTTATGGAAGATTTGAAATTATGCTATTGTTTATAATCTAACTGAAGTATTATTAAAATTATTGTAGATGATATTTTTATATTTGAAGGAAAAAGATATATAGAATTAATTTTAGCTTAAAGTATTGAATTTACAGCATTTTGATCATATAAAGAAAATGAGAGACTACTAGAGGTTAACTTCTTACTAAAAAGATAAGTAATTCAAATATGTAAGTTGTTTATTAATAATATTAAATATTTATATATATTTCATTCTAAATATCAATCAGATTCATCTTCACTAAATGGATAATCAATGTGATAAACGTGACTTGAATTTTTATCTTTAACTACTTGTATCTGTTCAGTAGCTTTGAATGAGGTAATGTCAATGGATTTGAACTTCTTAAATTCTTCTGATATTGTAGAGACTGATGAATGTTTCAATGAATTTCTCTTCCAGATTTCCCCAGCTCCGAAAAGGAAGCAGAGTTATTTAATTTTTTTAGCATTCATCTGGGCTTCTTGAGGCTTCCAATTCAAAAACCTAGCCATATTCTTTTCCAATCTATCCCTAGGTAAATTTGATTCATTTTGAGCATTTTTCACCCAAGGATGATCCAAAGCCTGTTATGGAGTAAGTCTTTTTTGAGGATCAAATTGCAATAAGTTGCTTATCAAATCTTTAGCTTAATAAGAAATCTGATCCCAAATGGGACCAACCATTTCATATTTGCATTATTATATCTTGTCGATCAAATCATTTAAATAGTCAGAATTAAATGGTAATTCTCCACTTAACATCACATATAAGATCACTCCTGCACTCCATAAATCCACTTATTCACTAGATAATTGAAAGGTATTACTTGTACAAACCTCCTGAGAATATCTCTGGTGCTGAAAAGGCAACTGTCCCTGTGTATGTCCACATCTCGATTTTTCCATGTTCATTCAGATTCCCAAATTCTTTGTATCCATCTGTAAACTTGGAGACCTGAATTAGATTATTGTATAGTGTACATTGAAATCAGTAATCTTGATGGATCTACCATCTTCAGCGCATAAAATATTATTTGGTTTCAAGTCTCTGTGACAACAATAGTTTTCATGCATGTAATCAATTGCCTCCAATACTTATTTGAATAAGATCCTAGCAGTGCACTCTACTCTTATTTATTAAAATACCACTATAATTCTTCTGTTTTTGAATCACTTCAAACATCTCGCTACCCTTCACCTTCTCCATTACTACATATACAGTCCCAGTTGATTGGAATCCTTCGTTCCATTGAATGTATAATTCCTCCATTTTTACTATGTGAGGATGACTCAACTTTTTTAGATTCTTGAATTCCAATATCATCTAACTCATATATGAAGATCATCTACATTCTTCACGATTTCCTCAGCATCTGTTTTAACTGTCTTACATGCCAACTCCTATCCATCTAGCTTTCTCGTTATACTCTTCACTAATCCAATGCATCCTTCTCCTAAGACCTCTCCTTCTGTATACTTCTCCCAAAATTCGCTCAGATCAAATTTAATCTATTTATTATCTTCCTCATCTAACTCTATGTTTATTCTATTTAAAAATTATTGTATTTCCTATTCCTTCGTATTTCCATTCTCGCTTTTATTTATCAATTGTAGCATTTAGCCTAATCAATTATTCAATTAACTCCTACCTTTGAACTTATTCTTAAATTGTTGCAATGTATTTTGTTAAGTATTATCAGAAATAGGGGCCCGAGAAAACGAAAACTTACTCTTTCTTCTCTAATTTTATATATCCATATTTATTTAATAATACTTATAAAATCAATAATTTCATAAGGTGCTACTATAAATAAAAATCACTTAATAAATTTATCTTAAAACTGAATCTAAACAATCAGTTGTGTTTTAATTTAAATCTAATATTATTACCATTATCCATATATTAATAAATATTTTATTTAATTTAATTATTCTATGGGAAGCGTTGAGTGCTGCAAACACTATCCTCGTGTTGATACTCTCAAATTTGATGATATTGACTCCTCAAGCTAAGAGTCAGTGTTCTACAAGAGAGACGACTAATTTTCACGAAGAGCCAGTTCCCCTGGTCAAGAAGCAGTCCCTTTATGGGTCAACCAAAGATAGCCTCAGATGTATTAAAAACATGCCTGTGTATCTACTGCCTTATAATCTTACTCATTCAAAACAATCTCATCAGAATAGCATTTCTCTAATTTTATAACATTTTAAGCCCTCCAGTCTTCTAGAGATTAGCAATCTAGCAAATTATAGAACGTCCGGCCTAACTATTTAGATGACTTAAATGATATTTAAGTTTAATTGAGTTGCGATTTATAAAGCAGTGAATATATTAAACAACCATCACAATATAGAAAAAATATCTGAAACCTCATATTTATAATTATGTTTATAACTAAATAAATTTAAACACCATAATCAAAGATTGTTTTACTCATTTCCTAAATCAAAAATGTATTTTATATAAAATTTATTAAATATATATTTTAAGTAATACATAAATTTATTTTACTTATCAGTCATCTTCCATCAAATCATCCTTCCAATTTAATTAATTATATCACAATACTCACAGTATATTTATTTTCTACTTTTTATAATTCTTAATTCCATCTTGTCCAATAATGATTTCAATTATTGTACTAGCTAACATTTAATTTTGAAACTACTATAAAATTTTAAGTATTAAATATAATTGATTTGATTATGTAAAAATTATTCCTGAATGAGAATCAAACTTTTTCTCTATTAAAATTTTATTTTAATATATCTTAAATCTATTGAAGATTTTTAAAGTAAAATGAAATCTATAATTAATTCTTAAATTCTTGTAAAACAATTACTAATAGAAGATAAAAAGATATTAATCCTATATATTCGCTGAATGATCAAGAGATGAAATATGTAGTTCTGATGATGCATTACTTTCACTAAAAGTAGAAATCAATATCTTTTTTATAGTTAAATTTAAGATTTGATGAAGGATACCCATACCAATTAAAGGATCAAAAGAGCATAAAGGAATCAAATATTCAATAATATGTATAGTTTAAGTTTATTCTAATAGGGGCTATTTTCATTCTAAAAATCTAACCAACGATTATTTAATTAAAATTAATGTCCCAACAGACATCAAAGTGTTCAAACTGTAGAGCTTAAATTGCAGAGACGGTATTTGCATTGCATGAAATCTATTGCATTCGTAACAACATAGAATGCAAGAGGTGCGGATAATTCTTTGATAAGAATGACCCATAATCTCATGAGGAAGAATTTCATAAAGGCACTCCATGTGAATTTTGTAAAGAAATATTCTAAGGTACTTCTTTCTATCAACGTAGATATTTCAAAACACACAAAATGTCTTAAAAAACCTGTCTAGTGCATACATTGTGGATTAGATTAGACTAAGGATTAAATATTTCAACATGAAAATATTTGCGGTAGCAGAACAGAAAGGTGTGATATCTGCAAGCAATACATTATGATTAGAGAATTAACCAAGCATGTAGCTACATGCGTACCTCCAAAACCAAAGGAATAAGTATAAGAAAAATAACCAACTTAAAAAACAGTTGAAAATAGATAAATTTCATAATAACCCTAATAAATTGCCTAACCACCCAAACCTGATTATAAGAATTTTGATTATAAATATAAACATCAAGTTGAAGCCGAATAGGTTAGTAGACCCTAATAATAGGTGTAGGCAAAACATGAAATATTTGGATATGAAAAACCATCACTGCCTTATAGTTAATAATAATCATAATAGTAATAATAACAATAGGCATAATAAATTAGATAGCCTATTAATAAGTACGATAAACCCATTGAAGTTAGAGCAGATAATCATTCTTAAAATAGAAAAACTCCATAACAATATTACAACCCTAGTTAACAATAATAACAAATTGCAGTCGAATAAAAATATAAGCCCAAAGAATATCCACTTCAACCAACAAATGTTATAAAAAGATAAGCATCTGGCAATCAAGAGGTTAGAAATGTTTATCCCTAATAAGAAAAATTAACTGATAAATATTCTTATTAATAGTCAAATTAATAGAAATTACCAGATAGAAAGCCAAATGATCAAAGATAATACGATCCTAATTCATACTTAAATAGATAATAGGAGAATAAATACTATGATAATAAATAATTAGAAGTGAGAGGAATTGATAAAAAATAATCTGATCAAAATTTACATAGATAATATAGTTAACAACCCTAATAAAAAAAATAGTAAAATTTATCATAACATTTTAGACAATAACCAAAAGCTGTTGATGATGATATAGACTACCTTGCTCTTGGTTTGACAAGGGAAGAGATTGAATAATAGAAGGCTTATTTGGAAAGTCTATAGTAATAGAGAAAACCTTAAGAAGCTTAACTAAAACCTTAAGAATATAAGCCAAGATAGGATTATTATTAGGCAGCAAGAGCATATAAATGATATTGTTATGTTTATTACTTATATAGATATATAGAAAAATGTGCTCAAAATCCATTCATATTTCCTTAGTTAGACGAATTGGTATTGGTTCTGTTAGAATTGAAAGCCTTTAATTAGTCTAACAATTTAGCATTTTATTGTCGCAGTCCCTCTGTTTCCTTGCACATCAACTCATATTCTCTAAAAAAGTCTTTCTTCTTTAACTACTCTCTTTATTTTATATTGAGCTAAGTAATTTCCTCTATCTAATTAAATTTATTTTGATACTTCGTCTGATAATTGTTTGATAGTATTTTCAAGATTTTCAATTTGTTCTAATCTTTAAATTGGATTCAAGGACCCTCTATAAACATCATATTCGTTATCATCAATTTATTATTGTTATTGTTATTGCGATTATTATTATAGTTAAAGTTGTGATTAAGACAATTATTGTTAAAGTGAACTAGTTGTGATTCTGAGTTAATTAATTTCAGTTTACAGTTTCTAAGCCTCGTTAATTCTTTGCATCTATTCTCCTTCAACTTGTTATTTTAAATAGTAGATTTCATCCAATAGCATGCTAAATCTTTTATAATTTTTCGATAGAAATTGTTTTAGATCAAAGAGTGAATTTGTTTTCTCATAATTGTTGGAATTCTCAATAAAATCTTCCAGATACTTGATTTTTATTTTCAGTTTCTCATTCTCGAAACTATATTGAGATTAATTAATATTCATTATAATAAATAATTAACAACCCATAAATTATATACGAATTTTGTTCTAATTTATTTAGAAAACTTTCCTAAAAAGATTGTTGTCTATGTGATAGGACATTTAATAATTAACTTAATAGATTTCCCTCTGTTGAGCTCTACAAGGTTGATTTGGGTTGCCAATATCTCCTTCGGTTCTATGATCAATTCGTCCTCCTCTAGTTGTTGTCGCTCCGCCCAGCTACTGATCTACGTGGGATTTTAAAGTAAATGTTTATTCTTAGCTCCTCACAATTGTCTTAATAATTAACAAAAATATGAGTAAATGAAAATGAATATGAACTAATCGTCCTTCTCTTCCTGAATTCCATAATCATCTCCTAAGATTCCAGAAATTTCAATCTTCAGACTTCAGTTCAATAATGTTCACAATTAAGAGATTAAATCATTAAAACGTTAATATATATTATATCCACACTAACTAGACAACAAATGGCCCTCAGCCATTGTCTTTTTTTCTAATAACAAATGCTATTTACATTTTCTTTCTAATTCACATACTTTAAATAAAGATATATTATTTCTAATTAAATATAATTCATTTTCTTCTAGAACTCTTATGGTGATGACTCATTAAAACATGTTACTTCTTTTGAAGATCAACATAAATGCTATTTATTTTATTATCTGTGCTTTCAGACTATATAAATCTGTCATATTTTTGTTTATATTCCTTCTATTTAGACTAATAAAGAGGAACAGTTTATTTCTATTACTACTAAAATCTCTGATCAAGTAAATTTAATGATTCTGAAACTTTAAAATTTTATTCTCCTTAAACTTGTGGTAAAGTTATTTGGGGTTATTCTGTCTAGGGAGGCTAAGTATTGAGTCCCTCATCAGGAATATCAAATTATGACTTATTTTGAATTTATTGATCTGATGGAGACTCTTCAGATAAAGGCATCTAAACTTCATATTGTCCCAACTCCTTGAATTAATATAAATCATGAAGACTCTCTTAATGGTTGTTAAGTACATAATTCAATTCCAACATTTCTTTAAATAAAGGATCTACCTTTGCAAATTTTTAATAATACTCCTTTGGAGGAGCTCTCAAATTAAACTTGTCTAAGATATTCTAAGTATATTTGATGTCTTATTTTTTTTAGACTTAAGGTTGATTGTTAAGCAATCCAACAAATTTAAGTTTTTCATCTGACTTTTCAAAATTATGCTAGAGCATCTTTGGTCTTGAAAATGGAACTTGAGGTTTGTTCATATGTAATACTAGTTTTACTGAGGGAGAAACTTGATTCACATTTAGCTATAGATGAGAAAGTAAATATTTAGTTTACGCTGATACTTACACATTCTGGTCTTCAAATTATTCAATTTTAGTAGAATCTTTTCGTTATATTTTTTGTGGCTTCAATTTTTCACTTAGATGTTTAGCAAATGTTAATCCATCTCCAGATAAATTAGGAAACATAAGTTTCCTACCTAAAAATGTTTTTTCCTGAGCCTTTCTCTTTTATTCCAACTTCTTTTACATTATTATCTGATCTTAGATTCTTTCATACTCTAAAAATTTAGATGTGAAAATTTTATCTATTTATCCTCTTATATATGCATCCGAAACATATAATCCATTGGAGTAAAATATCAGAATATGATAACAATCATATACAAATCTTCAATTATTTTTAAAAACTACCTAATGTTCACTTGTTCCTTGTATTATGCGTCTTTCCATAAATACCAATGAATATTATAGGTTATTAAGAAAAGAATATAATTGATGATCTCATCTTTTGGTTAAGGTAATTATGCGAATAGCTTAACGTATGTTTTTGAATATTTATCCTTTAGTTGTGTAGCTCCACCTCGAAATTTTAAGTCAAGGACTTATTTTAATTTATAACTTTACTTATGTCTATGCCAATTAATGTTAACTTTGAAACTCGTTTCAGCTAAAGACTTTAAAGAACTTTATTCTTAAGCTAAACGTTTTCAATATTTTTTAATATCCCATTTTCTATGATCTATTACATTTAACTTTGTAATTCTTCTTCTGGGTTATTAGACATTTTTTTGTTAAAAATTAATTAAATAATCTATATATATATAATAATAATAAACTGATCTAATTAGAAAAATAGGTTAACTATTAATAACGTTTTCCAATCACTTATTTTATTAATAATAAATCATTTCCCAATTCATTCCAAATAATCAATACATTCATCATTTATGCATCTATATAGATTGAATGCTGTTTTACTGTCAGATAAACAAGAGACATACTATAAAATGAAAAATAAATTATTACTCCTGAGATACCCTCATCATCTGCAACAGATTTACAATTTTACATAGCAGGTACGCAACCAGAATCTTTAGCACAGGCATTCACCTAGCTAGTGCATTCCCATTCTAAGCATTATTTGAAATCAGCAGGTTCTTCACCTTCTTCACCTTCTTCAGCTAATTCTCCATAACCATCTTCTCCTCCTTCTCCTCCTTCTTCACCTTCTTCGCCTTCATTATTACTTTCGCTATCACTTTCACCATCGCTATCACTATCGCTATCGCTATCACTATCGCTATCACTGTCGCTATCACTGTCGCTATCGCTGTCGCTATCACTGTCGCTATCACTTTCACTATCACTGTTTTTTTCGCTATCACTATCGCTTTCGCTTTCACTCTCCTTTTCGCTATCACTTTCACTCTCCTTTTCGCTATCACTTTCACTCTCCTTTTCGCTATCACTTTCACTCTCCTTTTCGCTATCACTTTCACTCTCCTTTTCACTATCACTTTCACTCTCCTTTTCGCTATCGCTATCACTCTCTTTTTCGCTATCTTTATCACTTTCACTTTCGCTGTCTTTTTCGCTATCATTATCACTTTCTTCTTCTCCTTCTTCAGTTTTAGGCTTTTTATCTTGGGTTGTGTCTTACTTACCTTTGGATTCAGTTTAACCTTGATTAGGTTTAAAAATATTTATACCTTAATCAGATTTTGGATTACTGTCTTTGGATGGGGTTTTATTTTAATCTCCTTTTGTATCTGTTTGGCCTTATGTTTTACCTGATTCAGGTTTAGGAGGTTCATTTTTTCCTTCACTTGAATCAGATTTTGTGCCTGGCTTGGTTTATTCAGCCGTTGGAGTTTTATTTGTAGTAGGTTAGGTTTAACCTGACTATGTTGCAGCAGCAGCTGCAGTTTCTCCAAATACCATAGCTTCCTCAAGTTCACTAACTTTACTGCTAGATTAAATAAAAATGTGCTACTCTTTTTATTAATCAATAGATGGGTAGTCTCTTCTCTCCTCCACTTGTCGAGCTAGAAGAATTGTACATAAACACAAGAATAGGGTTAGCGTTTTCATAATTAAAATAAATTTATAAATAGTGGATAATCTTTTCACGGTTAACTAATTTATATCTTAATTAAGAATTGTTGGTTTAAACACTTAATTTCAACGTACATAAATGTTTTCATTTTTTCACTATTATATGATATGAATTTGTTTAAATTTAAAATTATTTTCATTCCAAACATTTAGATTAAACACACTCAAGTAGGGCAACTGCAGGCTTACTTTCGTTGATGCAATTCAAATACTAAAACATAATTATATAGACTTACAGCTTGGTATCCAGCAACATAAACTACATCCTTGCATGATGCTAATTTTGAATTGCAATCCTTGTCACATGCTTTAGCTTATGATCCACATTTATCTTCAATGCATGATCTAAACTTCTTTTCTTCAGGGCTCTCTTTTGGTTCATCCTTTTTCTTTTCGTCTTTCTTTTTATCATCTTTCTTTTCATCTTTCTTCTCGTCTTTTTTCTCATCTTTCTTCTCGTCTTTTTTTTCATCTTTCTTTTTATCATCTTTCTTCTCGTCTTTCTTATCGTCCTTCTTTTCATCTTTCTTTTTATCATCCTTCTTCTCATCTTTTTTCTCATCTTTCTTATCGTCCTTTTTTTCATTCTCATCTTTCTTTTTATCATCTTTCTTCTCATCCTTCTTTTCATCTTTCTTATCATCTTTTTTCTCATCTTTCTTTTCATCCTTCTTCTCATCCTTTTTCTCGTCTTTCTTATCATCTTTTTTCTCGTCTTTCTTCTCATCTTTCTTCTCATCTTTCTTTTCATCCTTCTTCTCATCTTTTTTCTCGTCTTTCTTTTCGTCTTTTTTCTCATCCTTCTTTTCATCTTTTTTCTCATCCTTTTTAGCTTCTTCCTTTTTTGGCTCCTCTTTCTTACCTTCATCTTTTTTTGGTTCTTCTTTTTTGCCATCATCCTTTTTTGTGTCTTCTTTCTTTGTTTCTTCCTTTTTTGGCTCTTCTTTCTTGCCATCATCTTTTTTTGATGAATCTACAGGCTTTTTCTCTTCTGTAAGGTGATTAACAGCCCTACAAGATATTAAAGATATCAAAAGCAAACAAATGAGGATTCTTTTCATTAATTAAATTTTATTTATATTTAATTAGGTTGAGTTTTGTAGGTTAAATATATTGGAGTCTAATTGTGATTGTATTTAGATAAATCACAATTTTAATGGGCCAAGTAGAGCTAGGTATTCAATTACATTTGGAATTAAATTAATTTTTGTATAATAACATCATTAATTGTTTGAGTAAAGTCTTTAACCTGTTAGGATAAATTTATTCATCATTATTTGAGCTTGAAATTAAGAATATGTTTAATTAATATTAAACAGTATATAGGATAAGTAAAATTAGTAAGTTGTTATTGAAATTATAGAATAATTTCTGAAATATAAGGAAAATAAATTAGAAAAGAATCAACATCTTTATGTATTATTTAATATATACCAATATTTATGGAATTGAAACTAAATCCCTTCCCTATGGTGCATTTTTCTTAAATTTTAATGTGTTAATTCCAAAATATTGCATAACCTGCTATTAAACTTAATTTTAATTTTAAGGTAAAAGTTGAGATTTTTGCAACTCTTTTCGAATGTGAATGTATTAAATATGGCAATCAAAAATCAACTATCTTAATGTACAGCAATTATTAAATAATATATTATTGAATATCAAATTTTAGTTTTGAAAATAATTTGAAATTTAATAAACTTTCAAATAGAACTCTAATGGACTACTGGATTAATTTCACTTTTCTATTGAAATTTAATTTCTGACGTTCGTTAGACTTATTTTTAATGTATTGAATTTCTAAAAATGTCCTATTAATCTATCATTTTCTTAGTAATTGATAAGTGAGTTCAATGTGAATATAAATATTATTTAACATGCTATGAGCACTAAAATCGATGTGAAAAAAATGCAATATTTTCTCTTAGCACACTTTGAAAGCAGTTAAAAGGTCATTACATTCTAAAAATTAATAAATTTTATTCACTCTAATCCTAAAATTCAAATCAATAATTGCCACTATAAATTTGATCCGAATTTTACATTTGACTGATTATGAAAACAAATTTTCAATTAGTAGTTTTATTTAATTCTAATAAAAATCAAGGATAGATTTTACAAAATTAGAAGCCCAATAATCATCTGCTTATTCTACTTAAAATTAATTCATAGATTATGATTAATTTAGAAGATAATTGATTAGAATTTTAATTGACCCTCAATTGTCAATCATCAAAGATGGAAAGAAAATCTTTTTGAAATTAACCCTTATTAAAAAATATTAAAATTAGAGGTAGATAATTAGTTATCTATAGTTAAGACTTAGGATTGATATAATAAAATAAAATTCTTGACTATTAATTGTTTTTTATTTATTTCCCATAATTAAATGAATTTAATTATATAAATATATATTCATTTAATATAACCAAGCTTTTGAAGTAACTTAGTCGTATTCTCAAACAATATGTTATTATCTTCCTTTCGATACTTTGGAAAGCAATCCGTATAATAATATCCATTTTTTAAATTTTGGTTTGGCTATGTTGCTAAAAACTTTGAAGTTACTGATCCTTAATCAGGCGTCTTTGTGAAATACCATATAAAAGGAGCTAAAAGTGAAGAAAAATAAAATTAATTTAGCATATTTGTACTAACCAAACCAGGATGTAAAGTATAAACCTTAATCTTAGTACTTTTTAGATGGTTAGCAAATGAAGATGTTTGATATATATTGGCTAATTTAGAAATGGCATAAATTTTATACCATGGATATGGTATAGGTTATCGATTTAAATAGATGTTGAAATCAACCTAGCTAGGAGAATTTGCATGTGCACGTGAAGCAACAAATATAATCCTTGATTCTTGTTCATTTGGAATGCAATCAAGCAAGTTATATGTTAACAAAAAAGGAGACAAATAGTTAACACCAAAATTCTATTCAAATCCTTACTGAGTGAATTTCAACTCTAAATTGTAAATTCCTGCATTATTAATCAAAATATCTAACTTTTCATAAGTATTTTTAAATTCCTAGCAAAATACTTGTACCTTGTCCAAATCATTTAAGTCCAAGTACATATATTTGATATTTTTGTAATTAATTAACTGAGATCTTATTCTTTCAACATTTCTCCCTGCAATAATTACATTTTTTGCTTTTGATAGCTTTTTGGCAGTTTCCCAACCAATCCCATCTGTTCCGCCTGTTATCAAAATTGTTTTATCATCCAAGATAATCTTATTTAGATTTATTCATACCTCCTCATGAGTTTTAAAATAGTTAATACCTCCCATTATTTTTAATTTTCCTGCTATCAAAGTTATTGATCCTAAAGAGAGAGCAAGAATTTTATACATTAAATTAAAATAATAAAATGTAATTTCTTAATTTATGAAATTAATCCTATGTTTAACTCTTCATTCGATATAAGATAATATATAAATTACCAAATAATAATTATCCTTTAGAAATTTCAAGAATATCAAAGAGATCCTTATACTCATTCAAATTCACTATAATAAATAAATAATTTTATTTTTTAAATGAAAGTGGAGTTAATTAATACTTTCTTTATAGAGCATATTTTAATATTAAATGAAATTTGTTATCTAATTGCATAATTAATAAGAGGTTCATTGATATCTTATTGTAATCTGAAATTAATTTTATGTAGAGATTATTTGAAGATAGAAATCCATTAAATTTTTCATAATTGTTTATAGCTTCATTTAAATTTATATTTCAAGATTTACATATTTTACATTCAGTCAATTTATTCTTTGCCTCATTCAAGGTTATCGGAATTTTTGAATCTGATAGATAACCACAATATGCACGATGGTATTTTTTTCCTGACTTAGTCTTAAAAACTATACTTTGATTTTCATCAAATTTTGATACCTTAGGATTAGTTATTTCTAGTTTTCCTGTATGTTAAATAGGAATATTTGAAGGTCTATGGGAATAATCAATACTATTAATTTAGCTTTGATCTTTCAGATCAATGGATGATAGGTTCAAGAGATTTTATTGAAAATTTTACTAAATAGGCAGAGATTATTGTTATTTAATTTTAGTAGTAGGTACTTATTATGAAAATTTCTCTATTATTTCATCAGCTTACTTTTATGCTACTTCAATTTCTTTTAGCAGAGATTAAAATTAACTTTATAGGCTGTCTTAATCCGCAAATACTTTTTCTATCTTAACAATCAACATGCTTTCTTATTCTCTTTAATTTTATAAGAGTTATTTTTGTATATCTTATATTTTTAATTCCATTTATTGAAATTTGTTGTCTAAGAATTCTTTAAAAAATCCCGTTAATTCTTCAAACATGAAAATTATAATAAATAATTAATTAAAAATATATTATCACTAAAATTAAAACTGATCCATTCTTATTTGCTATTAATGAATAATATTAAAGGGTAAGAATTTTTTCTTGAGTTAATATAAGGAACGCAATTAATTAATAGAAATTATTATAATTTCTAGAAATTTAAAATACGTATAAGATGTAAAAGCAATATGAAAATGAGAATATTGTTATACAGGTTATAGTTAGCACAGATTACCATTTGTTTAAGTTTTCAATTTTATTATCAAAATTAATGATTAAATTATATATTATTCTTAATTCATTATTTGCATTAGTATTAAACCAATAGGTCTGTCCAGAGGATGAATATAGGTTCAAAAATGAATGCATACCAAAATCATGTTAGTAATATATTGAAAAGATTACATCAAAAAAGAAGCCAAGTGGAAAAAGATTTTTGTCATTGGACATGAATGGAAAAGTGATGAAGGAAAAAGATGATTACAGAATTGAAATCGAATTTAATGATGAACTCGTTGGAATTTTTAATAGAGATAATAATCAATCCTGTATAACAGATCAATTGTATCGACATGAAATGAATTATGTACATGATAATAAAGATGATACTGCCATTGTTAGTTCCTTTGATTAAAAAAGGAGGAAATGGAGTTTCTTGATTGGGTATTGATTTAATTAATAATTAGTGATTTAAGTAATAAGCTGTACTAGGATAAATAATCAGATAAGACAATATATAATGGATTTTACACAATAAATTATTTTGTCAAAGATTATGTAATTTTATAATACATGTTTGATTTTCAAATTGTACTTGATAATAATTAAAAAATGATCGAGACTCACTTTAATGATTAACTGTTGGATGACTAGGTCTCATGTAATTAATTTGGAACATGTGTATAAAAAATTTATACAGAAATATCATTTTGTAAGGATAAAGATTGCACGGAGGTAGCAGCAGAGCCTAATATCACAGTGAATACTCCAGTTTATTTGATAAGCGAGATAAAGGATGAGGGATTTTTGGATTGGTACACACATGACTTAGAGTTAACTTTTTACAGCTACTAATTAGTTAAGAAGTTTAGACCAGTTTTTGAATAGCATAATCCTGGAAAGACAATTTTTAAATTAGTTGTCCCATTTATAGCAGACAAAGGCTCCCTTTATGTGTCAGCTAAATTAACAAAAAATAGTTATTGGAGAAGAGTATTGGAAGATGAGATTGGAACTTCCTTAGCTATTAGCATTTATTAGGATGCACCGTGTATTAAAAAGGGCTCAAATAATTAGTGTCCAAGTTAAGAATTAATAGAGAAAACAAATTAATTGGATTGCGGATGTGTTGATATAATGTATTGCGATGGAATAGATATATTCAATGCCATGATGCTTATATTGATTTTATTGATAATTTGAATTCGTCGTAAAAATTTATATATTAAATAAATGAACACAAGTGAATTGGTCGAGTATCAATAAAAGGTAGAGGCTTACATAAAAGAGCACAAAATGACTGATTTATTTGAAAATCTTACTAGATTGTTAGTGCTTTCGAGACCTTAGGATCCTATGACATTCTTGATAGATATTCTTGAAAATAGAAGAATGCAACGGCTTATCCTAGTAGCAGGAGTAGTTGCCACAACTAGATAAGAAATAGTAGTATCCCTTGCGAATATGTTCAATTACAAAGTTATAACAGTAGATGATCACTTTAAATCTCATTGGATAAATGATGATTAAGTAAATCAATACATTCATGCAGAACTGAAAAAGACAGAGAAACACTTCAGAGGTGTCGTGATATCTGGTTATCCCAACAACATTACGCAAGCATATTATTTGTAGTCATTGGGAATCATACCAGAGAGGTAGAATATGCCATTATTTTAGGTTCTTTTATTTGGAGAGTGATCCAGATTTTTGCAGATAGTACTATGAATAAATATCAGAATCACAAGAAGAAGTGACGAAGGCATTGACTAGGGATAGATTGAATAAGAAGGATTTGGAGTATATCTACGGATCCTATATGGACATATTTAATACATCTAAGAGGACCAAAGAAGACATTATTGAAAATATCAAATAGATTATTCGTTTGAGAGATAGAAAGTTTCCACCTCTTCGTTATCCAAGGGTAGCGATTATAAGACCTCCTGGATTAAAAGAAAGAGCAAATTAATTAGCATAAATATTTAGTAAAAGATATGGTTTGGTTTAACTTATTACATTTGATATGATCCAGCAATAAATTCAAAACAAAGGAGCTTTGGGTCCTTTAATCTATAGTACACTTCAAAAGGAAGGAGAAATACCTAATGATATTATGAATAGCATTGTCTACACAGAACTTCTATCAACAGAGTCCAGAACTAAGGGATGGGTTTTAGAGGGATTTCCTAAGAATGAAGCTTAATTGAAGTTTTTGGAGGCACAAAATGTGAATTTATTTGTAATCTTGAATGAAGATGAAGATGTCTTAATTAACAAGTCTAAATAGCTGAAGATTGATCCTGTTACTAAAATAAAATACGAGAAGGTGCCATTAAATAATAAACCATTATTAGACAGATTACAAAATTATTAGGTAATTGAATAAGCTAATTTAGATTCATAATGAACAATTGTTAAAGTCTAGGATATCTAAATATTAGGCATATGTAAAATTGATTGAATAGAAATTTGGTGAACGAGTGTAGGTGTTCAAATTAGAAAAGGATTCAACCGAGAATATCATTAGAGTGACAGATGTATTTTTGAATAATCCAAAAATTTATAATTGATAGATTAAATTTATTTGTGCTCAATATTTATTAGAATTTATAATAAAGTCATTCAGATAATCCATCATCAAATCATATGCACTCTATTAAATATCAATGTTATTTAGTGCATTAGTCAATAATTCACTAATCTATTCTTATATGTCATGATAAGCATTTTCATTAACAAAATATTAGCAATTGTTCTCAAATTTGGTAAGCAGATTTTCAATTGCCAAATGTAATTATCCTTAGACAATAATCATTGAACTTTCATCTTTATAAAGTGTCAACTCTCTGAATTTGTACTTTGGATATTTCTTTGCCAAAACTTCATCAAAAGTACAAATATCATCAATTAATCCATTCTCAAGTGCTTATTACGCTGTATAAATCTTGCTTTCCTCAAATTTCTTTATCTTACCTGCTCTATTCTATTTTATCTGATCTAATGCGAATTGAAATTCAGTTTGAACTTCTTTATTTACAAATTGCAATTATTTTTCACTCACTTTAGTAAATGCATCTAATAAAATGGTTTCTCTTCTACTCTTTCTATAATTAATTTTGAAATTTTCAAGCACATTCTAAAATCCAATGGACCTCTTAGATGGTTAAACTTCTCCGATTAAAGAGAATGGATCTATAATTTTAAATCTTCATTACTTGCATACACTTCTGTACCACAACTTGCTAAGTAGTATGCTGATCCTAAGGCATAGCAATCGATAAATGTGTAAAATGGAGCATCTAAATTTTATGCAGCCTACTGGAAAGCTTCTGCTACAATTTATGCTTATGTTATATCCCCATAGGCTATAATGATATTGATGTATCGAACCTGAGTTGATTGACAGCATTAAGACTTTGGGTTTTTCTTAAATATGTTTCCTTAATTAGAATAAGATTTTGGTAGCAGATGATTGGGTCATTGCCTTTGAAAATACAAAGTGAAATATTTCTCTTTTAGGCCTCCACGGTTTGAGCATAAAGCGAACGCTATTGTAAAGAAATGTACTCATTAATTAGATTATAATATAATTATTCAAAGAATCCCAAAGAATTTTCGAGTTGCCTACTTTTTGGTTTCACTTTAACTCTCCTTGATTATTTCATTAGTCAAATCATAAAGGTTGTGGATATCCTTTTACATTTCCATTAGATTTTTGTATAGATTCTAATATTCTTCATAAAATTCTGGGATTTCATTCAAGGTAATGTTCTAAATTGAGTAAGAATTGTTACATTTAACTATTTCTGGTTGAATTTCAATTTATATTTCTTTGATTGTTCATAGAACTTTGATTTGCGTTGAAGATCTTGTATTTTCATTTTAATCATTTACAAATTGACATAATTTTAATGGGCATCCATATTGAAAACACCATTTTGAGATAATTCCTATGTACAGTATGATAAAAAGTGATTACATTTTGTGAATTTTTGATTGTGTCTAGACGTTCTTTACTTAGATCTTGAAATTCTTGATGATTGATATTTAATTTGTGATAATCCAATTTTTCAATAAATTAGAGAGTTGACTCATAAGTAGTAAAATAGTATTCATCTTCTCCGGTAATTCTTTTGGGGGATCTATAATAACTCACAAACAAAATATTAGAATAAGCTTTTTATGGTTGGGCCTTGAGAGTGGCATATATTAATACAGGTAACAAGTTGTCAGCCCCAGTTGGTTGATTATTGGCCATTTGATTGACAATAGCTAAGTAATTGTTATATGATATTACCACTTGTTTGTTTGCCTGCATTGACAATACAATTGAGTTTTTCTTTTGGAGTTTCTACTTTATCAATTTTAGATATTACTAATAATTTATATTCACTATCTTACAATCAACTACTTGGTTAAACATTTTATGCTTTTCAATGTTTTCATCGATTTCAAGATGTTTAGCTTGAACAAATGAATATGCTTTCATAGAAAATTCAATTTCTCTATCTTTGACTGGATCGATTGAGATCAATCTTAAAATAAGAAGAAATCAAAGTACTTAGAACAAAGTGGTTTCATAACAAGTTTTTCAATGGCCTCTCCATTTTCCCTCAGAAATTCATCCGACTCTTTCCATAAGTCCTGAAATTCATCTTCAAAGTCGCTTATTTTTTGTTATACAATGTTAGGTAAGGAATCAAATGGCATTTTGTTTTGTTACACATCTCGAATGAAACTTAACTTTAATGCATGCACAATAGCTACTTAATAATTTTTTATTTGAGCGTAGCTGATTCTGTTCTTTTCATTTTATCCGATACGGTTGGTTCCACCCTTCTGGATTATTCAAAAGACTATTCTGATTCGTCAATCAAAGTTGATTAATCCATTACGTGTAAATAATTTAATTATCTCGATTGTCAATAGGAATTATTACTATATATAAAAATGACTTAGCAAAAATGTATTATATTATGGTAAATATGAGTATTCATTTAATCACACAAGGTCGATATTGCAAATTGAGTTCCTTCAGCAATTCAATGGAGCAGTAACATATAGGTGTTTTTCCTTCATTATTCAATTTATCAATATCTGCTCCATTGGAAACAAATAGATTGATGATCACAATGTTGCCTGATGCAAAAGCAGCAAAAGTGGGAGTCTCTCCATCTTTGCATGGCATATTGACATCAGCACCATTAATGAGTAGAAAATTGCAGAATAGAACACTTTGTTATTTGGCAGCATAATACAAAGGACAGTACATGTCAACATCATAGCAATTCACATCACTTGCTTCAAATATGAATCCTGAATGATCCATCCATAATGTGTTGTTGACTTTCAAAGCCAAAAACAATTTCCTTTATTTCAATTTCAATTATATCATAGTTTTTGGAATGACCACTTTTGAATAATCAATCTGTGGCTTTTTTATTGTTTTCTTTCTATATTACTAATGTTGCAAAGCAACCTTTAGACTTTTATAGCATTCTTCAACATCAATTTATTTTCTTTTCTCATTCAGTTTCTAGACCAGTCTATAGAACTTAGCTGGCTGAGGAGTTAGAAATTTCTTTTGGGAAACAGCTCTTTCAAATCTTTTCTTGGAGATATAGGCTTTGAATGCTTTCTTAATTTTATTAGCTGCAGCCAATTCAATTTCAGGAGTGATCCACTTGTTACCATAAGGTAATGTAGTATCACTTTCTTCAATAGTAAGTGATTGATGTGCATAGGGTCTTTGTCGAACAGGTCCTCCTGAATAAAATTAAGAGAAATTCTGTTTGTTCTTTTCATAATCCTTCTTTTTCAATTTGAGTATGTAATCCTATACTTTAGTTGGATTAGATTGATTAGTGTGCAAATCAGGCTAAGATTTAATTATTACTTTAGAACTGGGATGTGTTTTTCTCATGACTACTTTGAGTGTTAGACTTTCTGTTTTAGATGGGAAGATGGGTTTATTTGTATCACTGGTAGTAGCTAATTTCTTCTCTCTCTTTTCTCTTTTCTAAATATATATATATGATACTTTTCTTTCTAGTATGGACATCATAATATCTTTGAATTTCCAAACCAGAGGATTTGCAATAGGATTGCCTCTTCTATATTCTTAATAGAAGATCTTATATTTATCAGTGTTTTCCTTCAAAGTGTCTTTTCTGTCCTCCTTCATTTCTCTGAGCATTTTCAGAAATTTGAACTATAATAGTAGTGATTCAGATGTACTTTTAATTTCTTAATATCCGCTTTATTGGTTTGCTGAATGTTAATTTCTGATTTCTCCTTCTCCTTTGCCTTTTGATTAACTTTTAAGTAGAGATGTCTACTCTAATTCATTTCCTTGGATATTCTATAGTATTGATTTAAGATGTTCTCAGCAATTGTCAATTCGATATCACTAATCACATCTGAGTCCAATTAATTGATTACTGTTTATAGCAATCTGAAAATAGATAATCACATACTTTTTATTCGAACACTTATTCAAGAGATTGCTGGTGTTGACCAAATACAACAACTCTTCTTCCGTCATGGCTTATTGAGTATCGTACTTAAGCAGGAGTTCTTCTCTTCTTTATTGATCCTATTTGTCTTTGTCATGAGTTATTATGTACTCGCCCATTCCAATAGTATTAAATGAATTGCTATTAACCAACATACCCAATCTATGCTTTGCTGAGTTCCTTTTTACTTTGAAATCGGTTTCTTTTTCATTAGACCATTAGATGTTTGTGGTCACTTTGGTTAGTTTCTTGACTTTGTGTAATAAATTGTTTAATTCATCAATAATGGATTGCATATCAGGTTTTTTATAGGCTATGTTGGTAACATTATCAGACGAATATATTTTCTTGGTATTTTCCTTGGAATTCAGAATTTCAATCAATGCAAATTTGAGTTTCTTCTTGAGACTTCTAAATTTAGTGTGTATTTCAACCCAATTGAATATGTTTAGATTATTTTCATTTTCATGAATCACTTTAGTTTTAGTGCGTTGAAGTTCTCTTTACTCCATTTTGATTTTCCATTATCTCAATTATTCAACCACTTAATTTTAGAGCTGTTTTATTATGAAATCCTCTCGCTCCTATTGAGAACCAAGACTTTAAACCTTATAGAAGGATATGCCTAATTCCAAAGCTATGCGAACACATTCATTTCTATCGGACAACTCATTACAACGAGTTACCAGATAATGGACTCTCTCAACAAAAGTATCCAGAAATGAAACCATTGGCATTCCATCACCAATTGTCGATTTGAGACTTTTTAATGTGGAATTGTGAGCAGTACTAATTTGACTCATGGAATGTCGTTTCTGGTTAAATAGTTTCAATTTTGCATCAAATTGTTGGACAGAAGTCAATCCCAAAAATATGTCATCTGTCATAATAATTAGCGTTAAAATATAATATTTATATAATGAAATCTGATTCCTAACATGATAATGGAACTTTATAATAATTGGGTCGTTTGAGAATACCAAAAGTACTCTTCTTACCAGGTGAACCAATGGCCAAGAAGAGAGTCTCCTCCCTTCCATCCAGTCCTGTGAAGGGTATTCCAAATTAAGCAGATGTCCAAGAGAAACTGAGAATACTTGAGGCGGAAAGGGAGGCAAAACAGAAGTTGCAAGAACAAGAAATGCTTGAAAGGGGCAAACGATGTTCATTCAATAGATAAGCTCACATCATAAACAAGTTGCATAATGTCGAATAGTAGTTAGACAGGTGGAAGAAGACCAGACATAACATTGAATTGTAAGTCATTGTAGTTACAAAAAGCGTCAACAAAACCAAGATGAGTTAGATGTTTGAATCTCATTAAAAGACTGGACTCGAATTTCACCGTCCAATTTAGTAAAGAAATAAGAGTTATTCCGAATTTGAGCATAGAAGCAGTGGAGCCTAATTTAATCCTGAGCTTTTTTAAAGAAAGAAGGACAGAGAGAGAGAACGATCTTAATTGGTAAATTAGACAAGATATCGAAATAATGTAAGTTAGGTATTGATAATCTAATATCTCAGATCGATAGGAATGTAAGAGTTATGCAGAAAAAGTATAGAACTGAAAAAAAGTGTTTTGCACTCAGAAAGCCCTTTTATAATATTAATGATATTAAAAATTATTCTCACTTCTTATTATTTTGATATTTTTAACTATTCCATATTAATAACAAATAGCTCTTGTTTTGTAAAATATGAGATCATTAAATTGTACTTATAATTTATTAATTTTATCCATATTCATTATGATATCTATAATTTATAGAATATATAGTTATGTAATCATCTAAATGTTATTTATTTAATCATTTGATAATACTAGTTATATTATAAAATAATTAGAAGAAATGATAAAATTATTTCATAAAGAATTCACTTAAATATTGAGATATCTAAGAATGATTAATCAAGCTAAACATTGCTGATATAGATAAGAGTAAAACAAAGATTTTATGATAACACAAAGTAGGGCATTATGTTTTATATTGGATCATAAGTCAAAAATACAAATTATTGGCTTATTAAAACATTAGAATAGCTGATCTGAATCTTTGAAAAGAGAATTAATTAATGTAAATTTCTAGATCCTTATTTTTACTTTTATGTAGTAGATATAATTAAATTATACAGTTTATATTTATTATTGTTCTCGTTGTTTAGTAGGATAGGAATTTATTTTGGTTTAGGATTGATATTGAATAATCAATCTTGGGTAAATAATAATATGCTGTTGATTTGGCGATTAGATTAGAGTTTGAAGATATTTATATTGAGTAAGGGAGAGAATGTAGAGAATTGTATTTACTTATCAAAGGCAAGGGATGCATTTTGAAGAAAGTTCAAAGAGATATTTTAGAAGCTTAAAATCATGGACAAGTTAATTACACAGTTGATTACTAGATTTCCCAATGAAGGTAGTGAATATGCCTGTAGCTAGCACTCCTATATTTGAATATCATCCTTTCATGAATATATATATATAAAATTTATTAATTCGATGGAATAGTATTTGACATTCTGGATAGGTTATGTGATCATTTATCAGAATCATTTAGATTTGAATTCTAACTGAAGTTGACGACTACTGTGGATATTTTCAGAAATGAAACGTTTAATAATGAGTAGAGAACCAAAGTCTTACGTTTAATATGAAAATTTAAAATGAATAATTTTTTATTTTTAATGGCATATCAGCTTGATTTGTCCCAATCAAAATTTATTGTAGATGACACTCCTCAATTGAAGAGGGAACCTCCAGCGATATTCGCTAAGAAGGAGTCAACAGATTACTTTGATGTAAATTCTACGATTTGTGAATGCAATGAGGAAATAGAACCTTATGCGTTTTAATTGAGATTCAAAGTTGAATTGAAGCAGGATCCAATTGTATAGACACAAGAAGAGAAGGAACTTTGTAATATGGGTTCGAGCTTCGGAGTCAATGATGGTGATAAAAACAATAATTTCGATAATCCTATTGATCACGTCAATCAAAATACTCAAGGTCCTAAAGACAATAATCAAATTCTTGGAGAAAGTAAATAAAGTTTTAATCATATTCAAAAACGGAATGTGCTTGTATAAACTAACAAATTAATGCTCAAAAACCAACAATAGTTATTTAAATATAACTAAAAATACGTCAATCATGCAGTTTATTAAGAAACTCTACTCAGTTTGAAGTAGAAATAAAGTCTGCAAAAATTCGTAAGTAAAAAGAATAACAAAAATCGATTATTGAATTTACTCATACCATTGATTTTATTTATAATACTAATTATGTGTTTATGATTAATATATAATTAGATCAGAATCTTAATACTCTGTCTTGGACATACAACATTTCGTATCTGGTGTTGTAATCCATGTCACCTGAAGGTTTGCATGCCAAATCCCAATAAGAAGTATTAAACACCTATTGATTATCGATTGATTGATACTTAGCAAGGATCTCCCAATAAGAAAGTATTCCAAATTAAAATGTAAGCAAACAAAACCCAGCCACTTCTGTACATAAGATTCATGGCCATCACATGCATCTTATAAGTATAACTGTGATCCTCTTCCATTCCGATGCTATCTCCTGCTTATCTTAACACCAATGTCTTGAACAGCCCTCTTTCATAATTGTGATTCAATATCTTACTATCTACCAATTCCATGATAATATCCTGTCTAGTAAGTTGCTAACAATTTTGGATCATATCTATTGATGTACTAATAGTAAGCATGCTTTGAACATGTCTTATAAAATCTCTTCTCCATTTTTATTAATATATATGAAATCCCCCCTTTCAATAATTATTTATGTACTCAACACAATAGATGTCTAAATTTCCCAGTACCTACTCTAATCATTACAATGCCAGTACAAGACGATATGTCTCCAGTGCCAAGACTTCCCCAATGACTGGACCTCTCCAAAAATTAATTGAAACCGACAATGACACTTATTCAAAGAGAGACAAGAATCCACAAGTACTTATATCTTTGAATTCTTTAGCATCTTCTCTAGGAAATGCTCAACACCAATAACACAAACAAAATCTAGAAATTGATATCTTCAATTAGCCAACATGATTTCAACATAGATAATCTGTCCCAACAAGAACTACTTAACCTAATCCTGAAAGTATATCAACTCAATCTCTATGATGAAATCAATTTCATTAACCTCCTTTATGAAGCATATACAGATAAACAACACAAAGATGTTCTGAAATATCTAATATTGCACTGCCACGAATAACTTATTGGGAAATCAGGAAATGCAACAAGACTCTTAGAGATATTCTAAGAGATGCTATCCTTAAATCCCGATTTTACTTCATTTTAATTGGAGTACCAATTAGATTCAATTCCAGTTTCATTCAATCGTATTCAATTACGTTGTATGCTCCTCCTTAATCAATATGATGTCTTGCGTTCTTTAAAAGGAGCGGTAGTCTTATTCGAGCAATTGGAAGGCTTTATATTCCAATAATTTAAGTCAAATGCCATACCAACTCAAAATGATATCAGTACACTTGTCATCGCATATATATTATTGAGTGAACAATTAGAGTTGTCCTCTCGCCTTGGTATGAGTAAACAAGCATTAGAGATTATGGGAAAACAATCCGATTCATCAATTACTGATCTCAAAAGAAAATTTATATATAATGCATCAAAATTGTCCTAAAAATACCTAGGCCAAATGATTTTTGATTAGATCAATGGATTACATAGAAAGATGAGTCCTGATCTGAATCGATCCTAATCAGTTTCTTAGGATACAGTTCTGCATTAGTTTCTTATAGATTCTCTTGATATGCTCTACCTCAAAAATTATAAGGACATGTTTGATATTGATCGTGTAAGTACTAATCTAATATCTTCCCCCTACATTTTTACACTGATGGAAAAGTAAGACAGTATTTAGTTATAATTTTAGAATCTTACCAGAGAGCAAGAAGAAAGATAAAGGGTTATCAATACTAAGTGACGATTAAATGAGACCAAGTTCAGGCAAACAGTTTTAAATTAAGCAAATTAAAAATGATCTTAATAGTCCTAATCAAACCAGATTCAAATAATAAAATTTCAATGTACTTTCCAATAACAATTCCTAAACCCAAATACCTGCAAGCTCAGCCAGTAAACCTACTACTAATAGGCCTCCTTTGAATCAATAATTATCGTCTGGATCATTGCATTCGTCTGGTAAGGTTAATCAATTTGATTCCCAAGAGTTTGAGATCATCTAAAACAAATTAGTAGTACAATAAAGAGAATTGGATGAATTAAAATAATTATACACTAAATCATCAGCCAGTAAAAAGTAGGAGCCTGAAAATAATCAATTAGCTGAACAATTAAAGAAAAAAATAGATTTATTAGAGAATAATCTATTTTAAATCAAAAATGAAAATACAACCAATAAAAAAGAAAAAGAATAAAAACAAACTGAAGTCATTGAATTAAAGACTTAGTTACAAGATTTGATTACTAAACAAACCTAATTAGAGAAACTATTACAATCGTAATCTCAACAATAATAAATGATTATATATCAATAAAACCTATTGTAGTAATAGGCTGCTTAAACAACACAGACCTTAATTCAATAATAATCTAAGTCCACCATTTAAACACCCACTATGAATATTCAAATACCACCAAAGGAGAATTAAAAAGATTAACGAATCCTTAATCAAACACCTGATGACGATTTCATTTAGATGGATGAGACGACACCCTACATATATAAGTAGAATCAAAGTTACATCATACAATTACTTGAGTTACTGGATGTAAATGTGACCTTTTCTAAAATGTATACTAAGTATTAATCAACATCTCAAGATGAAAACAATCAATGGAATAGCGAAATTTAGAATGTTGCCAATTATAGAGTCGAAGCCTCTGTAATTGAAACCAAAGATGAAGGTAAATCTATTCTACTTCGAGCATTCGACGATAAGAATGCTATGATGTGTTAAGAATACATAAATTTGGAACTCCTGAAAGGCTTAATTACATATGTAGATTTCTAAGAAATGCTACCAACCAATCAACCTAGTGTTAACACTACTCATCAATTCTTTAAATTCTTGGTGCTACCATATACAGCTGTTGTTCCAGATGAAATAACACAAGAGATGAAATTACAATTCTGGCCAAAACCATATGGATTGTTAAATGGATTGACATTGAGAGTAGATTTCATGGACAGAAATTGTCTGATTTACATACATCACATTGAAACTGATTAATTCAGAATTTCAATTTGTGATCCTAATAGTAAGGATACCTTGAGATTAGACTTAGAAATGGATTATTCAACCATAGATGCTTTCTTTAAAGATGCAAAATCTATCAAAGATCAATATGCATTCTTTAGTAAGACTACTATGTTAAAAATGACTGAAAAGACTCCTAAATTTGGGGATGATGATGTAGCTGAAGCATTGCAGGAGAGACATTTTGATAAAAGCAAAATTAAATAATTGTAGCAATCATTATCACTAAATCAAACATATATGACTGAGAACATGAATTTCAAGAGTCCTTTTGAATTTCTTAAGTATTTAAAGGCCATAGTTACGTTTTTTGAGTAATTCCTGAAATAATTAGGGATTTCATTTTCTAATTCTTTATTTGGATAGAAATATTTCAGATGTAAAAGTTGGAATACTGGAACCAAAAATCAACTCTAAATCGTAGTGGATAATTAAGATCAATAGGTTGTTTAAGTGAGTCTATAAAATTGTTTTGAGACATTTGGACCAAATAAAACTAAAATAAGAGCACAAGGGTAAACTACTCTCCCATATTCATCAATACAAAGAGAATTCTCAGTTAAGTATGACAAATTAGCAGCAGAAGAGAAGACAGCCATATTTTAACAACTCTTATATTCATTCAATCTCAATGTTTTTGAGAAAGTCTGTGAACAAAGTCCAGAACAATTTGATAAAAACCCCATCATTCAAAATTCATATGATTGCGGTTCTTATAAAAGGTATTCATATATCTAAACTAATTAGAATGATATTGTATGATAATTCCAAAATATCTGTGGTTACTATTTAAGTGATAGGAGCTAATAGAAGGATGTGCGGAGTTAAGTTCTCAGTTTTCAATGTGGAGACATCCCAAGAAATAGGTGTTTATCTGCCAACATCATAAGGGGAATGGGACTTGAGATCCTTGGATAAATAAAAGATTAAATCATCTGTAGAGAATGTCCCATTTGCAGAGTTTTTCCTTACCCAAATTCTCAAATGTCCAATTACAACTTAAGTAACACTTCTTATAATACTAGATTTTGTTTAAGAAAATATTGAAGGCTGATAGTAAAGGTAATCAGATTAATAGTAGTGAGATCAACAATCGAAAAGCCTTCATAGAGAGAGTGGATAATCTAATTACATGGTAAGAAGTATTGGCTGTTGCTTAAAACTGATTTTGTTACAATACTTCTGAGTTATTATATATAATTGTATTTTTGATAGAAATTTATGAGATAATAAATTAACCAAATCTTGAAATACAGTTTATTATATTCTTTCAATAAGATAATTTATTAATTTTATCTTTCCATTAAAGTAGAATGATAGATGAAATTTGGTGCAGCATATCTTTCATCGTTTCAATGTAATTGTATTTTGATGATAGTTGATAAGATCAAATGAATAATAATATTAAATGCTTAACAAGAATTAGATAATACAAATAAATGTGAATATTTAATTAATATACAAATCTGAATGCTATTTATTTTATTGGTTGGACTAAGTTGTATAGTAGCAAGAGATGCTGATTTGATCGAAACGGAGATAGCTTAATTAGAGCATTTAATTTAACTGCAGACTGAGAAATTGCATTACTTAAAGGAATTAAGGGAGATTTCAATAAACAATTAACAAAATATTCCTGTATTAATGATTAATATTGGAGTAGTAAATCGATTAACAAGTACTCTAAGAAGTTGTATAAAAGAAGCCTTACAAGACTTAGAGTAACGATAAACAGAATTTAAATAAGGAGAGATCATTCACAAATAGAATGCTTAAGAAATATTAATTTAATATTACAAATTCCATTTTGGACGCATCCTTGATTCAAACGTAATGGCATATCTATATTTATAGTTTCTAATACAAATCTACAACAACTGACAATTCCTTCACCCAAATGCTGTATGTTGTTACAAACACAAAGGAAATTGAGATTTATGATCTATCCAATTCAATGATTGTCAATGCCTAATTGGGTATTATATACTACCATATTAGATTTCTAACCTCAATACGTGTCGATTAGTAATCGTGCAGATGATCCTATTTTGGCGTTGGCAAGTAATCATTGAGCATATACATTTTTAGATAAAGATGGCTAATTCGCCTTGTATAAAATCGAGAATTCCAGAATGGCTATAGAATCACAGGATTCCTAAAAACCCAAAACTAAATTAGTTATTTAATTGAATAAGGAATTTGAAATGAATATTGAGAACTAACAAATCACATCCATGATATACGCTATGGTTAAAGGCACAAAATACATTCTATTTGGTTCTAGCAGTGGAAGTGTTTAGTATTGAAATGATATTATATTAGTGCTTACACTCGTAATGGTACATTAGTAGGAGAGAGGAATTTCAATAGTCCCATCATACAAGTGATCAAATCATATCCGAACATGTTATATTTAACATCTACTGGATTTGGATACATCAATCCTGTCAACTTGGAGATAGTGCAACCAATTTGCGACAATGTACATATAGATATTATAATGAAAGTTGCCGTTTTAAATTGTTCATTTGACACTGGATATTCAATAAACCAATATTGTTTATGCTCTATCTGATTTAGGTGAGGTATATGTGTTTGAAATCAAACAAAACGAGTAATGCAAAATGAAGTTGAAATTAGTGAACAATCAATAATCTTAGGTGATATTGAACAATGCCAAATTATATAGTTTAAGACACTATCTTATAGTTTATGATTAGGACACAAGAGAATCATTGTTATATAATACCACTGATGTGTTGACAGAAGTGGATTATGACTAGCCTTTTAATCTTGAACTCTTCAAATAGATCAAAGGTCAATAAGTTGTATTACAATCTATCAAAGGAAATGGTGCATCTCATTATTTGTTGACCAGGGAAGTATAGGATGATCATGAATTGATCAGTTATTATGAGATAACTATGCCTTAGAAGAAGGATACAGACATCTTCTCCAATTTCAGATTCCCCATCATCATCATTGCAATTGTTATTGTGCTCTTGTATCAATTCTGGTTCAAAGGCAAGAAGAAGGATAAGAAAGACAAGGGATCCAAGAAGAAAATAAGAGGTGAAGACGAGGAGATTGAACAAATCCTTAATTAGGCTAAGAAACCTTTGACTGGTCCTGCTGGAGGGGCTTCCGCAATTAATAATAGATCTCCAACCAGATCAGAAGTGCAGAATGGATAGAAACAAGTCAGATTCGATGAAAATCTGAAGAGAGCTGACAAATTCAAGGAACAACTTGAAAATTTAGATTAAAAAACCAAATTACTTAATGAGAGAGTGGGAGTCACAAATAATATTGAGGCCTAGAGACAAAGTAATTATTTCTATTATAGTTAGAGTTGGCATAACAAGCATTACTGTAGAAAAATAAATATGTATGATAAATCATAAAAATAAGATCAATCATTCTTACTGTTTCTCAACAGGTATTATTGTATTGTATAATGTATCATAATATTACTGAAGTTGTTTCATGAATCCTGTGTTCGGTTAAGCTATTGGTCTTTTAGTTTTTACTAATTCCAAAGCATCATTAACAGTCATTTTGTGATTCTTGATTAAGTAGGCAATAATGAACGTAGTTGATCTCGATTTTCCAGCAAAACTGAATATTTATCAGAAATACCAATGAACAAGGATGTTTTATTGAGTGTTTACAGCATTTTCAATAAATGCATTAGACTCATCAAATTTTGATTTTATGTCCTGATCTACGCTATCGTTGATGTTGATGATCAGAGATGCGAAATCTTTAGAAAATGGCGCCTATGGCATCTCACAAGCAGACAGAATAAATTTAATGTTTGCTATGAATATTATCTTGCAGATTTACATTCCAAAAGCTTCTTTTTATTTAATGCACATCCCAAACAGCCCAAGTAGAGATTGGGAATGATCTCAATAGGAATACTATCCTCCTTCAATTGTCTCATTATTAAAAAGATCTTTATCTTGTCCATCAAATTCTAAACTGAAATATTATGAGACATCTCATTTTCTTTTTTCTCTTATGTTTCCTCTGCTTATTACATAATTTATATATATAAATATTAATAATTAATGGAAAACTTGGATCAGTATACAAACGCAGATGATCGCAATCTCCAACTCTCCTAATTAGTTTTGTAATAGAAAAGGGAAAAAATTGTGTTATAGAAGAAGATCCACGCTCTGGAAAAATAAAATAAGTATTTATCCATTTGATTAGAAACTTGTCTCAACAAATGGAATCCTAAAAAAAAGAAAAAAAAGATCAAGAAAGTAAAATTAAGTAACTTCAAGAATACAAAGCTAAACAAGACTCTGTGACTGCCAAATTAAATGGATTAATGTAACTCATCAATTATAATGAAGAAAAAAGTTGCTTCAAAGAGATGATGAGTCCCAACTACATGATCATTCATTAAGTGCTCCTAAAACTGATGCAAAATCTTAAAAACAAGACAATTACGAAAGGAAAAAAAAAGATAAAGAGTAATCTTATCAATAAATTCTCTAGATATCTAGAAGAACAATAAAAATTGGATCTTAATGAACAAATTATTGCTCAATATAAAAAACAATAGCTTAAAGATCATTCAATTTCTAGCAAACTCCCACCAATTGAAGATACAAAGAATAAACCAATTATAGTCTAAGTTCCAAAAAGCTAATTAAAGAAAATTAACCCTTAATATTTAATTGAACAATTGCAGAAGGAATGATATTATACAAATCAATCTATTTTTTGTTAATTGTTTCTATAAAACTAGAACATTTCCTCTTCGATGGGATGCAATTCCTTAGCACATATTACAAACGAATGTAAAGGTGGTCCCATTTCTATATCCAAGAATTCATGTAAAAACCCAGAAACAATCTAAATATTTAACAAAATTTACTTTTTATGTTTCAAACCCTACTCTTGCAACTCCAAAACACTTTGTTTTTTCATCAATTGCATTTAACCCCAATTATTTATCTGATTCTATAATTTATTCTACTGCTATTTGTGTACTCATAAATCTAGGGGCTTCATAAATTTTCTTGCCTCTTGCTAAATTTTCTTCTGAAATTTCCTTCACTTTTATATCCAAAAGGACTAAAGTATGTAAATTATGATCTAAATTAGCCTTGATTTTTGGATAAAAACTGTAGGGTTTCCATTTCTCAGTGAAAAATGGTACAGACACTGTTTCTCCAAATCTATAAACTTATAACCCTGTGCAACCGATAGCATTAATAATGGATGCATTATGGATCACTTCTACTTTGATTCCCAACTTTATTGCTCTTAAGAATAGATCTGTATGTGTAGTGGCACAAAAAGGATCACCTACAACTAAGAACGCATAATTATTTTGAGGATCTTTTGACACATTTTCAAGTATTTAATCTATTCCAGTTTCACAGCACTCTCTATCTGCTTCAATAACTTCTTTTCCATAAAATTCTTATAGTTATAATTTATTAATTCCTAGTATAGATGTGTAACTTTCTAAATAGATCTCCTTGCATGTTTTTACAGCCTAATTAAAATTAATAGTCTACTTCAAATCCTTTAACCGTAATATCTCGATGATCACCAAGTCCTAAACCGATTATAAAAAAAACCATTAATTAATATTTATACAAAAATATTACTATATTTCAATATTATTATTATCTTCTTACATTATTTTGCTAGATTGAAGTTGTTTTCTCAGTTGTGGTTATCGTTTTCTATTTCTTCAAAGAATCCAATTCTGCTTAGGCCATCATGCATTGTTCTTATGCGGTGTGATAATCTTGATTGGCTTTCATGAATTTGTCTTTCCACACATTAGCCTCATTGGAATAATATTTCAATTTTTCAGTTGTTGACTAGAATTCTCTCATTTCAGATTCCAATTCTCTTATCATTTGCTTATATTATCCAATTTCTTATTCTTTATTTCTAATATATAACATAATATAAATACTAGATGAATCTATTCTAATTTTGCATTTCCATGGCTTATTAATTTATAGCTCCTTCTAATTTTAATATTTGTCTTTCCTTATCTGCCAATGCATCTCTTAACTATCTTACCTCATCGCCTCCTTGTAATAATTACTAATATTCTAATTGCAATTTCTGATATCTCTATCTCCACGAATCGATTTCACTCTATTAATTTTGTATTTCTTTTCTTAATCCATCTTCAATATCTTTCATCATCCTAATCTTGGCTTCCAATTCCCTGACTTAAAACTCTTCATTTGAAGTGACCTTTAATTCTTGACCTTGATTTTTATATCGAGCCAATTCAGTTTATAAGTCATAGATCTTAACTTCTAATTCTACACATTTCTTTTTCCAAGGTTCTTCAACATCCTCAACTGAAAGCACTTGCATCTCTCTTTCCACATGATATAATTCGTTAATTTCAGGTTATTAAGGAGGTGGAGTAGCCAATTATTATGGTTGGACTTATTAAGGAGAGCTTTATTAATACTGATATTAGGGGATCTTGTACTCATGTGTATGATGCCTACAATCTTTTCATTCAGTTTACATGTGATGAGTCTATAGTGTCTTAACCTATTGATTCTGAATATACTAATTCTGAAATCCTTATTAAGTGTAAATGGATGGTCCAGAGGGAACCTTAACTGGAGATGAATAAGGTTGGAAAGGAGATCTTTGAATTCCACTTGGTCCCAACATTACGGGTTGCACTTGTTATGGATACATATTTTAATATAAATAAAATAATCCTAGTATTCTTTATGGAATAGTTCATTTATACAACAACTTTCCTTTTTTGATGATCATCCTGTCTTTAGTAGAAAAGCTTCGTTTCTTATCAATTTAGTGTAAAATATCCTGATATTCGGTCTAGATTGTAGTAGGTTCCAACAATTATGCAACATGAGAAGTTGGAAATAGTTTCTGATGTAAAGTTTGTAACAGTTTCTCATTCATTAATACCAATTCTAAGACTTTGAATTTATCCTCTTTTCTAAAAACATTAAAATCCGAAAATTTATTATCAACTTGTGCATTCTAACGACGGCGCATAATATCTTTTCGAACTTACTTCTTTATTTAGTATTCAATACCTCAACACAATCAATAAAAAACTCTTCATACTCACTCCTTGTTGCAAATGCTTTAGTCGACTAACAGATTGCTTAATTCATTTTCTAACGTAATAATTGAATCTACTTGGTCTAGGAGTTTTCAATAAATGAAACATACTAGGCTATTTCATTTATGATTTAATTCTAATCATCGTTGGATACTCTATCAAAAATATCTTATAATTATTTCAGATGTTTTGGCTGTGCTTAGCCTGACATAATTCTTTTTGGCCTAGGCTAAGTGCAAAATAATTATTATTCTTTGATCTATTCTGCTTACTCTGTAACAACACTCGTTGTATGTCTTATAACTTCGTATTTCTTATTCTTTCTCATCAATTATTTTATTTATTCTTCAAGGAACTCATTTTCTTTTTGGACCTCCTGCAATCTAAATTTCAATTCAAAGATATCTTTGTTTTTTACTTCGATCTTAGTATAGAGTTTAACACTCTCTTCTCTGAACCACTCTAATTATTACTCCATATTTTGAATGCGCTTGTTATCTTTGTAATATCTCTCCATCTCCACACTCTTCTCCTTTAAATACTTCAAGTCTTCCTTCACCTATCTCATATAACCATTATATGCTATAACGAATTCAGAAAGAGCCCTCTCCTTCACCATAGTTACTTTGGATTCCAGCATATCTAAATAGTTTTCCACTTGGTTTTTTAAGTCGTTAATCCTTGTGAGTTTGTGAGGGGATGATGCCTAGGATTGTACATCTTCGTAATTCTTTCCTGAAATAAATGATTTATGAGAATTTCTAATAGCAAAACTTTCACTATCGAACATAAATTAATTAATGAATAAATAGATCAGAGACAAAGAAAACAAACCACTTATTGACAATGCCAGATTCAAAAGAATAGGCACTACTGATAGAACTGCATCGCCTATAAATCAAATATTATCTAAAATGAGAAAATAACAATCCCCCCATTTATCTGCCAGAACTCCAAAGGAATGTTAGAGTAGAATATCTAATGATTGTGAACAATAACTGCAATTTGATGCTATTTTAGAGATGGAAGAGAGAAAACGTAAAATTAGAAAATTTAAATAATGCTTAACTGAAAATATTGAAAAATTAAAAGAATTTGATGCTATCACTCAACAACTTCTATGCTTTGAGGATTGCCTGACTTAAATTCTAAAAAATATTAAGCAAATCAAAGTAAGAGATTGATTCTTAATACTAGAGTGAAATTTCAGAATAGATTAAGTAGCAACAAATCAATTAAAAAATCAACATCCATCAAATAAAGGAGTCGATAAAGTAGATGTCTGAAGACATTTCATTGAATGAATTTAATATTATAAAGGAAATGCAAATGAAACCCTTTAATAACATAATGTCTCATTACATGAATAAATGTGAAGGGCATTTGGATAAAATTGAGAATATGATCAGCACAGCTAAATCCTAACTAGAATTCAAGGAAATGTGTAGATAAATTGAATAGAAACTATTGACTTTAAGAAATTAATCTCCGCATTTTAAGGAGGTATGAATATTGATTGTAATCATTCTTATTGTTCTTTGTTAATTTAAAACAGAAATTTTTCAGGAATTATCCATCCTGTTACTAGAGGTAGACCTTACTATTAATAAATTATAAAACACTTACTTTCATCTATTCACAAATCAATTTAAAATGTGCCAAAGCTATTTAAACTTCATATTTCTAATCTTATTATTATTACTGTGATTGTTATTATTACTACTGTTAGGCAATTGCTTATAAAGATATACGTGCTGATTTATTTGGATAGTCAATTAAAACAGTGAATGTCAGATTGCCCTTAATGGTCTACTCCTCTAATTTAATTTCTGGACTGGTTGACAATTGATCACATAAATCTAAGATATAGCCACAGTTTTCATAGCTAATTGGGAAATTCAAAGATTCCTTATTATTAACCTAAATTTGATGAATTTCTTCATTACTTCTCTTCCTATATCTGCAACAGGTTAGAATCTCCACAAATAAATATAATTTCTTGTATATTTCATCTTGACAACGACTGAACCTTGTTTAGTGACTTGATATTGAGGCTAAATTATATTTTAGTTTACATAACAAGGCATGAGTGATACAATAGCTCCTTTCCCTTTAATTTTGCTTATTTAATCATAGTGATTAATGACATCGAAAGTGTAGGAATAATTGGTTGATGGTGATTTCATACCAGGTTTGCCTTGATTTGGTCTATTCAAACTACAGAAGCTGAATCTGAGATTACTCATTCTTCGTAAGACATATCCAAACATTAAATAAATTATATCACTATTAAAATTTATGATCCAATAGTTTATTCATTTTATCAATTCCTTCCCAAATGCCTTCTCCTGTCTTTGCACTGCATCTTTGCATTACTATATCTGATTCCTGCTGTTGAATGTCTTTACACAATTCTACAGGGGATGATCTTGGCAAATCTATTTTATTCAAGTATATCAGCATCACTATCTATTTTAGATGACTAAATACTTTATATTTAATTTCGCTTCCCAATTTCTTAAATTCATTTTTTACAATTTCAATTCTCTCTTAATCTGTTGTATCTACAACAAATACTAATCCATCCAAATTTTCATAATAATGAGACCACAATGTTCGCACCTTTCCCCCAACATCAAAAATTAAATAATGCCTTGCTTTAAATTGAATTGATTCCACATTCAAACCTAATTTTAATTGGCAGTACCTATTGTAGGTTATGTTTCTGTAAATTTCCCATTCTTCAAATATTGAAGTATCGATGTTTTTCCACTCCCTTCTAATCCTACTATTACAATTTTAAGCTTCTTAGAACTTTGTAACGCTATGCTCATATCTTCTTCTTTCGAAGAGGAAGTAAGACAACCCATATATATATTAAATAAATATTTATAAAATTAGAATATACTTATATCCTATTAACGATTTTAGAATAATAATAACTCAAATGCATTCAATTTATATATTTGCCCTTTAATTATATTATATATTATGACATCATCTGTCGATCAATTTTATTTATTAATGTTGGAGAGAGTTTAGCTGTTTAGGAATATAAATTATTCTTAATTGTTTTATCTTAACTAAAAAATATCGAAAGGAAAATGTTTAGAAGATTCTTTTATTGGTTACTGATTTTCGAAATATTTATCAATTAAAGTAATAATATATGTTAATAATTAGCTTCGTGCTGTGTTAGTTAGTGTACAAGTTGCATAGGAGTTTGTTTTGCATGCACTGGAGGCTATTATGTAAAGAACTTCAGTTGTTCTGCTTGCCAGAAGCCTTGCCAAAATTGTAATAACTCAGCCACTTCTTGTACAAGTTGTGTAGATGCATCTCATTAATCAACTCCTTCATGTAATTGTCAATCTGGTATGGGTATGGATACTACCACATATATGTGTTTTAATTGTTCAAGCAATTGTGATACATGTACATCAGGAACTGTTTGCACTTTATGCTATGATGGGTACTATTTGAATGCTAATGCTTGTTCACCTTGTACCAAGCCTTGTTAAAGTTGTTCATCAAGTAGTACTAATTGCTCCACTTGTGTTGATACTACTAATCAAGTCACTCCCACATGTGCATGTAAAGAAGCTTAAATATTGAATACTTCAAGTTACCTATGTGACAGTTGTCCTAGTAATTGCAAAGTTTGTAGTTCAACATCAGTATGCACACAATGTTATGATGGGTATTTACTAAGTGCAACAGTTTGTATACCTTGTACAAAACCTTGTGCAAAATGCTCATCAAGTGTCACAACATGTGATACTTGCGTTGATACTTCTAAACAATCACCTCCATTATGTAATTGTACATCTGGATATGTAATTAATACAACTAGTTATTTATGCGATTAATGCACTTTCCCTTGTGCTACATGTTAAACTTCAGTAACTTATTGCTTAACTTGTGCAGCTACTTACACCAAAAATACTAGTACATGTTCATGTTAAAATAATTAATTTGAATTAAGTGGTACTCCGAAAACATGTTAATTATGCACAAGTCCATGTTAGACCTGTTCCACATCGGCTACTAATTGCAATTCTTGTGTAGCAGGGTTAAACAGACATTTGGTTGGCAATTAATGTAATTGTGATGATGGTTATTATGAGAATGTTGTCTGTCAACCTTGTGTAAAACCATGCATTAATTGTACTTCAGCTTCAAATTGTACATCATGCAATGATCCAACCCATCAATCTGGATCCTCGTGTTCCTGCTAATAAACATTTTATATGGATTCCTCATTTGTGTGTCGAAGTTGCGTTAGTCCTTGTTTAAATTGCAATTCACCTACTGTTTGTACATCTTGTGTAGACAATTACTACCTATCAGGAAATACTTGCATTCAATGTACTTTACCTTGTTACAACTGTGTTGATTTGGCTTCTAAATGCACAACATGTGCTTACCAGAATTAATCAGTATCTAATAATGCATGTGTATGTGACAATGGCTATTATATGGATGGTTCCTTATAATGCTAACCCTGCATCCATCCATGCATTAAATGCTAAACAAATGGGAATCATTGTACAGAATGTGCATCAACATATATAATGAGCACTGTTATTACAAATACTTGTAAATGTCCTACCCAAACTTATGAAGTAGTAGCTCATAACCCTACTGATTGCCAAGCATGTACATAACCATGTGATACATGTACTGGGTCAGCAGATTATTGCTTAACATGCATTGATATTCATTAAACTGTGAATGCATCTCATCAATGTGTATGCAATAGTGGGTATCTAATGAGTGGAGTTAATTGTGTAACTTGTGCAAATCCTTGTTTGCAATGTTCTGGAAGTACAACTTATTGTACTCAATGTAAAGATGCATAACATTAAGTAACTACTGGAGCATGTATTTGCAATCCTGGTTGGGTTAATGATAATAATTATGATTGTATTACTTGTTAACTTCCTTGTGTTACATGTTCAATTAATGATACTCATTGTGAAAGCTGTAAGGATCCAAATCATGAGATAAATGCATCTTATTAATGCATTTGTAAAGATACATATTACTCAGATACTATTGATTCATGTGCAAGTTGTACATAACCGTGTGATAATTGTGATATTAATGGATGTTTAACATGTATTGATAGTAATTAAATTATTGATTCCTCTTAAAATTGTATATGTAAACCAGGCTATTATGCAGTTAGCGTTAATTGTTCTTAATGCTCATTGCCATGTTAAACTTGTGATATCAATTAGGACCATTGTTTAACTTGTGTTGATGTAAACCAAACTTTAATCAGTCATTAATGTATCTGCAATGATGGATATTTTGAAGTTTCAAATTATTGCTAATAATGTTAACTTCCATGCACTAAATGTGAAATTTCAAATGATCGTTGTCTAGAATGTCTAGACCCTAATCATGACTTGATAGACCACAAATGTGTATGCAAATTTGGATATGGGTCATCTGGAAATGGAGGAATAAATTGCTCATTTTGCTAATATCCATGTCTTGATTGTTCAACTAGTGTAAATACTTGTCTTTCTTGTTTGGATAGCAGTTTATTTCATCTCTAAGATAATAAATGTTTATGTTAAGAAGGTTATTTTTCAATGGAAACCCAATGTAAGAGATGTTCACCTTAATGTCTCACCTGCACTGATGAATCGGAAATATGCCTAAAATGTTCAGATCTTAATCATGATTTTATGTAAAACAGTTGTATTTGCAAATTCGGCTATTATACAGACACATAGATGAAATGTTCAAAATGTTAACCACCTTGTGTAACATGTGATATAAACTATGATTATTGCACTTCTTGCCATGATGATAATTAATCAATTGTTGATGGATAATGCTTATGTGATAATGGATATTATTTATCTAATTTAAAATGTGCGAAATGTAATAAGATATGCACAAAATGTAATTCATACTCTGATTGCACAGAATGTGCTGATAAATATTATTTGAGTGATAGCTCTTGTTTGTAATGCTAAATACCATGTATAACTTGTTTGGATATCAGCACTTGTATTTCATGTGCTGATAATTACTTTATGAATTACTTAGGAGAATGCATATAATGCATTTCTAATTGTAAATAGTGTCTAGATACTACAAGTTGTATCATTTGCTATGATTAATTCTATTATGAAAATTCATTGTGTATTCCTTGTTATGATAATTGTAAATCATGTGAAAACTCTTCTAATTTTTGTACTTCTTGCATTGATATTAATCATTAATTGATAGACAATAAATGTATTTGTAGAGATGGATATTATGAAGAGAATTATGTTTGCAAACCTTGTGATCCTACTTGTAAAACCTGTGTTAGTTTAAACTTTTGTATTGAATGTGGTGCTTGGAATCACATTGTATTATTGAATAATCTATGTGTTTGTGATGATGGTTATTATCAGAGTCATTTTAAATGTGATCAGTGTGATAAAAGTTGTTTAACATGTTCTTAAACCTCAAATTATTGTTTAAGTTGTAATTCTTAGTTAAATAGAATACTATTAAAAAATGCATGTGTTTGTCAGAAGGGCTATTTTGAGAATGAAAAAAATGAGTGTTGGACATGTAATTCAAATGAAGGCAAAATAATTAAAGAATGTTAATATAAGGATTGCTCTGATTATCTTTGGACTTATGGAGAAGATTGTGATGATGGCAACAATATTACTAGAGATGGATGTTCAAATTGCAAAGTAGATACTAATTACTCCTGTATAAATACTTTGCTTGAACCCTCTTTATGCTTTTAGTGCAGTGAAAATTGTATAGAATGCTAATTGAATGAAATCTAAAAGTTATCAGAATGTATTAAATGTAAAGATGGCTTTTTTATATTATAATCAAAATGTGCCAAATGTGCTGATAAATGTTTAACTTGTGATACTAGTGCTTCCAATTGTAAAAGTTGCAGATATTTAAAAAATGATCTTGGAGAGTGTCAATTATGCGAATCAAAAATTGGTTATTATTCTGATTAAATTAATAATCAATGTTATTCCAAATGCGGTGATTCATTTAAGGCTGTCACTGAAGATTGTGATGATGGTAATTTATTAGCAGGTGATGGATGTGATTAGAATTGTAAAAAAGAAAAGAAATTTGTTTGTAAAGATGGTATTTGTATTACTCCTGAATATCCAAAACCACAACTAATCAACACTGGAGATACATCATTATATAATAATTAAAGATCATTTAAATTGGAATACAATCTATTATTAAATATCACTCAAGATAGTGGGGTTGAAAACGAATTTGATTTATATATCAAAAATGAAATTGCCGAAAATCCAATCGATTGCTAATACCAAAAACAATTATTGTTTACCTTGAATAATTAATCCAAAATTGAATTTTCAGTCAGTTTTGATCTCTAATTTAATAGAAGCTCAATAAAAGAACAACTGATTATCAAATATCGCAACATTTCCAAATTTATTTCATATTAAGGCTACTCATAATAAGAACTTTAGGTTGTAGCAGCCATTTCTGATTATATGTTCATAGATTAATCATCTGTTGCTTAAGTCTAAATGGCCACAAATAGTAATTAATACGTCCTATATGTTATGGCTGTCATGGGTGGAGGAGCAATACTATTTGGGGGCATAGACATTTTTTATAATTTGTTGGATACAATTTAAATGTTATCATATTTAAAATATGTGAATACTTAACTGCCTTTTAATTTACAAGAATTTTTTGATTTTTTTGGTTTTGCTTAACTCAATTTTATTTCCAAATATTTGAAACTTTAAGAACTAATTGAACCTTTTATCAATTATTAAAATCTAACACCCATTCCTCAAAAAATTGGAGATGATGATTTAAATTCTTTATTTATTATTAATGGAGCATCCATCTTAGCAGTCTGGCTATCACTTCTAGGAATTTATGTCGTGTCTACATTTGTACCATAAATATTATAAAAATTTAAATTTAAATATTACACCGAAATTCCTGGTGGAGAAGACTTTACTATTAAACTTAAGTTGATGTTTTTAGCTGCAAAAATATTCATCACATAATTATGTTACATCATAGTTTCAGAATTCTTTTATAGCGGAATATTTAGAACACTATTTGCTACAGCATATGATTATTCTTTCTCTATGACTCTTTAGTTATACGCATTAGAATTATACTCACCAGACTTTCTGGTCAGATTAAGTTCATATTTTGCTTTAGGAGCCTTAGGAATCTATTTATTAGCTATTTACATTGTAACTTAAATTAATGGGAGCGCTTCAATATCTTAAGAATAATTTTCAAATAAATAGAAGTATGGATCATTAAGTGAAGGAATAAAAAAAGATAAATACAGCAAATACTTTAATGCGATAGTTCTTGCCAAAAAACTATTATTTATGCTTATTCTAATTTTTTGTTATCCCTCTCCATTTTTTCAGGCCATTAATTTAACTCTGTTGTCAAGTTTATAAACAATATTTTTGATTTTCTTTAAACCACTCGAAGATGATAAGGAATATAAAAAATAATTATCCTGTGAAATTAACACTGCAAGCTCTTTATTATTGATTTCAAGTTTAGTCTTAGATTAGGAATTAAAAATATTTAGCGATGATTTGAGGACAAAAATAGGTTGGTTTTGCATTGCAAATATCAGTTTAATTTTTGTAATTCAATTAATAATAGATGCTATTTAATAATGGATTATTTTGATAAAAAAATACAGATAGCTCAAAAGACTTGTTGAAAAAATAAATCAATTATTTTACTCTCGCATTCCTTAACAAACTAGCCATGATATATTTATTCGAACAGATATTCAGAATAACTGATATAAATTTGTGAATAAGATTTATTTCTATTTTAATTTGTATTTATAAATATTCTTTTTCATCTCATAAATTAAGTATAAATGAAAAAACAAATTTTTAATTCAAATATTAATGAAAGTAAGATTTTTAATAATCTAAGTTTAATCTAGATCTATCTTGAAAATGAAGTATATAATTTATATTAATAGATACATCTATTATTAATAAAATGTAGGATAATTTAACAAAGAAGAAATTTAGTACAAAGGTCAATATCCATGGTTGAAATTCAAGAACATATGATATCTTAATGATATCAAATATTACTGAATTACAAAATATGGAATGTCATTAGAACATATTATTAAATACTGCAAGACAAAATTGAAAAATTAAATCGTCCAAACCGATAAATCTATTTAAATGTGTGATATTTTTATAAACTGTAAAATGCAATATATTTAAAAAGTTCATTGAAACAATCGAATGAAGAATGAATTTTTATTTGATAATGCCTATGATTAAATTCTAAAATTGCTTCAATTCTAAAGACTCACTTCATTGTAATGAATATTAAATATGTAATAATTATTTATTTTTAAATTGCTGAATTTTGATTTAACAATTTTATTAGATAATTTTAATATTAATTCCTCAACTTTTTCCATCTTGTTTAATTTTTCGTCCATTTTTATATTAATTTATGATTGTATCAAATTAAAAGCTTGAAAATATTGATTATAATTTATATTATTTTACAAACAAAAGGTATCGGATAACTCTATCCATTATCCATCTTTTAATCCATTTTCATCAATTATACCTCCACCTCTATCATAGATTTATTAAGTACATTTTTTTCTATTCATTTTCATATTATTTCTTAAATTCAATTTCAACTTTTCCAACTTTAATTCCGTTTTTGTATTATCCACTAATAATTATGTATTAGGTACTAAAAATATTAAATTTGAATATACTCGCAAAAGTATTCATGCAAATCCATCCAAAATCCAACTTTGGTTTCATTTTCATCATAAATACCACCACCACTTTTAATTTACATTTAAAATTACATCTTTCTAACATCTTTGAGATTTTATTCCATATACATGGCATCCCATTAACCGACTTTTTTATTATTTTAATATTCTCCAACTAAAGTAACTTAGCACCCACTTATAAATATTAATTATTCTCTATTACTTATGAAAATTATCATGTAAATCAACCCATCTTCCTTATTTTTGACCAAATTCATCATAAATTCCACCTCCACTTAAAATCTTTTATAATTATTACACGTTGCTTTAATAATAGTTGGATTTCCATTATTTTTATTTGATTCCATTAGAATACTCTCCTAAATAAGTAACTTAGCAAAATCTAAAATTTTATAAAACTAATACTGCCAATAATCATCATGTAAATCAATCCAATTACCATCCTTCAACCCATCCTGGTTATAAAGACCGCCCCCACTAATATTAATATCTTCAATAATACATTAATTTCTTTTTGTCATACGAATCCCATCTTCCATTCTTCTTACCTTTGATATATTCTCCTTTGTATGACACTTAACCATACCTAGAGGAAACAAAATATAATACTCAATAAAATTGTCACTTAGTTCTATCCAGTTTCCAAATTTCAAACCATCATTATCATATTATCCTCCTCCTCTACTTTATGAAATAAAATCTACATAATTTTATTCTTAAAAAATGTATCCCATTTTCCAAATTCTTTTCCATCTTTATACTCTCCTTCATGTTTAACTTCTTATCCACTACAATATATTTTTGTTATACTTATAGAAATTTTGATGCATTTCAATCCATTTTCCTTATTTTTGTCCTAAATCATCAAAAAGCCCTCCACCACTAACTAATCCAAATAGTTTTTACATGATTTTTTCATCTACTTTTGTATTCCATTATCCAACTTTTATTCCATTATTATAAAACCCTTAATGAGTCATTCTACAAAGGCTACGTACAATATCATCTTATATACTCCCAAAAATATTCTGATAATTCTATCCATTTTCCTACTTTTTAATTATTTTCATTAAAGCAACCACCAACTAATAATTAATGTCCTTTCCATTTTGCGAACCACAACTCTTTTTGATCTTTCTTTAATCCGAATTCCCAATCTAAATGTTTTAGATGCTCTAGATTTATAATTTTTTGAGGACTTTAAATTGAATTATTTAGCAATTCCCTAATATACTACTCAGCACACTACCTTAATATTTCTCCATCCTTAATATACGCAATCTTCTGCTCTTTTTCATTATATTAAAGTTAAATTTTGGTTTTTTTTAAAATCAGCTCCTTCCTTTGAATTCCAATTTCTTCCAATCTTTTTTAATCGTTCATTTTATTATTATTATTGAATTAAACTAAAAGTTACAAAATATTTAATTTTCTTTAATCAAAAGAAAATTAAGATTAGAGACTTAATAATTTATAAGTTAAAAATAAATTCTTAATTTATGTTCAAACTCTAATATTGAATTCTAAAAGGAATTTTAAAGGAAAAATGTCTTGCAATGAAATATAAATTTATACTTTTTCCAAAGTTAAAAGAATTTCTATACTCAAAGTTGAATCTATCTCATGAGGGATCATAAATCAAAAGAAAATTTTTGTTTGTATTAGATATCAATGATTTTCCTAAAAGTTAGTAAATAAAGGAATCAGTAAGAGATATAGTTTTCTTTGCATTTGATATAAATTTAAAAAAAATATAACAATATAATAATAACTGATATATTTAGAATTTTAAATATATATTTAATCGTTATTCAACAAAAATGGTATTTAAAAACAGTTTTATATTTAAAACCAGTTTTATTTTGAAGTGTTTTTTTTTTTTGAGTGATTCTAAAATGAAATCCAACTTTTCTACTTTTTTTAAATTTACCTTATGTTAATTTTTATTTTTAGATTAAACAACCAATCCCATATCCATGAAATTATGTTTTTTCGAATTCTCCAATATTATTTTCTGTATTCCAATTTTCCATTATCTTTAAGTTCTTATAATCTTTCTTCATTTGCTTTTTTATTTAGATTCTCAAATATTCCAAAACTATTTAAGAATCCATTTTCCCACTCACCTGAATAATAAAATTATCTATTTTTTCCCTCATTATCATATTCAATCATAATTCCTTTGCCATTTTATTTGTTATTGTAAAATCCACCCCTATAATATCGTTTCATTTTGAAGCCAATAGGATTCACCTGAATAGATAAATAGCAAATCTTAACATTCTTGCCTAATTTATCTCCTTCTTTATCAACTATTATATTTATGTAATGAATTAACTCATTCTTTTCCTTATCAAACTCAATCATTTCTCCTTGAAAATGTTAATTTTAGAAAAGTCCTTTTTTTAAGATGCAAATATCATTATAATCTTGTATTAAAAAGCCATAGAATTCATCTCTCATTAGTCTTTGTTCATTTCGTTCATTCAGTTAAATCAGTTGTTGAATTTTATATTTATTTTGGTTCTTCTATTGTTTTAATCGCTAATATTGAATAAGGGGAGGATATTCTATTTCATCTAGTGTTTTAAACTTTTCCCAATTAAAATCAAGTGGATTTGGTTAATTGTATAATGCTTGATCCACAATAGCATTTGACTTTATATCTTTACAGATATAATCTATTTTGAAGTCATATTCATCACTTTCCTACTATATTTATAGAAGAAATAAAATAATATTATCTTCATTCACGATCATTGTTTGTTCATTTTTAAAAAACAGCATCCCAATTATTAAAAAATATAAAATTTAGATGTTTCGTAATCCATGTTTCTCTTCACTAATTAAGAAATTCTTATCATTCATAAATTAAAAGGAATTATCAGTTTATATGTTACTATAATCATGTTTTTTTATGTAATTATAGTGTTTGAATCTATCTATATTTTTCATATCATAAGTCTTCAAACATTTTAATTATTAGTCCAAAGTTCTATACTCAATTTTAATTTTTTCTTTTGAACCTATTCGTAACGTTAGATAATAAACATTGTTTGGGTCCCAAAGACTATATACTTATATAATTGGGTCGTTTTGCATTTTAATATAACAAAATAAATAATAATATGATCTCAATAGGTGGTAATACCTATCAACTAAATAAAAAGAAACGGATGATAGATATTTATAGATTAAAATAGCAGAATTACAAATAATTGTTCATACAATTTCTTGGCAGTTATATATAACTTTAATTAATATAAATTTTCATTTTCTAATACTTTAATTAGCATTTATACACCTAGGTTGCTTAAAGAAATTATTGTTAATCCTTTATCCATAACGATAATTTAAGTTATTTGATCAGCTTGGACTTTTCATTCGAATTATCGTAGAGCAATTTGTTTAGATTTTAGACTGATTGTGAGAATTTAATTTTTAAAACATATAGATCATTTTTAATTAAAGTAGATGTAAATAAAATTTCAGAAACCATCATATTGTGTTAACAATATCCTATCATTTATTTATTCATTCTATGGAATGGAAGAGATAATGGACACCCAGAATCTCAACCAAATATATTAAGTATATCAAATATAGTTTTTATAGCTTTATTAGTAATTTATTATATTTAATAAGATAATTCAGATTCCATTATTATTTATATTAAATTTGTAAATATCACTCTAATTTTTTAAGTCGTATAGCATCATCAGGTAAATATGTTTAAATTCCTCTTGATAACCAATTGACTTTGGTTAATTCTGGGTTCTTAATTACATCATAATTTAGGATAACGTGAGCCAATATAATTCTTGCTTCGATCATGGCCATATGTTATCCTATGCAATTTCTGCCTCCAGCAGCAAAAGGAATGTTTACGAAACCATTGTCTATTTAGATTGGCTTTGATTGCAACCATCTCTTTGGATTGAATTCTAATGGTTTTTCATAATGATTTGAATTGATATTAGCCAAAAAGCTGCCTAAAAGAATATAGGAGCCTTTTTTGATAAAAAGATCTTTGATTTGAATATCAGATTTAGGTTATCTTACTATAGGATGAACAACAGATGGTTTAAGTCTCATAACTTCTTTTAAGAAGCATTCCAATTAAACTAATTTTTTTAGAGAATCAGCAGTAACTTGTCCGTCAACAAGTGCTGATTTGGCTTCATTTCTCAACTCTTCCAAGTATGATGTATTTTCTGAAAGAAAAAGTAAGGAATTTGACACCAATGCTCCAGTTGTTTCAGTACCAGCTAAGAAAAGTGTAATAAATTAAGAAATAATATCTTCAGTTTCATATTGATAAGATTCTTGCGTATCTTTTGATTTGGATAACTTATTTAAGTAAACATCCAGAAAATCTCCATTTTCCCATTTTCTACCTTCTTTTTCAATTTTGGATTTTCTCTTTGAAATAATTTAGTTTAGATCTTATTTGAATTTAATAACTCGAGTCAAAATCTCTTTTTCTGCTTTTAAACAATAATCCCAAGATTTCATTCCAAGGAGTTTTTATTTAAAATATATAAAGAAATTGCTAAATCTAACAAGAACAAAAGATTTTAAGATTTCGCCTAACTCAATCTAAGCTGGCTTGTCATTTATAAGCCAACCTTCTGCTTCTTGTCCAAAAAAACTTCTAATAACAACTCCACCAGTAATTGAACAAATATACTAGAATACCTAGTCTACAGTTTATTTGTTATTTATTGCATCTCTTGTTACTTAATTCATCATTGGGATTCTTTCCTTGAGTTTTTCAAAGAGAAAATGGTCACCAAGTAGAGATCTTTATTCCTTCCACTTTTCGCCTTCTGCAAACAATAAACCCTTGCTTAAAAGAAAACTAATGTTTAAGATGACAATATACTCCTTGATCCCACTTTAATCATGTTTTACTAATAGATGGTGATCTAAATAGAGTGGTTTGTAATATTCAGGATCAACTATGATGAATACAGGCTTAGTGACAGAATTGGAGACTATCAATTTCACTTCAGGATGCTTAGTGATAATATCAATAACCCATTATTGAGGATTACCTTTCTTCGCTGATGATCTATAGATTTAGATGACACCCAAAATAGGAATGTAATAAAAATAAACTTGCTTACCGAATTACACTTTTAGTTTGATCATGATAAGCAATGGTCTCAGTATTAGATAAGTACCTATTAGAGCAAGGAATAAAAAAAAATAAAGAAACATTAATTTATATATCATAAATCAAATCTGGTTATTGATATATTAATTAAAGATCAACCTAATAGGCGTTATCCCATCAGTACTTAGATTTGTGTAAGCAAAATATCCAATGTATAAACTGTTGGTCAAAACTTAGAGGTAAATTGTTTTATTCAAGTGTCACAGCTTTAAATAAATATTAGTGCTATTTTAGAGTTTAGAAAACTGGTATAAACAAAATATTTATTGACAATCAAATTATTGAGAATAAGCTTATGAAATTTAGTATATGTATTGTATTAAATTTCATTATATTAAAATTTAATTAATGATTATAAAGATTATTCTAATAAAAGTTTATAATTTGGAGAGGTATAATGCATATTGTTTGCATAAGAGTATTCCTTAGAGTAAATAACAAACAATAAATATTTGAAATTTTTGTTGAATTATATAATCTAAGGTAGAGATGTGCTTCTATGTAGTCAAAGACAAGTGGATTCTCAGATAAAAGTACACTCAATACTATGTAATTTTCTCAGAAAGTTTGGAGTCAAATTAATTAAGAAACATACATTTTAATGAAATCTTTTAATTACATATGGAATAAATAAAAAACAAGAGACTCTTAGTGCTCATCTTATTGATTAGTTCTCTCACATTAGGATTAGGAGAACGTAATTGTCATTTTCGATATGATTAGCGACCCAAGTTTGCGATGAAGGCCACTATTTGTCAGGTCAAGTTTGTCAAAGTTGTTCTACATAATGTAAATAATGTAGTAGCGAAACTAGTAATCGTATATTATTAATAAAGTCTGTTCATTGTGCTATGATGGATATATGGTTTACAATAATGCTTGTTAATCTTGTGGGTCTGGGTGTTAAACATGCTAATTATAACAATCTGGTTTAAGAATCCTATCTGTGTCAGGGGAATCTAGAATATTATCAGGAGAGCCTGCCACAGAGTGTACTATGTGTTATGCTGGGTATTATTTGGAAGGGCCTGTTTGCAAATAATGTGAAAAACCATGTTCAAGCTGTGCTACTTATTCAACAACTTGTACAACATGTATTGACATTACCAATTAAAATATACCAACTTGTGAGTGTTAATCGTCTTAATTTATGGACGTATATACCTATATGTGCCTACAATGTCCATAGGCTTGTTTAACATGTACTGCATAAAATACATGTTAAACTTGCATAGAAGGTTATTTTTTGGATAATGAATCATGCCAAAATTGCGAATTACCTTGTAAAACATGTGAATCAACTTCAACTAAATGTTTATCCTGTGCTTTAGAAAATTAAATGGTAGATCCGCAATTCTAATGTGTTTGTGCTAATGAATATACATAAGTAGAAGGGAATTGCGAATAATGTCAAATTCCATGCTTAAATTGCGATCAACGAGTTGATTATTGTATTTCCTGTGCGACTCACTTTGAATTAAAAGAGGGTGGGCAATGTGTTTGTCAATTTGGGTATTTTTTGCATATGGATATTCTTAACAATAAAGAATGCTAATAATGCTCTCCTTCGTGTGAGAGTTGTTAAAATGAGTCTACAGAATGTCTTACTTGTCTATATAGTAACTAATTTGTTGATTCATATCATTAATGTGTTTGCAAAGAAGGATTTTTTTTTAAAGATAATGATAGTTTAGATTGTACCCAATGTGGTGTCGCATGTTAAATTTGTGATAACACAAGTTGTTAGAAATGTATTAATGAGATGATGGAAATTTAAGATTAATTATCTTGTGTCTGTCCAAAAGGATATTAATTTTTTGAAAACAACTGCTTTTAATGTTAATTACCTTGTAGTAAATGCATTGATCAAACTGATATTTGCATTGAATGTTTGTAATCAAATTCATCTTTAAATGAAAATAAATGCATTTGCGATTCTGGATTTGGACTATCATAAACATCATAATAATATTGTTCTCCATGTTAGTTTCCATGTTTGGAATGTTCAAGTGATGTTAATCTATGCACTAGGTGTTCTGAAATTGGACTATTTTACCTAGAGAATTCAAAATGCAGATGTCCTAGTGGATATTTTATGTAAGGTCCCGGTTGCATTAAATGTTCTGATGAATGTTAAGAATGTAATTTTTATCCTGATTATTGTTTAAATTGCAGAGACTTAAATTATGAGTTCAAGAACAATGGATGCTTTTGTCCTTTTGGATATTATGTTGACAATGCTTTGAAATGTTCAAAATGTTAAGAACCATGTCAAACTTGTTAATAAAACTCTGATTTTTGTTTATCCTGTGTAGATCCTCTATATGAATTAATTAACAATTCTTGCTAATGCCCAATAAGTTATTTCTAATTAGTAGAAAACAATAATTTTAATTTATCAGCAGGATGTCATACATGCAACGAAATGTACTTGAATTGCATAGTATGTAATTTATCTTATTGTCAATAATGCTAATAAGGATATCGTTTTAATGAGAATTAGGAATGTTTGAATGCTATTTGCGGAGATTCTATTATTGTTGGCAATGAATAATGTGAGGATGGCAATGATAATGAATTTGATGGTTGTTTTTAATGTCAATGTGAACTAGGATGGATCTAAAATGAATTAGGTTGTTAGACCATTTGTGGAGATCAAGTAATTGTGACTGGAGAATAATGTGATGATGGAAATGAAATTCAATTTGATGGATGTTATTAATGCAAATATGATTGCAATGAATCTTGCATTGAATGCATAGAAGGACGTTGCATCAAATGCAAAGAAGGATTTCAACTTGAGGAAAATGAATGTAGCATTAATTGTGGAGATGGAATTTTAAATGTTTTAACTGAATAATGTGATGATTCTAATAACATTCCTAGAGATGGTTGCAATAATTGTCATTTAGAAGATGGTTTCATATGTTATTGTTAAAACGAATTGCTATTTCAATCTTGTGAAAGATGTTCGGATTATAATTGTTTAAAATGTGCCATCTAAAATTAACAGCAGGTCTGTCAAAATTGTATAGACGGATATTTTGTTGATGCAACTTAAGGTTGTTCACAATGTGATAAAATTTGTCTGAAATGTACAAACTCTCCCAAAAATTGTGAAATTTTTGATTCATCAATTTAATAACTAAAAGATTGTAATCAAAAGCTTGGATTCTACTATGATTATCAACTTAAAGATTGTGTTTCAAAATGTGGAGACGGTATTATTAGTGGATAAGAACAATGTGATGATCTAAATACTAATGATTTTGATGGGTGTAATAATCAATGTCAAATTGAGTCTGGATACTTGTTTAATTTAAATAGTCTATCCTTGATTAATGAACCATTCATATAAGTTTAATCCCAGTCTTCTAGTAATAATCAATATTCTATATATGCTGAGCAATTCTAAGATACTATCAATTGTACTGGTACTACAATGAATATTGAACAATTCAATTAAACAGAATACAATTATACAATTATAGAATAAGGATTAAATTGTGATATTTCGATGCAATACTTTAAAACTGTAGAACCTTCAAATCTCATTCATGTCCTAATCAAATTCAAAAATCACCTCTCCAAAAGAACATTAGATGAATCACCTACTAAAGAAATCGTTATTGTTCCAAAGAGATAGGTATATGCAACTGAAGAGCAAAAGGAGTAAGGAGAGGCTATGGCTAGTACTTCCAAATCTATATCATCATCCATTGTTGTATTTGCCCCATTAGCATTATTAATTGGAGGCTTCAAGTTTATTTGGGCTATTCTAGATATTATGAGTTGGATGAATAACTTTTATTTCTTAAATGTATAATACCCAGAAAATGTAAGACTCATTTTTTAATAAGCTGAATGGAACAACATAATCAATTTTCCAGAATTCGATATCTTCAATAAACCATCTGATGAATATTACTTTCAAGCTTAAATTAAATTCACTGAAAAAGATGTTGACCCATTATTTTTTAACAATGTTTAAATTGTTATTATTTTTGTGTTTCAAGTTCTTATTACTTGGCTGATTTGTTTTATAATAAGAAAAACAATTTAGGCTTATTATAAAAAAAAAATTAGGATCTAAAGTGCAAATCATAAAATATTTTAATTGAAAACTAATTAATAAAATCAATCAATTCTCGAAAATGAAATATTGTAATCCACAATACAGAATTAAATTACCACTTTTGAAATTCCAAATCAACTCAAATCTATTTACTTTTCATGTTTAGATTGTGAAAGATCATTTGTTGCTAATATGTTAAAAACTATATAAATAAGTTATTTAGATATTCTTTTGGCAATAATATTACAGATTACCAATTAATAGACAGCTAACAATTCTATTGTTAAAATCAACGTCATATTAGCGAGTCTATCTATTGGCATTGTAATTTTGTTGATTTATTTATCTTATCAAATTTCGGTTTAACATCATTTGAAATTGGAAAATCAACATTTTAGTAGGAGATTTAACTGCTTCTATGAAGATGTAAAAACTAACTCCAAAATATCTATGAATTACTCTTTTTTGAATATGTTAAGGAAAACTATTTTTATTATAGCAACAGTGATTTTATATGATTTTCCAATATACTAAACAAGTGTTTGTTTTTTATCGTGCTTTTTGAACATTATCTTATTAATGCACTGTAATCCATTCAATAATAGATAGTAATATATTCTGAACTTTATACCTGACTCTTGCATATGTATTATAGTAGGTATAACCATAACTTTTGCCTTTTAAGATCAATTTCGATTACTAGAAGATGATATGATTTATTTTTTAGGATGGATTGTTGGAGCCTGTATTTATTTATCAATATTATTGTAATTACTGTTCCTAATAAAAGAACTTATACAATCAATATGGGAGAAAATTAGAAACCTATTTGTATATTTGAAAAAAAAATTTAATTTATGAATATATTCTGTTTATGAAATAGTAATAATTTACATGTTCATAGATAAACTCATATATGTAGCTGGCTTTTAAGCATCCATCATTTATCTAATAAATGTTATAATTATCTAGTTCATTTCTGTAATTACCTATTTAGTATTTTAATTAATTTTCATTAATCTTTGGGTTTTTCCGTTTTAATTCTCCATTTATATAGCATATATATTACCTTCTTAAAGTCCTTATGTTAGTGAGATTTTGACTCAAAAAGACAATGTAATTTATTATTTTTTAATTTCTCCAACCCCCCAAAACCATTCGAAGTATTAAGTTCTAAATATTTAGGTTAACCAAATCCAATCTTTAAATATATTCATAATAATATTTCAATAAGTTTATCATACAAAGGTTGATTTTATATTATTTTATTTTATTATTACAATGTAAATTATAATGGTGACAAATTCATATTATTTTTACATTATAAAAATAAATGTTGATAAATAAAAATATCCTTTTAATAAATAAAAATTATAAATAATATTTATAAATGAGTAATTGGGCTTGATGATCTTCATGTAGATTCGATTATGAGATTAATTGATTATAATCATTCTTAGAGTATTCTTCTGTAGGATAGAACAATTATAGATAATTTCAGAGTAGATATATTTTTTTAAATTTATAAAAATCATCAAGCATGAAGGGTTTGATTCTCAAATGTATTGATCTGATTAATAATATCGCTAAAATAATAAATATTCAAAATCATTCTAACTAATTCTTATTATATATAATTGTGATTATTATAATATGAAATAATAATTGAAGTGTGAACAATAAATTTTAGCTTGAGAATTATATATTCCTTAAATTATATCAGCCCTTGTAATTTATGTTGTCAATATATGAATCAAGAAGAAATTAGTCAGCAAGAAAAAGGACATCAATTAATATGTTCAGATTGTAATGTAAGATTTTTAAGTTTTTAGGTGAAACATATAGCTTTATTATCAACATCACAACGTTGATATAAATTCTTAATTACAGAACAAGCTGAAAAGGAATACACTTTTGAAAATTTTTAAATATATGACAATCATATAAACCAAAAATCAGCAATTTTATTTGAGATTCAAGAAAGGCTAATATGATTAAATTCTTAAAGGATGGGGTGAGTAAACTTTCATGGAGTTTATCATAAATTTTATTCATGTCTCGATGGATTAGATTTATAAAGTATCAAAAAATTTAGATTATAAATCAGGATGCAACAATTTTGAGAGAAACCCCTACAAAAATACCTAAAATTTAAAAAATAAAAAGTATTTTATATTAAGGTACTTTGTAAAATTTGATTATAATTAATAACTTAATGGAAACATTATAAAGGATATTTAATTAAGCATTGACTGATTGTTAGAAATCTGATATTCATAATAAGATTTATTATGATATAGATGATAATAATAGCAAATGGCCTCATTTCTAGGGGATTAAGCAAGATAGAATGGCAAAAAGAGGAAAGAAAATAGGATTATTAAATGGATTTAAAAAAATTTAAATAATAATTTATTAAAATATTTATGAGACAGCCACAAACAAAGAAATCCTTTAATATTTCTGATTCTTCATACTACATCTCTTTGGCATGCATCATCACTTTTGAAATCTACTCTCTTTATCGATTTTCAGTCATTTGTAAATCAAACAAAATAGAGGGCACTGAAAAAGGTATACAAATACATTGATTGTAGGCTTCTTTGGTATACTGAGAGACCATTCAGATCCGTAATGGGGAGAATTTGCAGGACATTTGACAGAATTGATGGTTTTTCAATTCCTTTTTATATTGGGGTCCTACACTGTCAAATATCATTCTAAATAAGAAAATAGGTAGAGAAACCTATAGTATTATAACATGATCGTTGGATTAAATTATGCATTTTATTTGCATAACATTGGAATGATATTTTAGATGATGATCATCGTTTCTTTTTATCTTTTCCAAAAGGTGAATAAATTTTTTTATAATAGATTTGTTACAAAATGAAATATTTCATCCCCACATTATGGATTTTGGCCATCTTAACATTATGGTCAAATGAGACATATAAAGGATATGAATTCAGTATGATTTCTCCATCTTTGGCTTATTTGGATGGTTTCAGGAGTACAAATCAATTAGTTAGTTGGAATCTTGTTTTTAATATGATTTTACTAAGAATCATCAGTTTCTCTATTGATAAGGTTTGGGCATCTCAAATTCCTCAGCCCTTGAAATAGGGTGAGTGGAGTTAGAGTGAAAAGTCCACTATCATAAAAACATACCGTGATAGAGTGGAAGAGTCCTAACCATTAGAAGAATACAACTTTAGTGGTTATTTAAGTTTTCTTTTTTATGTTCCTCTACTCTTCTCAGGGCCTTCTATGGGTTATAATGCTTTTAACTCTTAATTAAAAACCCCTTAATAAAGTTTTAATAAATCCTAGGTGATAAAATACATTTTGAGAGTGTATTTATTGGACTTGTTAACCTTTGAGGTATTTTTGCATGTGTGTTATCCAAATGCAATCCCAAAATTAGCCTAAAACTTTCATATCCTGGAAAATTTTAGTGCATATGAGTTCCACATAATGTGTGTGATGAACTTAATCTTTTTATGGTACAAATTCCTTACAATATGGAGAATTGCCAGAGGATGGGCCTTATTAGATGGTAACTTAATAAATATATTATTATGGTAGGTATTGAAACGCCCGAGAATATGAATAGATGTCTATATAACAGTTACAATTTTAGTGGATTTTGGAGATCTTGGCATAGAAGTTTCAATTAATGGTTGATCAGATACATTTATGTGCCATTAGGAGGTACAAAATACAAGTCTTTGAACATGTGGGTTGTCTTCTCTTTTGTGGCATTATGGCACGATTTTAAATTGGATCTTTTATTATGGGCTTGGCTAATCTGCTTAGCTTTGATTCCAGAGATCGCCTTACAAAAATACTTTGACAAGGAGTTCTTCTATAAAAAATGGTGGTTTGTTTACTTATGTCAGCTGGGTGGAGGATTCTAAATACAAATGATGTGTTTAGCCAATTTGATAGGATTTGGAAATGGATACGAAGGCATGACAGTTGTTTTCTATAAGTTTATGAGTTTGGAGGGCTTGGCTTGTTTTCTATTCTATTGTATAGTTAGGAATGGGTGGATCACAACTATTCAATTTAGAATAAGAGACGATGAGAATGCTGAATCAAATGACAAGCGATTTTGATATCCAGTTAAGTTTATCGAAAGACTTATAAAACACATTATAAAATATATATGCTAAGGTAGCATTAAAATTAAGGTTATAATTCCATCTCAATTAAATATATTCTTCTCATTTTAAGCTCACTACCTAAAAATTAAAAAGAGTGATGAGGTCTCAATCTCTGTAAGTTAATTTTACTTGCAGAAAGATACTACCTTAAAATAATCTAAAAAAATGTTGTATTATAAGGGTTACCTCTTATTCAAATTCTTATTGTCAATAAAACAAAAAGTGGGATTGCTTTGAATTTATAGCAACTTTTCAACTTCGTTCATAATATTAGAATTAATGTGAATTATGCAAAAAATACTTGATTGCTGACATTACAACAAATTTGATTGTTTTTAAATCAAGCACTTTAAGTCTTATTAATTTATTTAATAATATAATTAAAATTAGTATTTTTACACTAATTTATATAAAACCTACTTTTTTAATAATTTATTCCAAAAAAGTTGCTTAATTCTTAAGCACAATTAGTTTTTGTTTTTATAAAATTATGCATAAATTAGCCAAGTTTTATTTATAAGAAATTATGTCTTCATAAAGTAAACAGTGGAAATCATTAAAGGATCCATTAATAATATTAATTTATAATAAATGTATATTGTCAATATTATTATTGCTAATTATATTCATTTATTAAGTAATTTTATTTACATTCTATTCAGATATTGGAATTATTCAATTGTTTATCATAAATATTCTGTTTAGTGTCTAAAATTTTGGATTCATCTTTATATTATTGTAAAGGATATTAGTTTGCTTAACGAGTAGGAATTTATTCATTCTCCAAATTAGAATGCTTGAATGAATTCGGAGAGACAACTTAGAATATAATTAAGTCTACCTTTTGGAGGTTTTGGGCGAATTTCAACCAACTTCATATACTCTAATAGTTAAGTAGGTAATTCTTCTAAGACTTTGTTCGATAGCTGAGTTGGATCCCCTTTGAATTGATTAAAAGGAACAAATTAAACCAAATCTCTAATAGCTTTGTTCCCTTTGCTATCAACCATACTTTTGTTATCATTATCTAAGATCTTCATATTCTTAAAGTTAGCATTCCCTATACCAACAATTATGATAGATAGAGGTAAATAAGATGAAGCAATGATGTCATCTATAGAATCTAACATATCATCAGTTTATCCATCAGTTAAAATCAATAATACATGATAGTTTTCACTCCCTTAATTTTTACATTTCTTTGCCATTTCCATCGCTTTTTACAGAGTTGGATGCAAATAGGTTGGACCATCAAAATGCAATTAAGGCAGTGATTTTTTATAGCATTCTACAATTCCATCTAGTCCATAAACTCTAAAATTTTAATAATTTATCCTTACTCTGGATCATCAGGATTATCATTCAAAGGGAAAAGATGAATTGTTTAGCTTGTGTTGTGATTCTTCATTTTTGGTTTACATCCAAAACCATAGAGTGGAACTCTTTTGTCATAATCGTAATGTATCAATATTTCAACTACACTATTAATTGCCTATAAGTATTAACTAGGATATCCATTTGAGGGAAGATGATGTAGCGAATTCGGATTATGATATTCCTCATTAGATGCAGTGAAATCAATAGCAAGCATTAAATTTATCTATTAACCTCCAGCACAATAATCTAGGAAGGTATAATTTGATATTATTGAAAATCTATCAAATTAAAGAATTCCTAAAGATTAATTTCTTTGACTCATAGACCTGAATTCCTTTTAGAGTATTTTCTTAGCTTTATTTGATTCAATTAATTCATTAGTACAAAATTAAGTTTCTCCTATATATTTGTGCTTACCAGATTTTTTATAATCCCATAATTCAACTTTTATTTATATTGAATAATCTCCATTACATAACTTCTAGGCTTGGCACTGTATCTCCTTCCATTTAATTGAAGCCATATCTTTTGCTGATTCAGTTTCATAAACTAAAACACCAAAATCTATATCATGTTTTAGTCTATAGAACCTTAGAAATGGACTAATTTTATCCCAAAACCATAATTTAGTTCCTCTTATCTTCAGTCCTGATAATTAAATAGAAAATTCCTCTCTACATAATTTAACATGATCTGCCTTTAAGAATATTTAACCATTATTCCTCCCACTTTGATTGTATAGATTAGCTTTAATCAATTAGTTTTTTGATCCTATCACTTCTGCCACAGTTGTTTGTGCTTAACCTATAATCTATGATAGTTAAGGATAATACTTATGTCTAAGTAGAACTTATTTAGTTATGAACTTCCATTTTTAGGTGCTACTATACTTAGAAAAAATAGTTTATAGTAAATGTTTTGATGAAATCGGGATTCTAATTATTCTCAATTACTTCAGTTTGATCTATTTTGATCCCTTAACCAATGATATAAAATTCATACATTTGTTATTACTCTTTCTATAAAGTATCACAAAAGAATTGTAGATAGTCATCACAAAATCATTTAATTGTCTACAACTTACAAAAAGTTCTATTCGCTAGGCATCTTTTGTTTAAGCAGTGCCTTCTTAATGACTGAATAACATAATTTAATATATAATCTCTACATATAGATTAATCTGATGTTTAAATAAAAGTATAGATTTATATACGTAATAATATATCAATTTCTCTTTTATTCTTGATAATCAATCTACTATGAAACTTTTCTTTGTTCAAACAGTATACTCTTTTAAAGTGATCATTGTTCAGAATTTATGGATAAAATGATGCATTCTAAATATTCTATATAATTTTATATTATAATTTATGTTATATTCAATAATGTAAAATTAAAAATATTTCATATAACTTTCAATTATGAATAAATAGAAAGTTTGAAAGTTTTCATCATTTAAATTGTTTTTCGGTTTCTACGCGATCTTGCTTCTACAATTTTATTAATAATTACATTAATTAATAACTTTAGTGATTACTACAACTCCCTAATAATAACTTTTTTATGGATTATCTTCCATTAAAGTACATAACATTCCATTTACTTAATCAAAAACCTTAAATGTAATTCAAAATTAAGAATTATAAATAAGAATCTAAATGGATGTGTAAAATAAAGTGAAACAATTTATTTATGAAGGTTTGGAAGATCATCCGAATACAAAATTCATTACTATATTTTTTAAATAGGTTAAAGTATACAAGAATCTTATAAGGAGATATATCACAAAAATATTTTCTAGGCAATTTATTAATTATTGTTTAATTCTCATCAACTCTAAATTAATTTTCAAATAATTTATTAAATTAAATATTTATTTATAGATAGAGAAGGTAATTTTATTTTCAATCAGATTAACAGACAGCAAGAGAATCTGTAATATGCTCATCTTATTTTTATCCGAATTATAAAAATGAAATCAATTACTAAACGTAAAGATAATGATTGCAATTAATACTACTGAAATATAATTTTGATATGATATTACATATGTTTCATAAAGTAAATATATAATAAGTAATATCATTGGAAGTTATTAAACAAACCTTTGAAAAATCAATTTTTATATGATATTTTGGAACATACTTATTAATTTATTTTAATTAAATGGGTTAATTATAGGTTGATATTACAGTGTTACATTCTCATAATCAATCTTGAGATCGAGAGATCAATATCTTAAGATTGTTAATCCTTCACTCTTTATTTTTGAAATAATTTGTGGTCTATATATTTGAGTCAAATTTTATTTACATACCAGGTGTTTGTTGAGCAGATGAAGAAATATTACAAGTACAGATATTAATTATATTATCATTAGAATACCTATATGCATGAGTCTATACGATTTATTGATTTATAATAAATGATTAGGATGGTTAAAATATAAAAGTCAAATCAATTAATTTATTCGTATTTCATATATACAAATAACAAAATATTATTACACTCTATGAATTTTCGGGAAAAGTGATGATTGGATTAAATCATTTCATGAGTCAAAGAAATTCAAATTTGTTACATAAGTTTATTTGTCATCTTCTATATTTCCAATTCATTAGGCCATGCCTTCAAAGGATGATTCTATTTGATACTCATCTAATACTGATTACTGAATGATCAAATCAATCTAAATGTTTTTGAGTGACCACCTTAATTATCATATATTAAATTAAATCTGAAATAATTTTATTATATACACTAATTGAAACTGTTATGTTATTAATTTTATGATTTAGAATTGCACATCCTACTTAGAATTGAGTAATTGGGATCTTCCCTTGTTGCATTGAGGCAACAGCAGAGTGCATATCCTATCAAGGAGTCCAAGCTGATTGTGAAAAGTTTGTTGGTAATGGTATGAGTTGTACAAATGATGCAACTGCAACTTCTATTTGTAAAGCCAAAGATTGCATTAAGTTGACAGCTGATTCATACTCCGAATCTGTATGTTAAGCTTATGGTGTGCAATGCCATAATAATGGAACTAAATGTGATGTTGCATAATCTTGTTCATCATTAAAAAGCAATTTGGTGACATGTACATAATATATAGCTACAGATGGTCCATGTATTGGTACTGCACTCTAAACTGAAACACCAATTAGTTGTTCACCTGCTCAATGCAGTGATGCACCCTCTACTTTAATAACAAATACTTAATGTGATGCATATAAAAAGGGATGTAAAACAAATGGTTATGGTTGTGCTTCAAGTATTACTTGTGCAGATGTACAATCTTCTTCTGTTTGTGCTGCTATAAAAAGTGATGATAATTTTATTTGTATTTGGACATCTCAATGTAGATAAATTGAATCATCATGTAATAATTTCACTTCCAGTGGATCAAGTGTTTGCACTTCCTCTAAAACAACTTCAGGATTTGGTATTTGTGTTTGGAAGGATAGTGTCTGCACAGATGCAAAATGTGAAGATTTACCCTTGTCTGTTAATTCTGAAACAAATTGCACTGCATATTCTGCGACTTGCACTTTCAGTGGAACTGGAAATGGTTTTGCAACTAAGGGATCATGTACTACTTATAAAAAAAAAGAAATATGCGCAAATGCAAAATCCACAGATAAGATGGGAAGTTGTGCTTGGGATGAAAGCGTAGTATCGGGAACATAAATAAAAGGGTACAGAATTAAGGAGTGCTAGGATGCTGCAACCACATTAATAAGTGACTCTGAATGTAATTCATTCATAGATGGTTGTGTAAGTAATGGTGCTGGATGTATGAAGTCTACATTTACTTGTGATATGCTTAAGACATAATTTAAATGTCTTTAAGACTCTTTCCTTCGACCATGCCTTTGGATTAACAATTCTTGTAGTTAATATTATAATTGCACTGATCTATTATTAACAACAGTGACTGCATGTTAAGAAGTTTCTAAGTATTGTACATCCGATGAAAACAAGTGTATCCCTTTGAAGATTTTTGCCAATTACACTAAATAAAATCAATGTACAATTGGTACAGATGATACTGATTGTGGTTGGGTTACAAATACTAAGAAGTGTCAAGTCTTTACATAATGCTCAAATTTGGTATAGAATGTTTAGCCTACAATCCTAAATGTATTAGTAATGAAACTAACTGCATTGAAAAGGGTGAATGCTCTACTTATGCTGATAGTGAAGTTACTTGCACTATTGGAGGAACTGATGGCAATTTTTCCTTTGATAAGAGTGCTTCAACTTGTAGGTTGAGACAATGTTCAGATGGTTCAATTTCAACATCCACTCATAATGGATGTTTTGGATATCAAATCAATGCAATGAACTAATGCACCACAGATGAATCTAAATGTGTACCCTTGGCTGATTGTTGATCATATACAAAGTAAGGAGGTTGTGTCATTGATTCCTAATTAAGAGCTTGCATTTGGGATAATATGGCCAAAGCATGTAAAACTAGGACATGCTCAGATACTAAAAAGACTAAGAGTTCTGAGTGCGCTTTAGCTTTGGTTGGATGCATCTCAGATGGAATCAAATGCATCGACAAAGGGAAATGCTCAGATTATGGTACTAAAGAAGCTTGTAGTGTAGGTGGAACTGATGGTGTTTGTGTGTTCAATCCAACTTCAGGTTCTACTAAGAATGGAATTTGCAAATTATTTACTCAATGTTCAGTTGGCAATTCGGATTAAAGGGCTTGCCAAAATATGCCTCTAACTTGTAAATGGACTGTTGCAACAGGAACTACTTCTAGTTCATGTGTTATTCATACTTGCGATTCAGCTGCCAAAGGAACAGCTAAATGTGTCACTATTCCAAGCTTTGATGGCAAGTAATATACTGTTTGTCAACCAAAAGGAAGTAAATGTGTTGTAGGTGAACCAAGTTCCTTAACTTAAGATGCTTACTATAAATTGAGTTAATACACCTATAGTTGTAATGCTCAGACAAAGAAGTGTATTGCATGTGGAGCAGGATCCTCCTCAAACAATAATTCAACATCTATAAATAAGAGTTTAGATAATCCAACTAATTCCACAACCGACAATTATGGGTCGTCTTTATATGTCCTGCTTATTTTTATATACTTTATATTCTGAAGAATAAAATGAAATTATTAATATTCAATAATATTCGATTATTTTTTGTTGTTCAGATCCAAATAAAAGCATTTATTAATATACTTATCTTGTTCAAAGCTTTGTAAAATGCAATTCATTCATAAGATGATAGTTTTTAATTTTTTATTTATAATTCTTATTTAATTATTATTCGCTTATAATAAAATAATTTTACTGGAATCAAAATAATTATTATAAAACTAGCTCTACCAATTTATTCATATAGTTGCAATTTATGTATTACATCCTCATCATCAATCAAATTTATAGCATTTCAGCTGTTGTGTATATGAAAAATTAAAAAAAAAATTGGCTTATTTTATAATTTTCAAAACTCCTTTAAAAGTTATATTTATTAGCAAAAAGCAAAACATATTTAAAATAATATTCAAAAATAATCTTAATATTTCAATTTTCATTCTTCTTCTTTAAGTCCTTTTCTAACCACATACCAATTTTCTTACCCTTATGATATTCACCTTAATATGTGATTTAATAAAAATTTCTAAATCCCTCACTCAACTCAACCCATTTCCCAGTCTTTAAAGAGCAGCCATTCTCATTACTTTCATATGATCCACCACCACTAAAATTTCTTTTTATAAATTTACATTTTTTCATTTTTCCATCCATCATTATAAAACTTATGATAAATATCCCATTTACCAATTTTTTCACCGTAGTTATATTTACCTTAATAAGTGACTTACGAATACTCTCTAAATTCATCACTCAATTCAATCCAATTTCCAATCTTATATGAGCATCCGTTATTCTTTATATCGTATTCTCCACCACCACAACTACTATTTATTTTTCAAATTACATCTATTCCTTGTAACATACATCCCATCTACCTACCTTTTAACCATATCTATATTAACCCTTGTATGTGACTTAGGAATCCTATTTAAATCTCTCCCTCAACTCAATCCATATCCCAATTTTAATTGAACCTTTTCCGTCGTCATCATCATATTAGCCACCCCCACTAAATGTATTTTGTCAATATTTGATGTACATTAATTAAAAAGGAGATCTGGTTTCTTCTCTCCAAAAAATATCCCATCTACCGAATTTTTAACCATTTTTATAAGGACCATTACATGTGACTTAAGAATCCGATGTAAATATATCACTCAACTCAATCCATCTACCAATCTTATATAAACCTTTTTCGTCATTGAAATTGTATTAACCACCCCCACTAATTGTATTTTCTTAAATATTTAGTTTACATTTATTAAAATGGCTACCTGCCTTCGTCCCTCCATAAAATATCCCATCTACCTACTTTTTATCCATTGAAATATTCTCCTGTAAAAACCACTTAGAAACCCAGTTTAAACTAATCATCCAACTCATTCCACATTCCAATTTTAATAGACTCTTGTACCTCATTATCATCATATTCTCCACCACCACTAATTTATTGGTATTAATAAATACATCCTTGAAAAGTTTTCAATCCCTTTCTCTCTCCATAAAGTATTCCAAATACCAACTTTCTTACCATTTTTATATTCTCCACTATACACTACTTATTTTAAATCATAGAATCCTTCACTTATATCTATCCACATGCCATTCTTATTGCCATCCTCATTATACTATCCACCAGCACTAAATTGAATTATGAATAATAATACACTCAACCACCATCATATATACATTTCCATGTTCCAACTTCTCTATCATTATGATATTCTCCAATTTCCTAAATTTATGCTTGACTACTATTTTATTATTGATGCTACAAACCATTCTTCTTCCCCTTATTTAAGTAGTATCCACCAACTTCTTATTCTAAATTAGCCAAATTTTCAGGACTCTAAAAAAGGTCAGTTATTTAATCTCTTCCATATTGAATATTTTACATTTCCATTATTTATCCGTCTAATATGCATCTAATATTCTGTTCGTCATCTATTTAAATTTGATATTTAGAATTTCCATATTTTTAGGATAAAACAGCCTTGATGGCACCCTCATTTATTTAGTTGTCATTGTAAACATCATAATTTATCGTTTTAGACTAATTAATTTGATCTCTACTATCATAATTAAGTTCTGCCTTACATATTATCTTAATTCAACTTCTTTGAGTTGTTAGAACAATTAATTCCCATTCTTTATTTTATGAATAAATTAAATTAATTGAAGAACCCAAACTTTATTTATATATAGACTCTGTAAAGAGATCTTTAAATATATATTTTAAAGAACTACACTTAGCATAAAATAATCAATTTTAGACAAGGAATGGATTTATATCACTCACTTTTATAATTGATCGGGAAATATAAGAATTAATTTATAATCCTGACAATTTTTATATCTTTATTAAAATTGCTATTTTTATAACTTAAGATTCATAGATAATTCCCTCTATCGAAATAACTTTTTATTATTTTGAAGTATTAAATTAAGATTCAAAATACATAAAAAGTTATTTTATACGAAGCAGTTCCAATTATATTGAATGATTAACAGCAATTTCTCATTCGATTAGATTCTAAATTTATTTATATGAATGGATATTAATGCATAGCTAAAAGCTATAAATTCAGAAAGAAGTTTGGAATATTAGGAAAATAAAATTTTAAGTGAATTCACAGAAATGATAATGCCCATTTAAAATTATTTATTTGATACTAGCTCAACATTCATTTGGTTTATTTAAAATGACATGAAATATTTAATAATACTTTAAAAAATTAATAATAAAATTCATTTAAATTTTAAGATGCAATCACAACTTTAAATATCTAAATTTCCTTTGCTGACGTAATTTTTGAATACTAATGAAGATTAACATTATTCCTACTCTTCCCTATTCTCTCAAATTTTATTAATTTTTGAATTTGTCAAGAGTATTTCAAAATTTTATTGACGTTATGATCGAATATATCTATGTTTGATTGTATTTTTTTGACCTATCTTTTTTGTCTAAATATTGAGAAACAGCTAATTTTTTCAAAATTAACCAAATAATAAATATTATTTTATACATAATACAGTTGTTTTGATACTATTACTCTTACATACGACCCTCAAAATACTAAGCTACACTTCATATATAATCCAAATAACATTAGTATAGCAATAGGGATCAGAAATCCAAGTTTAAGGACTATATATACATTCTAAACATGTTGTAATATTTTCCTTCATTATTTAAGGATGGTAAAGAACCATATTAGCATTTTAGCGCACGATCATCATTAAACTGTATGTATATAATTAAAATTATAACATTTTACTCAATTATTCATTATTAGTTTAGAATAATAGGTTTGTACGATATAGAATGTCTTCTTCTTTTGGGTTTATCTTAACCATGACAGTCATTCAAATCATTTACTAATATTCGTTTAAATTAATAATTAAATTTCAAAATCAATTAGTTGCTTAAATTGAAAATTATGTTTATTTTAGTTATTTAAGATATCTATTATTTTAATGGCAACTATATGCTACGAACATTTTACACCCGTTTAATTTTTTGATGTTAAGAAAATATTTTAATAAAATTGTGATAGTTTTTATGCTTGAACAGAAAGATGGATAGTTTTAATGCAAAGAAATGTCATTCTAATATGAATTACTTCCCCATATAAATATACAACAATAAACGTGCTGGGCAGTTTCGATCAATTCTGATGATTAATTGTTACTCATTGGAGCAGAATCCAATATTAATATCATGTAGTTCAAAGCTGGAGCAGTTAAAAAGATTTAAACTATTTAAAAACATTAATCCTGGATAACTACTCTCAATTTCTTTAAGTAAATATCTTTATTTATCTCTGGATCATCAAGTGTTAAAATATGGTCTTCAAATTTATTATCAAATCCTAAATTTCTTTTAAAATTGTAGGAACATTCCTCAAATATTTAGTGTTTAGCACTTCGTAATAGTACTCCTTCAGTTATAATTAGTGGCTCAAAAGACTGTAACATAAAGTTTTGGTACTAAAAAGAAAATTAATGGATTTGTTTATAAACAATTAGAGAGCACTCCAATATTGTTTCTGGATTATCTTTAAATCAAGAAGGGAACTCTTTAATTTCTTGTGGAGATGATAATCAAATCCTGATAATAAAATGTACAGATGAGCAGAGATGGAATGTTGTTTAAAAAATACAAGGTCATGGAGTCAGATTATCTTTCATTTCTTAAGAGTCCTTTGCTTTTTAACCATGGTAGTCAGATAAACTAGAACTTTATACCTATGAACCGTAGATAGGGTAATATTAGAAGAATAAGGAAATTGCAATTAAAGGTTCTAAATAATTCTGCACACATTTATTTCCATGCAGCTTTATACCTTCAAAGCACATCTTACTCTCAAAAAATGCATACAATTTGAATTTGATCAGATTAAATACTTCCTCTTCGATTCTTCATGGCAAATTAGAGTAAGCAATTGAATTCAATTATCCTAATAATTGGCTGGGGACAATATTTGGTACTATGAGTGAAAATGGAGACTTTTTAATTACATGGGACAGCCAATCGAAGCAAATACAAATTAGAAAATACAAGGAAATTTATAAATAAAGGAGAACGCAAGATTCTAAAATGTGCACAATTTTTTGATTATTTTTCATTGATAGCAAATTAAATATTTTTTAATCTTTAATTCTATACTATAATATCTGGCTATCTAGTTCTACTTACTCATAAACTTAATTGATTAGGGAGAAAAATCAGATGTAAATTATAGTAAACTATTTTATTAAGTTAAACTTAGGGGGATATCATTTTCAGATGAAACTATTATCTAAAATTAAAATTTGAAAAATTAAAATCACATCCGCAATATAATTTTATTGATTAAAACTATAATAATCATTGACCCACCCATCACTTTTATAATGCAAGAATATCTATATTACAATTATATTAAAAATTATTACATTAATTTTATAATACTTTACACTTTCTGATTAACATATTTATTACAAACTATTCCCTTAACATTAAATTTTTTCTTCTAATTAATCAAGTAAGATTTACACCTTTAAGAAATTCTGGAATTCTAAGTCTTTCTATGCTATTTCGTATTAAAATCGATCTCAAGTAAGTTTAGTATAAATAAAATATATTAGTAATGCAGAGTTTCTATATCATCCATTACTAATTCTTTTCACAGATAAAGATAGCATAAATACTTAAATTCACTCCAAAGGAATTAATTCCTCCTCTTTATTATATTAATGAAATTGTAAAATGTAAGCATATACTCAATTAGGTGGAATTTTGGCTTTTGATAATTTAAATAAGATCAAATAGAAATATTAATGATTAAATTAGAATAATATATATAATGCTTACCAAAATAAAATCCTAATTTAAGAGAATAAAAATTAAAATATTGATGAGGAAAGGTTATTTTTAATTTATTGAATAAAGATTTATTGAAAATATAAAAAGTATAACCTTTTCTTTGATGATATAGATCTAATGGTGAATATCTACTTCATGTAGATGGAAATATAAAATTAGACTAAAAAACAAAGTCAAATTGGGTCAATTTTTATAAAGTTGTTCTATTGCCAAAAGGTGAGATTAACTTCATGAAGTATTTTAAACTAAAAAAAAAATTTGTGTTATTTTAAGACCTTTTGCTTATTTATTAATTAGATTTGATATCAATAAGCATACTCTTCATAGCACATAAAAAGGTTGGGCAGAAAATGACAAACCCAAATAAGAATTGTTTCTGAATTAACTTTCAAATTAATTCTAAAAAGTTATCTAATTTAAATTATATCTCTTTCCTACATTGAAAGAAATTACATTATTATATTTAGATGAATTTAAAGAATTCCTTTTAAACACCCAAGAAGGATCTCACTCATAAATATTAAAATTTAAGGGATTCTGTCATAAAGACAATGTATCGATTTAATGAAATTTCTAAATAAAGAAGATTGTATGTCAAAAAGAATTACTTTCAATAATACTATTATCAAATTTGTTGTTCAATAAATTTTATCATATAAAATAATTGGTATAGCAGAAACCATCTAATCAACAAATTCAATTAATTTTAATTAATTTTGCTATTTTATAATAGTTAACAATATCAAAATAAGAAGAAATAATAAATTAATTAATTATTGATAATTGAATTATGTACATCTTCAAATAAATATTACTTCCGAAGCAAAATTAGCTATCTCTTTTTTGCACATAAATTTGAAGATTTTAATTATTTTAGGTATTAAATGCCTTGCAAGAACTATTGCCAGACATAAAATCAATGAATTCATGTGTATAAATCCCAATGTAACTTTTTTTTCGTAAGAAAGTTAAACTTACTCAATTTCAAGATAAAAAAATAAGCTTAAACTAAACACAGTTAATGTTGCTTCAATTAAAATGGATATAATTCTATCCGATTTAGAGCATTATTTATATTGATATAATAAGTAACATTAAAATAAACTACTGAAAGAGAGTAGTAAGCATTGTAAAAACTATTGATCTTAGAATAATATTAAAACAATATGGAAAAGCATTGTTCTGCACATATCTAAAGTAATAAATTTAATTTATAGCTTTGCTTTGATATTTTTGTTGTAAATATCACTGCATTATTTAAATGACTGTAGTAAAAAGTAAATAAAATAGAGAAATATTATCCCCGCAATTATAGTTGTTAAAATACTTCTAATATTATCTATTCGATTGTAATGAAGTTGTAAAATAACCTTAAATATCAAATCCCATGAATTTAAGTAAATTAGTTCCCTAATTTAATCAAAGTTATAAAAATATCTTAATCTGATTAATATCTTAACGCTCTTTCCTAAATAAAGAAGTAAATTAATAACCGAAATTAGTATCTTTGATTTTTTTGTTTAAAGATGGTAGATAGCCGTTTTATAAATAAGTAATTTGACTAATAAACTCTATATTCTTTTGATAAAATGAAGCATAGTTATCAATACAAGAAATTGTATTATCTGAGGAAATATATTGGTAAAAAGATCAGCATCTATATTGTATACTTTAAATTTTCCCCTTACATTAACATTTTCTAATTCTTTTCTTGTTATTAAGTTTAAAAAATCATCTAGTTGAAAGAATTGTAAATAAGAAGTTATCGATAGCAAATCCTACGCTTAAAAATATATAAATAGGTTCTCAGGATACTCAACATTAATAAATCTTAAGAATGATTGATATTATAGAATATTAAAAATTTCAACAACTACAGAGCTTTCACCTGAAATTAAAGATATTATACATAAGCAAATGGCGCCTATCATAAATGCTTTGTTTGATTATTATGCCTTAATTGATGTTTATTTTATTGATTCAGAAATTACTTTTGGTATTTAAAGGGAAATGGATTAATTCTTAAATTATAGTGGCTAATTATTCGAGTTAACAACATCTTGATTAAGTAAAATGAATATGATTGGTTTATTTAAAACTTGTGGAAATATTTCAATTATAACCTAATAATAAGCATATTAGAGATCAAAAGAAATATCTTAAATTGGATTAATAGTAATATTATAATCTTTGGGATCTAAATCATTAATGCTTATATTGAACGATGATTTTTGTTTTATTATTTGATCTCTAAATTTTATTTATTAGTCAAAACTAATGTCAATGTATTATAGAGAAAATTATTGCTATCTAAAAGTCAATTTCATGTTTGGTTATTTTGAGAATGAGCATTCGAATTAATTGCAGATCTCGTTTCCATCTAAAATTGCCTCTTTTGATTTAGGATCATTTTTATCAAAAGATTCTATAATTTTTATTGCATTCTATTCATTCAAAATACAAAGCCCATTAATCAAGGCATAATCTCTCGTACATTCAATGCAGACTCCTATTTCACAAAATACACAATGTTAATTACACTAATACTAACAATCATAGCAACCATCAAATTGAGTTTCGTTTCCATCATCGCATTATTCATCATCAGTAATAATCTTATCTCCACAGACAGATTAACATTAGTCTTCTTTCAAATACTTGCCATCGGGACAAATTTCTCTTAAGCATTTACCTTATTCGCATATTTCACAATTTTGTTGACACTAAAATTTGCATTCAAAACATCCATCAAATTGTTCATCATTTTCATCCTCACAATCTTCAAAGTCTTTTTTAAAATTCCATCTCCACAAATAGGTAAGCATTAATTAAAATATATTGAAAATCCATTTTAACATTAAAAACACCATTGTAAATTACATTAGAGACAATAAGGTTAGCATTTAAACTAACAATTCTAACAACCATCATCTGCATTGTCGCACTATTCATTTGTAAATGGAATCAAAATGCCATCTCCACATTCTGGCTCACACATATAATTTGTATTGACAATATAACCATCTATACAACCTTAGCATTTTCCAAATTGACAAGTAATACAATTTAAATCGCATTAAAATTTGCATTAATTGCAACCATCAAATGGGTTAGAATTATAATCTTCGCATTCTTCAGTGATACCTATTTTATAATCTCCACACTTATCTAAATCATCATTCAAATACAAAATAGTAATTATTATCTTTGATATGCACTCATTATTAAATAAATAAAACCCTTATAAACACAAGTCACATTTCCCATTTACACAGCTCATACAATTGACATCGCAATTGTAATAGCATTCTCTATTATCATTCATCCTTTAGTTGTTTTAATCATAACAAACCTCTTCGTCAACTACTATACCATCTCCAAATTAGGAGATACATTAAAGCCCATAATATCCGGAAAAGCATTCCATACAAATTTAATCTAAGCAAACTTTACAATTCTTCGTACATAATTTAGATTACAAATTTAAAGTACAAGTTTGGTAAATCTGTTCCAAATACGCTATAGCTTCACATAATACGCAGTCATTACCTATTTATATTTTACAAAATTCAATCTGAATATCAAACTATTAATATTCTTTTTAACAAGTTTACAGAATTGGATTTATTTCATATCCAACTTAGCAGATTTAACACCTTCCAAAAAAGCAGATTTAGCAATTCTTATCACACTTAAATTTGCAATTATTACACCCATAAGAGTGAGATGAATCTAAAATTTCACATTATTCATTATATCCCAAAATTTCATCTCCACAAATTGGATAACATTTAAATGATATTAATTGATAACCATCTAGGCAATCATAACAGACTCCTGAAATGCAATTAAGACATGAATCCTCACAACTAAATTAACAGAAATGGCATCCATCCTCGAAAATTATATTACCATCATCGCATTATTCATCATCGGTTACTATTCCATCCCCACAAATTGAATAACATAATTTATCAATTATATTGTACCCTGAATTACAAGAGAGACAACCTTGTCCATTATTATCACAAGTAACACAAGAAGATTAACATTTAGAAATACAATTTTGACATCCTTTATAGGGTAATATAAAGCTATCTTCACAATCTTCGCCATCTACTATTATTGAATCTCCACAAACTGAAATACAAATCTTATTAGATGACAGAAAATATTCAGGAGCACAAACTTCACATATATTGTTAACACAACTTGTGCAAATAGCTAATGGTTAACATTAAAACGTGCATGAGCTGCTGCAGCCATCATAATTAATAGTATTACTATCATCACATTATTCTGAATATATTCCGGAAGGATCTGTGACTACTAAACCATCTCCACAAATATTCTTGCAATAATATGATTATGGGACAAATCCAGGCAACTCACAACTTAAACAAGTCTGTGAGGTGTAATCACAAGATGAACAACCAATTCTACAGTAATACATACAATCTTTGCATCCATCAGTATCTGAAGTATTTCCATCTTCGCATTATTCAACACCAATAATTTATAAATCTCCACATCTTTCTTTACATTACCAAGGAGTGACTGTTGGATCAATAAACCACCCTGCAGTAGCACATTCAAAACATTCCCCTTTAATACATTTAGTACATTAAGGTTAGCATTAATACTAACAATTATAACATCCGTCGTATTAAATAATATTGCCATCTTCACATTCTTCGCTTCCAGTAATATATCCGTCACCACAAATATCTGGACATGGTAAAGTACTATTTTAGTTGCAAGTTAAACAATGAGCTGGACATTGATATTAACAATTATAACATAAATCATCAATAACACTATTACCGTCCTCACATTATTCATAGCCTTTTATTTATAAATCTCCACAAATAGGTTCGCACTCTCCTTATAGTAATTAAAATCCTAAATCACAAGAATTACATGTAAGTGTATGCCATATCTATTAATTATTATTACATAAGTTATAACATTGACTTAATAAATTATCTTCTATAATTGGACAATCTATAATAATTATTAATATTTAAATTACTTGTACAAATATTATTTTATTCATAATAACCAGATTTACAATCACATCTTAACCCTTTTAATATTCTATGTAATGAAGAATCACATGCTAAACAACCATTAATACCAAAACTAAAACATAATTAACAGGATGAATGACAATAAGAACATGTTTATATTGAATCTTAATAATATGATCCTGTTGGACATCTGCATATTGATCCTACATTTTCTATATTATCAATATTTTTGCAAGTAATACACTCGTCTGAAGTAGGTCCAATACAAGTTTTACAAAATTTATGACATATAAGACATTGAGGATCTGATAGTATGGGGTAATAACCATCTATACAATTACATTATCCATTCTATAATTATCTATTATTACTGATTAAGCATTCTATACAATAATTTGAACTTAAACATTGACTACATTCTATAGGACAATCAAAACATTAATTTGATTCTTCGTATTAATTCTATTTACAAATACATCCCAATTTACTTAAAGTAAAAGTAGATTCGCAACTTTAACAATCTAATTTAGATGTGCATGTTAAGCAAGATGGTGGGCAGTTTATGCATCTAACTGAATCTTAATCATAATATTAGTTAATCAAGCATTCTTCTTATGAAAATTTAATAACATTAGAATCATATGTACTATTCCATTATGTGCACTTATATTAATCGGAACATTCTAAGCAATAAGGTTTGCATTTATGAACAGCTATATAATAATTATAGAATCCACAGTAGGCCTGAATTGGTTCATTATTGGGTCCAAAACATTCCCAATAGATTGTTAAGGTACTTGTGTTGTGAGATATGATTTAATTTACCCTATCATATTTTGATCCATCAGAATAAGAGGAATAATAACTAGATATTGATTTAGAAACTGGTGGATTGTTTTCAATTGTATATATGAATTATCCATCCAAAGGAAATGTTGGTCCATATAGGATAAAAAAGGCAATAGTAATGCTATGATGTTTATCAACTATGTTATGAACTCTTTTGAATTTTGCTTAGGCCCAAACTAGTGGGCCTCCAAAAACCCGTTAATTTTGCTAATATGAATAATAAATATCTTCTCCTTTTAAAAAATTGGTTCCATTTTGGGAAATTAAAGTATATTACGAGTATTACCTAGGATCATTTTCTAGATTTAGATATTCTTAAATTAAAAATTAGGAGTCTATATATATGAAAGGTTTTACATGGTGTCTGTTAATCGTAATCTACACAATAAGAGCCATTTAATTTTTAATATGGTTATTAGCAGCTATTTATACAAGTACCATCTTTATAAAAATAGTATCCACTATCACAAATCTTACATTTGAATGATACCTCACACAGTTCACAATTTTATGGGCATAATCCTGCAGTAACTTAAACTTATATTATTCCCCATCCAGCAGTGTTATCGCTAATTTATGATAATTGAAATTTACGTGTAATTTCCAATCGCTGAGAACAGCAATTGATTTTTAGGAATATCAAGGTATGTAATTAACAAATATTTCGTGACAAAATATGTTAAATATGAACCAGAGCTAATAGTTTCATATATTTGGACATTATGTGTTTGAATACCTATGTTGTTTCGATATATTGATCCATAATAAGTATTATTAATTTTAAATTGGATACCACAATTAAGTGGTATTGCATTGAAAGTTACTAATGTAATATGGAATCCAATTAAGTGGGTTGCATAATTAATTGATAATTCATTAATAAATCTATAAACTCCAGAATTATATTTAAATACTCCATATATGTATTAATAATTTAGATATATATTTGGAAGCAAAGTAGTATCTAAATGTATTGAATCAAGGATTAATGACCATTTCATATTTTCTGGGGAGACATTTAAGGTAAAATAGGTTTTTGTAAAAGTTTGAACTAAATATTTGTGATGCGATTACTTGGGTAAATTTGACAAAATCCATTCTTAAAAAAAGGAGAATCTGTATGGCAAATCAGTTTGCATCCTGTATATTTCATATAATACTCATTTGCTGGGCAAGTGGGGCAAATTCCATTAGTAGGCGTTTGATAATAGCAAATTGTACATTCTTAGAAATCAGGACCACTACATTTGGAACAAGATGGAAAACAAATAAAAGTAGAGGAATAGAAATTTTTGATTGAAACTAACCCATCACCAGAATTAGAGGAAAAAAACAAAATTTTATTATTGCTAAGAGTTGTCATTGTAAAATTTACTGTTTTTATAACAGAACCCAATGAATCACAAAATGAATTAGTTGATGAATAAACCGATGGAGATTCATAATAATATTAATATTCAAATGAACCTATTTTAAATTTTACTGATTGATTTTGCCAAGTACCTTGAAAATATAAATCAAAGGCTAAAAAATCTCCTATGTTTATGTAGTGCGTTTAATTTGTTACAACAGTAGGATAATTACTATTTAAAGTGATATAGCTAGTTTTTGGGTTTGTACAAGTAATAAAATTGGCTGTGACTTGTGTAGATTACTATAAAAAGGTTCCAGATTTTAAATATGCATTGGGACCAGTTTATTCTGTAAATATTGTATTTGATGCTAACACTGCAATTGTGTTGTACCATTAGGAGTAAGACACTTCAATATGAGCAAGAACGATGATTACGAAAAAAAATTGCATTGTTTTAATATATGATTTTAAGATTCTATATAACAAATTAATATAGAACAAAATAATTCATTCATACAGTTATTAACTTAATTATGAAAATTATAGTACCTTAAAGCTAATTTGTAATACTTTAGTTCAATACATAGAAGGCATGGTTTGTTATAGAGATTAAATTCAAATATTGTATTTTTTCTTTGGAAGACAGTAATTTACAAGAAACTATAAAAATATAATTAGAACAAAATTCGCTGTTAAAAGGCTTACTTTGATTATTTAATTTTGTTTTCTCCTAAAATATAGACTGATAAAAAATAATAAATTCGTAATTCAATTGTTATAAAGCAATTGATAATTAAATTTTAATTAATACTTTTAAAATTTATGGAATGCTTTAAAGTCCATTAATAACAAACTGCTACCAATCTCGTTTATTATCACTAACAAACAAAAATTTTTAGAAATCACTTAAGAAAAATTGTTAAAAATGATATGTACTTTTTGTTACAAATATGCAAATTAGGAAAGAATTATAATCATCTCAAAAGGGGTTGGGGTTGGGGTTTGGGGTTTGGGTTTGGGGTTGGGGTTGGGGTTTTGGGTTTGGGTTTGGGGTTGGGGTTGGGGTTGGGGGAACCCAACGAAA